CATATATATGGCGTTTGGTAGAGTAACCTGTTGGTCTCAAAATTCGAGAGTCTGTACATATTGATATTCACATATAAGCCTTGGAAATATTTTTGATATGTGCGTTGGCATTATTTGATTCCCCTCACAGTCGGTTTCCCCGGCACAAATCGCGAAACACGAGAACGCGCTAGCACGTGGTAATGCAAGGCACTCCCCTTCTACTCCCACTATGTAGTCCATTACAGCCCAAGGTATGTGGGGTTGCCGGTGCACCAAGAGCTCAAACCTAGCAGGTGGAGGTATCGCGATGGGCACTTGCAAGGGATTACTCGCCACATTGCATTTAACCCTTGGGAAAAGTTTCAATACGGAATACACCGTATAAAATATACGAACTTGGTCCTCGTACTCCCTACTCCATACGGAATAGATATATCCATATATCCCAGTGCAACTTGACTAAGTAAAATGATCAAACAAAGACCCCTAACCTTAACATACTGCATGGCTGCCTGGACGTGACGCAGCTAAGACGATCGACGCTTTCTTTTTCCTCGCGGGTCCACTTCGATAAACTTCCCAATGGGGTAAAGGGTGAAAAGATCCCTCATTCCTGGGACTTGACAGGAGCTGCCACATGTTGATTGCCTTGTTTGAAATAAATACTATGGGCTATGTATAATGTTGAGAGTGGAGGATGAGAACAAGCCCTAGAACATTCATGGATGTTAACAGAGGTACGGAGCACAGCAAATGGAACGCGTGTGTGGGGAGCTGAGCACACCCTTACGCCATGGAAAATGAGCTATAAATTGGCGAATGAGGTGCTAATGCCTAAATCTAGACCCAATAACAAAACCTATTAGATCCGTAAATCCGGATTGTTTTCCTACAACATAGTCGCGTCGCGCGTTTTTGTGGATTCTCTGGCTTATCTGATCATGATCAATAGTGGGGACTGAAAAAAAATTGGACACGCGTGGGAGCTGTTGATGTCTTAGGTTGTAGGCTTCTGGAGGTAGTGGCGTGGCAATTGCTATATTGCAAATTAGATATTCACTATTATCAGAATAAAGTGTCAAAAGAATGCTTTCGAGAAGTAGTGATATACAGATGTATTGAGTAGATAAGATCGGAATCTACAAAATCTACATACAAAGTACTCCGTACTCCGTACAAAATCCATATTAACATGCACAAGAATGGAGCTGGAATGGAGCACGGCCAAGGACTATCCTTTCGGATGTTGCTGGGATCCAAGTGGCATGAGAAAAGTATCGCCCAAATAGGAAAGAAGGGCTGGGAAAATGACCCATGGACGCGCCGTACGTTACCTAAGCGGTGCGCGCAGTCACGTGCGACGTGACTTAGCACGTCGCGCTAAAGAGAAATCGGCAGTACTTAATCGAGTTTCTCTTCCCTCGTTCAACTCCAAAATTCCCATCCCACTTTCAAAGCTCCTGTCTCATTCTTACTTGCTGTCTTTGTGAATTGTTCTTGTCGTATAACATTCCTCACATACTTGTTCCAATGGCCGCTCAAGTCACTCCCTCCAAGCAGGTACGTGATGTCACGCTTCTCGCCTCTTGCCTCTTCGCGTCAGACGCGTCGTGAAGTTCCTTTAAGCTAATATTTGTTCTTCCTTAGGCTGCTTCCTCCCTCGAGAACCTCAAGATGAGCGATTCACCCATTAAGAAGCTCGACTTCCAGTCGGCTGGCAAGGAGAACGCGCCCGCGTCTCTCAAGGCCGTCGACGCCCCCATTGAGAAGCCCACCGAGAAGGCTCTCGCGTCCAAGCCTCTCTCCATCAAGGAGATGGAAGCCTCAGAGCCCCTCCTCCAAGAGAACCCCCACCGTTTCGTCATGTTCCCTATCAAGTACCACGAGGTAAGTCACGTCGCCAACGCGTTGCACGCGTAAAGTGGATATCGTCAAGAATATTCTGCCACCATGAACATTGAAGCTAATCAGACCTCTCATTTCAACAGATCTGGCAAATGTACAAGAAGGCCGAGGCCTCCTTCTGGACCGCTGAGGAGATTGATCTCTCCAAGGATCTTCACGACTGGCACAACCGCCTGAACGACGATGAGCGTTACTTCATTTCCCACGTCCTGGCCTTCTTCGCCGCCTCCGACGGTATTGTCAACGAGAACCTTGTCGAGCGTTTCAGTGGAGAGGTCCAGATTCCCGAGGCCCGTTGCTTCTACGGCTTCCAGATCATGATGGAGAACATCCACTCCGAGACCTACTCCCTGCTCATCGACACTTATATTAAGGAGCCCAAGCAGCGCACCTACCTCTTCGATGCCATTGACACCAGTAAGTTGTTCTCCCATTGATTTTATATCGTTCGATTGTCTAATTGGATATTTAGTTCCCTGCATTGCCAAGAAGGCCAACTGGGCCCTCCGCTGGATCAACGACCGCGAGTCAACTTTCGCTTCGCGTCTGGTTGCCTTCGCCGCTGTCGAGGGTATCTTCTTCTCTGGCTCATTCGCCTCCATCTTCTGGCTTAAGAAGCGTGGCCTGATGCCTGGCCTGACTTTCTCCAACGAGCTGATCTCTCGTGACGAGGGTCTCCACACTGACTTCGCCTGTCTGCTGTTCTCCCACATGAACCACCGCCCCGATCCTAAGGTGGTTCAGGACATCATTGTTGAGGCCGTCGGCATTGAGCAGGAGTTCCTTACTGACGCTCTTCCCTGCGGTCTGCTTGGCATGAACTCCAAGCTCATGTGCGAGTACATCGAGTTCGTCGCTGACCGCCTGCTGGTGGCTCTCGGCAACAAGAAGTACTACAACGCTACCAACCCCTTCGACTTCATGGAGTCCATCTCCCTGGCTGGCAAGACCAACTTCTTCGAGAAGCGTGTCGGTGACTACCAGAAGGCTGGTGTCATGGCCAGCACCAAGCAGGAGGTCAACGCAGAGGGCGAGAAGGTCGTAAGCGACGGTCTCAACTTCGATGAGGACTTCTAGACGACGTCCTTCTCCTTTCCCTCTTGTGTTGTTTTATACCCTCTCCCCTTTCACGTGATATTATGCTTTTCTTATTCTGTTTTTTATTGATTCACGCAATTTCCGTTTAAATGCTCGCATGGGAATGGCGTTTTTGTCTTGTTTTCTTCTTTCCTGGTCTGTCCTGGACTATTGTCCATGGATGAATGGTGGATTCTCTGTATTTAGATCTCCGAATCACTTCTCCATCGTGTCTGAATATTTTTGTTTGTAAATTTAGTAGATAACGCCAATGGCCCTTTTGAATACACGTTATCAATTGTCCAGTTTCATCCCTACTTCAGACTCATGAAACTCCATTTGATCCACAAGACCGTCCGTAGATTTGCATAGCAGGTATCTCATTACCGATATCAAAAGACCTCACTCCGACATCTATGAATGCATCATAAAAAGTAACAAGCGAAAAGAAGCATGAAACAAAGCCAATGAATCCCATTCAAAAAAGAGCCCAGTTAATTTACCGCTTCCCCTTCCCACCCTTCTTCTTTCCCTTCGCACTCTGTCCCTGCGCCTTACCAGCGACCGGCGCAGCCTCCTCAACAGGAGCAGGAGCAGGAGCATCAACCATCTCCACATCCGCGCCAGCGGCAGGAACCGCAGCCGATAACCCCAAACCCGCTACATCAGCACCGGCAGCCAGCTTGCCCAGACTCGTAATCAGACGCCCGACTTCCTGCGCCTTGTTTGTGCGGTAGTGCAGACAGATTCCGGTTGTTGGGTTGAATGTTTTCAGCGTGAGGGTTGCGATTGCGGTGGTTGGTTGTGCGGGTGTGGTGGATGAAGCATCGGCGCCTTTGGCGGCGTCTCTTCGGACTTTCGATTTATGGGCTCGGATTAGGTTTCCTCGTCGGTTTGTGGGGAAGTTGTATTTTGTTACTATCCGGGTCTGGGGAGGTTTGATTGTTAGTTCGGTGGGTTTGGGATTGCTTTGGGGTTTGGGGTTTGCGGTGGGTGTTCATTGTTGCCCGCGGGGGGACGCGGTGTGGAAGATTGGATGGCGGATTGGGATGGAGATGGGAGGTTCGGGCGCTTACGGTGTCTGGGTACGCTTGTAATAACTGCGCTGACTGTTCCAGGTAGGCCTGGGAGGTGGGTAGGTAAGGCATTTTGGAGTTGTGGTGAGCGTCTGTCGAGCTCGTGGTTTTAGGTCGAGAGGTGTGGTGGGATGCGCAGGTTGGTGGGTGTCTCTTTCGGTGTTGCGGGGAATGCGCAGAATGCAAAGTCGCGGATCAAATGGAAATATCCGCTGAGATTCAAGGCTCAAGAGAGGAATTGGTGGGAGACTTGGTGGATGGAGAGAGAGTGTGGAGGTGTTATCAGTGTGCTGGCGGCTTTTTCCATGTCTTGGCATCAATAGCGTTCACTCCGCAATTTATACATGTAGACTTCGCGATGGCCGTCACTAGGTGGAACTCTGCCAAATCAGGAGTACTTTAACTACCAGTCCTTCATTCTTTTGTGCTAACATCATTACTTAAGGCTTAATTTAATACGATCATTAGCCTTAAACGAGAGCGAGGGCTAAGTCTCTGCCATCAACCACATCTACTCCATTAACTCAATCTGTACATACTACACAAAGAAAACTAGAATCGGAATTTTCCTACCAGCTATATGATGTGTTTATGGTGGATATCTAAGGTACATACATAATGTACGCCAGAAGGATCGAAATTCATCCCTCATAAGGTTCATAAAGCCGCAACAATTTCGAGTACTCATGACTCACACCTTGCTAGAGGTTAAAAGTTGTGATGTGTAGAAAGCTTGAGTTTTTTTCTAAAGCTGCTTATCGAAATGTTACTATACTTCATCAACTGTAGCAATATTATCTATCAATGAACACGGTCAACAAAACGCCATGGATCGTGTCAGCGAATACCAACATACTTAAACCCCCCGCTCTGCCCAACTAGGCAACTTTGCAAAGCTACCCCTTGATTTACGCTTCCTAATGTGGGAATACCTCTTCTATGGCATACATACTGCCCCCAATGTCTTATCCATTCTACGTTGTAACGGCTACCTCTCAAAGAGATATCAGACACCTATACAACGGAATGAGGCATGAGACTCGAATCCCAGGGGCCCACAACAGCACAATGTGGCTATATGTCCGTTTGGTTTCCAACAGAATGCCCGCCAAATGGTGGGGACTATATAACATCGAGGCCGTCTGAAAACATCTTCACAGCTTTCCTCATTAAAGGATCGATGGGAAAGAGATTTTCGTCAATATTATACTATCCTCCCATGGAGACTTCATTCGCATTATGCGACTAGAACGGAAAGCTGACCAACTCGTCGATATATTGAAGGCTGCACCTTTTACTCCTACAGTGCGTGTGAGTCTACTGGAAGAAAAACCAGTGAAGGAAATCAACTACACTAACGAGTCACCCACATGGAGTGACTTGTAAATGCTAGTCTTGAGAGATATAATTCCCCATCTTTCTTTACTGAATTCACACTGTTGAAAGTATAACAAGGTGTGATTTGCATGCTATATGTAACTAGAAATAAAGGAAGGAATATTTAACGATGTAGGTATACAATTAGAACAGTAAAAGGGGTTTAATGGCTATTATAATATAGTATACAGTATCGCACAATGGCAGATCATGTGCTTAGAGGCGATCGAGAGAATCATTTGCTAACTCTTTCTTACTCTCCGCCTCCCCCTTCCATGCCGGATGCCACCATGTCTGTCCAATTAAACAATCATCAGTCGATCATTGACTATTGCCGTTCTTGTACAGATGATCAACTTATTGGGGGCTCTAAGCATGGCAACCAGGTCGTTAAGCTACCAGGTTATGACTTGGCGGTCAAGTTCGGCCATCAAGTCTCCTCCTACGAAGCAAAGAATCAACAAAAAGCATACAGCATGATTGATCCGGATATCGTTATAGTCCCTTGGGTTCATAATTTCTTTATAGACGATGAGGGTTGGGGCTACCTGATATCGGATTTTATCCCGGGCAAAACCATCGATCCTCTTTCGGACTCTCATATTCAAAGGCTCGCCAGCATTCTTGAGCATTTTCGGTCTATTACCGCCGATAGCGCTGGTAGCCTATGCGGTGGCCCGTCGACTGGCCTACTTTGGCCAGATACAAATGATCTAACAATCAGTAACGTCCAACAAGTGGAGAAGTGGTTTAATAGCCGGCTTTTTCCCAAAGATGGCAAGGTTCAATTTGATCCTAGCCCATTGGTACTCTGCCATTTAGATATAGCCCCCCAGAACATTGTCTGGTTGGACGATGACCGTATCTGTTTACTAGACTGGGAATCAGCAGGGTTTTACCCAAGACTGTTGGAATTTGCCAGTCTATTCTTCCAAGAATATCAATTTAGCCAGGCACTTATGACTGCTGTCGGTTTTGGCTCTGAGCGTGATAAGGAAGAACAGCAGAGGATCTGCCAGGCATTGTACAACAATGAAAGGTACTCCTTGTAAGTCAGAGCTAGCGATATTTGCCTCTGTCGACAATACTGATCCGAAAATAGTCGTTCGCAGGACAATCTCGAAGGGTCTTCACATCATCAACCATACGATTGTATATTTCCCCTTCCACTACTTCCGGAACCGCAAAGACTTCCGGGTTCATAAAGGGGCAATGGTACTAGTGAATCATGGGGACGAGTGAGATGAGAAGATAAGTGTTAGGGTAGAATCAATGTTGGTATAATCTATGCCGGATGGAGAGACTAGTGAACGGCAGAAACTCTTAGGCCTCGAGGCATATTGTGATAAATAGTTCTACGCATCAAATGGTTCACTTTGTTAAACGCCATAATTATCATGGATAGTGAGGGGAATGGACCCCATGTTTCTGAGCCTAGCATAGTGACAGACTTATTGTTAGTGGTTTTAAATTGAGGCCTACGCCGTTGGCTGCGAAACGGCTGCTTTTCGCCCGCAAAACAACAGACCCTGGCTAAGATGATAGCCTGTCGATGCTATCATTCGCTATGATATTCCCTAAGCTCAAGAAACACCCCTTAGGTGATGGTGTCTAGCAAAGGGAACGTCGAATGATGCTTATTTTAATTCCCTTATGAATAATATGACTCATGGTATACTATGGTAGTACCCCGGGAGCCGATCGCTTCCAATATGATTGACTTCTTTCACGGGATCACCTAAATTAGTATACTTGCTCAATAATTCGTAAAAGCAGTGCTAGAAACAGATATTAAACAAATATCAGTATCCACGAGGGTGATGTATTGATCGCCTACGTTCATCATTGCCTTTTATGGGAGTCAGCTGCACACGGCCCCCTAAAAAGCATATACTACATCTCAGCTTACCTAGAAGTTCTTAGAAGATATAGGAAGTCACTGGAAAGAACTATGAGCATAGAATTTACAGGAAATTTCTGGAGACAAAAAGAATCTTCTCAGATCTTCCAAATAGAAAAGCGTTGTGTATATAACCACCTCCGTTTCCGGTGATGGAAGCCTTGTCTACCAGACTTCCAACTATCATCATTCCCCCCTCTCACAACCACAATCACAAGTACACTCACTACCATCACCATGGTATACCGCGTCATGGTCTTCGCACCACGCAAGACCAGCATAACCCACGAGGAATTCAAAACCCGCTACGAGCAGCACATGCGCATGATAGCGGATATCTGCGGTGACGCAGCGCCGCTCTCCCACACACGATCGTATCTGAAACACGACGCGGAATCCAACCCGATGGTTCTGGCGGGAAGCGTCGAGGAGACGTACGATGCCGTTGTGACCATGTCATTTGAGGATGAGGCTGCGTTTGGCAGGTTCTGTCAGGTGTTGGGTACGCCGGAGGCTAAGGCGATGATTGAGGCTGATGAGGCGGGATTTTGGGATCGGGGGAGGATGAAGGTTATGGTTGTTGAGGATGTGAGGGGGTTGGAGTAGGGTCATCTTCTCTAGGTGGGTTAATGGATGGATGAAGACTCTAGATTGTTATTCGGAATCACTATGTCTATAGTAATCTATCTGCTTTTGAGGCATGGGAATACGATGTGGGAGAGTGCGAGTGAAGAAAGCATGCTTAGAAGCAAGAAACATAGTATACTTGGACAACTAACTACACAATGTGCCTGGTCTCTTTGGGGATATTTCAATGTTCCATATATCATCTCTCATTGCATCCGATACTGTACACGCCTTGCTATCAAGACCTAGCACAATCAATGTACACATTAAAAAAACATATCGACATCATAACTACATGAAACAGAAAAACCAGCACACCCATCCTACCCATTCTCCAATATGTATCCATAATGCCGAAATAAAACGCCAAAGACTATCATACATCCCAGAAATCATAGCTCGTAGATCAAAAATGCATCCGCATACACCATAACCGAAAAAAGACTCAAGAAACAGGCCGATGACACTCCGAACAAATAAGCTTCTGCTTCCCATCTCTCCCCTTAACACTGCGGAAACTCGTCCCACGACAATTATCGCACTTAAGCACATCTTCCTCTGTATCACCCATCGAAGAGGTACAGTCACTGCTCAGCACACTCCCTCCCGAAGTACTCATATTGCGCTCGCCCGACGGAACCCTATTGGGACTAAGCAAGTCAGTCGACTTCCGGGCCTGCATAGCCAGCGCATCGTGCGTGATCTTATTCCAGTACGCGTAGCTGCGGTCGCCCTGTAGCCAAAGCGGGTTATCTTGTGCTTTGTTGATGGCTAGGAGGTCTGCAGATGAGGTGGGTCTCGGGGGAGGTTGGGCTTTGGAGGTTGAGACGTTTGCACGGCCGTTATTGTTTCCATTTGCGCGGCTCACGTCTTCGCTTGTGCGGGTACTGTCAAAGCGGAGCCGGTTTGGTGATGGAGGTGGGGATGTAGTGGAGACGGATAGTGATTCGTGCGGGCCGAGACTTGAAGGTCGGGAGGAGGCTAGTCTGGAAATTGCTGGGCGATGCTGGGGGGATGGGGTGCGGGTTCGGAGGCCGGGGCGGGAGCCTTCGGTGCTGGAGCGGCCGTGGCGGACGACGGAGTTGCGCCACGAGACGATGCGCTCCGAGGGGGTTTTGTGGGACGAGTCCTTTCCTGACGAGGCGATGCTGCGGCGTGCGGAGTTGGAGCGTTTGAGGATCCGGCGTGAGATGGTCGAGTTGGCGTCCCAGTTCTCGTAGCGTCGTTTTTGATACGCGCAGTCTTGTCGGAGGACTTTGATCTTGCCAGAGTAGTCGGCGATCACGATGATTTCTCCGTCTGGATGTTTGGATCGTGCGAGGTATGAGGGTGATTCGTGGGCCATTTTGCTAACGATTGATAGGCGAGGTGTTGATGCAGAGCGCTTATGGAGGTTTTTATTTTCTTTGCCTGGGCTTGTTTTCTTTGAAGGGTCCGTTGGCTCCGGACCTATTAGAGCTACCGGGGGCGGATTGCAGATGTCGTAAATTGGATCTTCTGATAGCGCCAGGACCCGTTTCGTTATAGTTGGTGCCATGATTGCAGCTGTTACCATAGCAGACTGTGTCTCGAATACCTCCACAGCCTGCTTTTCGGAATCTTGTTGCACAGACCCAATTGGCCACACGTATGCCCTGCGATCCTCACTTCCACATATGATGTACTTGCCATCATTGGTGAAGGTAGCTCTAATTTGGCTGCAGGTGTTTTCGTTACCGCGGAATTTAGCCACCAGTGATCGATCATTGAAGTTGTACAACCTGATGCGGGAGTCGTTGCTGGTAACAAGTAACTTGATATCACCCTCGGTATCATCCTTAGCATTGTCCCTGGGTACCGTCATCGTATCAATTCCGGTGATTTTACTACCCTTGGCGTTGCGCCCACGGGCCGATCGCACATGGATCTGGGCTGTTATTTTCAGGCCCTCAGTGTCATAGATGTTTAGTATGCCATTCAAACATCCGGCAATGGAGTATCGGCCATCTGGGGTGAATGCCACTGCCGTAATCATATCAGGTACGGCAGTGACAAAAGCCACACTCTTATCTGGGATACTCCAGAGTCGCAGTTTCGTATCGAGAGATCCAGCAAGGAAAAAGCGGTCGTCACGGGGGTGGAATTGGATCGAAGTCACAAAATCACTGTGCTGGAAACAGCAGAGACATTCCGGTCGAGAGATATGCCATAGTCGCACTGTTTTGTCCATCGAAGAGGAGAGAAGAAAATTGTTCTAGCTCACCGGTCAGCATGACCGTTTCCTATCGTGTTGAATGCTTTGAGTATGCGTACTTTACTCCAGCTCAAATCCAAGATACTTCCCGTGTGTCCCTCATACACCTGAACAGGCTCCGGCTGGAACACAGGCGCCTTCAGACCGGAATGATCTTGTGCGTCGACGGGTGTTGCCTCTTCGTCCCCATTGGCATCCTCACGCTCCTCCGGTGTAGCGATAACAGCCCATACTCGGACCTTCCGGTCCTGGCCAGCGGCGGCGAGATATTTACCATCCTTGGAAAACATGAGTGCCCAGACAGCTTTTCCGGTGTGATCGCCATTCTGTGGCAAGGCCGAGGATGTAGATATCCGTCTATCTGCGGGTTTGGGCGATGGGCCGCTGCCCTCCAGTTCCTGGGCCAGAAACACGCGGTTGAACGTCTTATCCTTTTTGTAATGGGCTCGCACCTTCAAGTATTTGGACGGAGCAGGGTGTCGAGGTATAAATCCAATTGGATGCGAAGTATCAACGGACATGCGGTATGCTTCAGATTCCGAGATCTCATCTTCCGCCTCCGACAGCTGATCTTTCTTCTTGTTTCCAATGATTCGGCTGAGGAAGGAAACACCTTTTCTGTATTCGAGAAGAGCAAACCACGGGTCAGTCGCTGGTAATATAATGTATATTGTTGCGAGAATCTTGGGGGGTGGATCTTCTCAGGTGGACTATGTGGGGGAGGCACAAAGAAACCCCCGGCACACAAGTATCGGCAACACAGACCGTCGGCGTGACTGTGATTGCCAATGCAGGCTGACAAGGTCTAAAAACTCACTTCTTCTCTTTAGGAGGTTTTGAGGAGGTAGGCAATGCATCTCCCCGTGTCGGGCTTGGCTCTGCTTGGCCATACTCGGAGCCCACTGCCTCTGCTTCGTATGACGCTCTTCCCAGTAATTTCAGGGGAATGGACTTTTGGGTATTGGTGCGTTTGATAATGTGCTACAATGACAGAGCACGGCCCTCCTGTCAGCTTGGCTCCTGCATCTCCGTATCTGCATCTCAGATGCGGGTTACAGCACATGATCGGACTGAGGAAAGTAACGATCGATTTGGTGCAGGTCTCTGAGAGCTTACCTGCGATAACGGATCTATGGCACTTGACTCGGTCTTCTCGATGGGGGTATGCGAGGTCGAGTCTCGTAGAGAACTACCAATGACCGAGCGCCTGGAATTCCGAGCATCTTGCAGACTATAAGTCGAGCCCGAGGGTACATCCGATGTTGCCGAGCCTGACAGTCTCGTCAGCATCTTCCGTTGACAGGTTTTTACTTCTTTCTTTTCGGCGCGTGACCGGGACAGCCAAGATCCAGTGGGCACTGGCGCATTGCGGATTTCCAGGCCAGACCAGATTCAAATCTCACACTTCGAGTTTGGAGATTCACAATTCAAGATTCAAGATTCAGAATCAAAAATCCAAAGTCCAACTTACCGGGGAATGTGGAGGTCCCGAGGGGGGTCAAATCGGTTATCGCGGGGGTCGTCGCGACTCGTAGTTGGAGATAATTGCTTCCCTCCGCCATATGTTCAGTCGCATGGGGGGTGGTATCGAGGAGTGATATACAAATGTAAATGTACACTATTCACAAAGGCTTGAATAAAAAAAAGAAAAGAAGAAAAGGTAAAGTAAAGTAAAGCGGCAAAGACCGGATAGCGCTGGATGACATCAAATGGGGGCGATGAGGGTGGAGACTTTGGACCCCTTCAGTGCTTATTTTTCTGTGAGAATGTTCGATGTATAAGTCTATACAAGTATGAATTGTCTAAAATCTAGAATCAAGTATAGAATATAGAATATAAAATATAAAATTATGGAATTATATTAATGCGATTGAAGTTTTCTTGCTCGGTCCTTTGCAATGTCACACATACCCTTCAAAGGTCAGTACATGCACATGTGTATAGCAACTCAACGATAAGAGAACATTACCTGAATGGTCTCTTCAATCTCTTTCTCCGCATTAGCCCGGTCAATCCGCTGACGCATTTCGACCATAATCACGTCGCGACTACGCCCATTGACAAATGTGCTATATATCTCCGGTCAACATGTATAGACCAATGCGCAAGAAACGTCGACCTACACAAATCGCAACCCTGGAAACTTTTCCTCGTATTCCGCGTTTAGTGATCGTAATTTCTCCGCCTGTTCCTCTGCGCCTTCATTCAATTGGGCCTGTTCCTTTTTGCTCAGCTCACTCAGATGTTCTGGATTGGCTGGGGCCCGGCCAAGACGTGGGTGCGATCCCAAAATGCCAAAGAGCACGTCTCGGTCGGTAGGCGAATTCGGTGCTGAAAGTGCAGACATGCGACCCCCTACAGCATCGATGAGGCTGGTGTATGAAGAGAAGGTCTGGTTGGCCAGCACAGGGATCATCAGTCGGTGGAGCTCTGGGGAGGGCTCGAAGAGGGTATCGAGCACCCGAAGCTGGGTCTCTTGGGGTAGGGAAGGGATCGTCGATAGCGGGGGAAGGTCCATGGTGTAGTGTATTGGTATAAGAATATATATGAAGAAGGGAATGTATTGCCATTAAGTATCGAAGTATCAAGTTGATATCTTCCCGCTTTCGGAGGACTCCGAGGCGGAGAACAGCGGGGATTCCAGGTCTTGGAGATGCACTTGGAGTGTAAGGAGTATTATGTATGGAGTTATATTGTAACTACTCTAAATATTGTAACTAATTATCGATTTAACGATTTAATGATTTAACAATTAATTATGTATCTATTTATATTCTATCTAGTGCGTTTCATATGTTTACATTAGTTTAACAACATTCAATTGATTTCCTTGCAATCCCAATGAGCTCATACATTCCAGGACCAAACGACCTCTTATGTATCGAAGAATTCGGGTACTTTAGTACTTTAGTGCTTTTTTTTTTTCTTTTTGACTACTTAAAAGACTCGGACAATTTAAATTAGGATAATCAAAGGTGGAGCCAAAATGAGGACATGTTCCCCCCCTGAGTAAAGAGTTCGCCTAAACCAACTCTGTTTTCATGAAACAGCCAAATCTGCACTTCGGCCTTGATTGGGCACATCGCGATCTTGAGATCCGATCCCAAGTCAACTTTTAGTGTCTTTACCCGCTTTCTGGGGCCACATTTCTCTCCTATTCTCTCTTCTTCACACACATTACCTTCGGCATTGCGCCTCCTCTGGCCTCCATGCGGCTCACGCCATGTCTTTGAATGGGCTCGATACTGCCCCCGTCGTGGAAGCCTACCAAAGTGCCCTGGCAGACGCGGGCGGGTGGTGAGTGACCCCTTTCCCCCGGTGTTTCAACTTGCCCACCGTGCGACAGATACATGATACATGAACACCCGTTACTGACACCCCTATCTACGTTTCAGGTTTCTACTACACTACATTGCAAGAGATGAGGTTGCCCTCCACGAACGAGGCACCGGCGGGGTGCCCGAAATCCGGAATGCCATCGACAGCTACGAGGAATGCTCGCCGCTCTATGGCTTCCTTCAATACCGGCGCAGAAAAGTGATCATCCGCTACATGCCGGAGGGGTTATCCCGGCTCATACTAGGTATGCCCATCACCCACAGTTCCATAGGAATTGGTCTAATATGTCCCAGCCCGAAGCAATGTCCAATTCCAGTCCGTCACCGACAAGTTCACTCCAAACGACACCGTACTTCCTCTGTCCAAAGCCTCCGATCTCACCGAAAGCGCCTTGTCCTCCGCCTGTCTCCTCCATACCGCTTCGACCTCAATTACCTCTTCTTCGAGCTCTCTTCGCCGCCGCCGGCTGATGGAAATTACGGAAGATGCCGAGGAAAATGGCACAAAAGATGAAGCTCCGATACCTATCCCACCTCCCCAGTCGGAGGCCCGACGCAGACCAAGGAGCGTCAAGTCGGAAGCTACCCTAGTGCCGTCACCCATTGAACCTCCCGTGGAACCAGAACTACCTCCGACATCGCCAGAAAGCGAAATGGCATCAGTCGATCTCATGCCACCCCCATCCCGGGCGAGCTCCAGAGCCACAATCTCTCGAGGGAGTCCCATTGAACCCCAATCCGCAACAATGTCCCCCAGATCCGTAAAATCAGATCGCTCTCGCTCTAGTTCCAGGTACCGAACCATTTTGGATGAATTCCCTCGTCCTTCGGAAGAGCCCCGGTTGTCCTCCCAATCCAGCCGCCCCTCACTCCGAGATTTGGAACGGGCCGCGGGATACACCCCAAAGGTTAAGCTGGGACCCCGACCGTCCGTGGATAGCAGTGGAAGACCCCGCACAGCAGGTAGTTCTCGAAATGTAGACCAGCGCCCCGTTGCATCCCTACCGACAAATATGCGCTCTTCTTCTGTGCGAAAGCAAAATGGTGATGCACCCCGCCCTCGATCTCAGGGGAGCACTTTCGCGACTAAGCCAACCAGTCGTGTCCCGCCAGTCCCACCTTTGCTAGTCCCACCCCCCTCCATTCCTATTTCGAGACCTCAACTTTCCCCTAGCGCCAAATCTCTTGGTGCTTTGTCGACCTCCTCGGGATTGACCCCTGAGAAAGAACGTTTGATGAAGGCTCTGCAGCAAAGAAGGAAGAATATGGCTAAGCGCGCGGAGGAAACCAAGAAGAAGCAGGTCTCGGAGGAAGGAGAGCTCAAACCGGTGAAGGATATTGCCAAAGATCTGGATGACGATAAAGAGAACCTCATTCAGATTCACTATCCTGATTCTGAAATGTTGCTATCAGAGCCTGAGACAATTCAACAAGACCAACAGGAGCTGCTTTGCGAAAATTCACCTGCGCCTTCTGACGCCGCCCCTGAGCTTGTTCCCGAGTCTATTCTTGAACCTGCCTTCGAGCCTGTTCCTAACTCCACTCTTGAAATTGCCCCCGCGCCTGTTCCTGAGACCATTGGTGAATCTGTTCCTGAGCCTGTCGCCGAGGCAGTTGCTAAGCGTATTCCCGAACTTGCTCCTGAGCCGGTTGACTCAAATCCCGAGGCTGTTCTTGAACCAGTCACTGGAACAATTGTTGAGTCTGCTATGACGCCTGAGTCAGATCAGCCTTCTGAGTCTCTTGAGGTAGAACCAGAACCAATCGCTGATCTACCTCTTAATAACGCTGAGGATGGGTCTTTGCCTACTGGCATAAGTGCCGATAGTCCTATCACAGCCGATGTCGCTGCTACACCTTCAGAGACTGTCAAGGGAGAAACACTACAGACACCCCCTGAGGATGAAACACGCACTGAGCACGAGGACTCCGCAATCCCTGGTCTCGCCCCACCTACCTCTAATCCTGGCGTTCCACTTCAAAATGAGCTTTCGGATGCCCATCAACCTGATTCAGGGGACGTCCCCGAAACACATTTCGAACTTTCCCCGGTTGCATATATGCCAACTGACGAACCTTCTGATGAGCTTATCTCTGCAGAGGTCCATCAGGCGGTTCCCCTCCCATCCTCTGCCTCTATTACCCCTCCAGAAAACACTAGCACAGAAACTCCAGCCGCCCCCGTTTTTGTCTCAATCGAGGCAGACAAGCCGACCCCTGATAATCTAATTTCCGAGAAATCCGAGCCTCTTACCTTGGATCAGAGGCGCAAGGTCCACCTGGAGCCCATTCAAGTGCCTACCTTAGAGTTCTCGGACGACGACAACCTCCTTTCCGATGATTCATTCATGGAGGAATTGACCTCGGCTACTGTCCAGGAGGCCAGACCAGTATCTGTCAAATCTCCCAACGGCGTCGATCACGCCTGGAGAAATTCGCGCGCTGTCTCTAGCCCGTTCATGGGGTCATCGTCGGGTATGCAAGCTCTGGCAGTGGGCCGGTCCATTTCTAGCTCGCACTCTGAAAATGGCTCGCCTACGCCGGTCCTCATGGCCAAGAAGATCAACGTCTCCTCTGGAATTTCCAGTCGTATCAAAGCTCTTGAAAAGTTCTCGAGCCGGGAAGGCACTCCCTTAGGCGCGAGTCCGGCTATAGGGGGACCATCAGCCTCCTCGTCTTTCGAGAACCTTCGCAAACGTGCATCTATCTCGTTGCCTAGTGGGCACCACGAAATCACTGCACCAAGCGCAATGCATTCCGCTCACGTCCCCGAGAGCTTTACCCGTGTGGCGAGCTTGAGTCGGCACACCCGTCAGGTGTCTGTGGATGCTACGCGCCCTACTACCTCTGTTTCCGTAACAGCCCGTATTCTGCGCGATGCGGATACCTCTCCCAAGCCTTCCGAAATTGAGCCCTCGCAGTCCCATGTTGTCAACCTCCAGACTAGTACTTTGACTGTGGAGCATGAGGCAGCCGAGGCAGCCGAGGCGCCACTCCCTCAGGTCTCGCCCATCGAGCCCACCAGCCTTCTCCAGGACCGAAGCATGTCAATGTCATCTACTACATCTAGTCGCCAAACTACGTCTCGCCCCGGTAGCCGTCCCGACAGTCGTCCTGGAAGCCGCCCCGGAAGCCGCCCCTCTCTCCCCTCGCGCTCTAGGACTGACGACAGTGTCCAATCTGCCTCTTCCACCCCCGAAGATAAGAAGATATCTCGCACTTCGCGACTCATGCGCCGCATGTCATCGATCACATCCAACTCTCGCCGCAGCATTATCGGAGCCCTCAGCTCGCCAGTCAAGGAAGAGGAGTATGTTCCCGCCTTCACAAACGGGTCTAGTAAGGCTCCAGGGTCGGTTAGCTCGCGCACTTCAGAGCCCATTGACATCGGCGAGGTGAACGTCCAGTTCCCAGAAACTCTTCTGTGGAAGCGTCGGGTCATGCGCATCGATGAACAGGGATACGTTGTTCTCACGCCTGGCACCAATGATGCCACCACCCGGAACATGACTAAACGCTACCATCTCACCGAGTTCCGCACTCCTTGTCTTCCTGATGAAGACATGCAGGAATTGCCCAACAGCATCCTGCTTGATTTCTTAGATGGAAATACACTCCAGTGTGCTTGTGAATCCAGACAGGGACAAGCCTCTGCTCTTCAGAGTAAGTATCCATGACATTTTTCTTCGAAATTACAAGAATAAATTGCTAATCGTCCACAGCTCTCATCGAGGCTCACAGTGCTCACCAGCAATAATCTTTTCAACAATTGGTCCAAGGACAGGACTCCTCACGCCGATAATCCTGTCTTCCATTTCCATTCTCTTCCGGGCTTGATCGCTCACATTTTCTTTTCATTTCTCAACTACACGCATCTTGCTACACCTCCTTCGACATCTATTTCTTATCTCACTTCTACAATCCTCTCTGTATCTCTATATCTTTTCTCTCTCTTATCTCTCAATCTGGTGTGTATGTGTTGTGATATATGTGGCGTGTTCTTGGTATACCCCTCCGAGTCAAAAGAGCTTCTCTTTCTCTTTCTTTTCCTTTCTCCCCTTCTCAAAATACCAATCTACTGCTCTTCGCCATGTACAGACAGACAGACAGTATTTCTTTGCCCCTCCTTTTTTCTCGCTTTTTTTTAATTGGCTTTGCTCTTGCATACACACTCTATGTCTTTGCATAGAGTGTTGGTGTTCCATTTGATGCACTGTGTTCTCTTCTTCTCTTGGCTTACTTCTAGAACCTTTTATTCTAATCCGTTTTCTGATTGCTATCTTGTTGCATACTACTTAAAATCTGTATTTGACTGATGTTCAAGGCTTGTGCTAGCTGGTAGTGAGGTATTGGACTTCAGGGCGGTGCAATCCGTTTGGGAGAAGATAAGTAGACCCAACACACTGCTTCCCTATTCTACTGTATGTAGGTTAGAGAATGAAGCAAAAAGGACAGAGAAATGTATCTCAATCGTGCTATTTTAAGCTTCTACCTACTTTGGGCAGGGGTATCAATTGGAAGAGATAAAAAGCCCAATCCGAAAGAATCATCAGCAAAAGCATGGTGTCCATCAAACCTCTAGGGCTGTGCACATCTAGCAAATTCGTTCCGTAGGAGAATGTACATTCTCTCCCCTCGGCCTGTCCCTTCTACCATCCAGCGCCTTTTTTCAACCGGTGATGGGTAAAGCTTGCAATTTGTGGGTATCTCTGTGGGCAGAAAAGTCGTTAAGAGTGGTTCTTGACAGCCGCAAATGAGACGTAACTTGATAACATACTCGAGAGGAGATCGCTGTGAGTATGAGGCGCTGTGTTTTAATCCCGTCTACTGGCTCAGTCGTGTCTTGTAATCATCAAGATCCAGTGATGTAAGGGTTTGATTGTTCAGCCGTGTTTCCAATTTCCGATGAACGTCGTGGCACATAACGATCGTTAATTCCTAGATGATCAGATCAGGTGTAACCATTCGCAAGGTCCTCAAGCTCCTGATCTTCATCATCTTCTTCGTCATCTTCTTCTTCTAATCCCCCGGTCTCCGGAATAGATGTCTCTTCACCCAGAAGATGTTCACCGTTCTGAGCCGTGCCATTTTCTTTAATGGAATAGAACTCCGGGAATGCAGTGCGCATTTGCAGCACATGCGCATCAACGACGTATTGCATGAGGTTGTTGACAGGGAAGGAAGAATGCATGCGTTTCTCCGATTCCATCAGCTCGACCTTCATCTGCGTCTCCCACTCGTGCTCTCCGGCATGATCGCCAATGAGCTTCTTGCGCTCGACTTTGTCCGTGGTCGAGATCACCTTCTCGCATCCGGGCATGCGGCATGTCCAGGTATCAGATGTCTCGTCGATGAATTCTTCAATTTCCTGTGCCGTATCTGGGGTTGGATCCCGCTCTGGGGTCAGAAGGGTTTGCCGTGATGGCGGTGAAGATACAGAAGGAGTCTGGAGTTTGTCTTTTTTGATATTGTCTTTGAACAGGCTCTTCATAAGAGAGGAGCCGGCGCCGCTGGAGGAGACGGACAAGAACGAGCGAGTCCGAGGCTTTGTGGCTGAGAATGGATCTCTGATTAATTCATGGCCACGGGTTTTGCTGGGTGTTTCGATCTCATCGAAATCGTCGATTTCATCGGTGTCCTCTTGGTCTTCCTCGTCGTTAGATTGGATTGTCTGCTGGTTTGCGGAGGCATTGCGATTTCGCTTGCCAGTCACTTTATTGGAGACTGTGTGGACTTTCGGACGCAGAACGGACTTCTGAGTCCGGCCGTACCGTTCATCGTCACTGGATTCTTCCTGCGAATCCAGGGGGGTTAGGAGTGCAGCTGGCAGAGGGGCGGATTTCGTGGATGCATGTGTGAGTTCCCTATGGATGACATAGCGAGGCCATCTAAAGTCTTCTTCGTCCATCATTTCTAGCACGGCGGCTGCCCTGATAGCAATAACTTTCTGGGCATCTTCGTTGCTGAAAGAGAATCGCTCTGCTAAGCGTTCTCCCAGGAGGTCAATATGCAGACGACGCTTTGCCAAGTGACCTTCTTCTCTGAGGTCCTTGAGCAACTGATAGATGGCATCGGCTTGTGATTTTGAGATTGCTGCAGGCTGATGTCGAGGAGTTGCCACTTCTGGTTCGTCTTGGGGTTCAGTTTCGCTTTCCTCGGAGGGCGAAAGCTCTTCCATCAGCCTATTGTAGTCATCCTAGGCTTATTATAAGTATACACATAGGCTATTGTAAATAAGGGTGCTTCTTGACTCACATTAAATTGGCGACGCAGATGGACGAAAACATTTGTCTTCTTCCATTCCACATCTGCATCACCTTGAATCATGCACCGAAGCAAGAAGGTAGCGTGTGTCGCAAAGACCTCAGCTGACTGTTCTCGGGTCTCACATGAGCCATATGTGTGGTAAGTGTACTAAGGGTGGATGAATATTAGGCCTCTGTGTTTGTATAGTGTATGACCGAGAACCGGAAGACTCACTTGCTCACAGAGACTCCTAAACGAAGGATTGATCTGCTTCTTTCCTTGCTGATGCTTATCGACCAGGAAATACAGCATATCAATGGCCTGAACCATGCGATTGTATGTGGGTGTGAAACCCTTGGCGGGCGAAATGATGTCGTACCAGCCCGCTTTACCAGCAACCCAGAGCTCAATACTCTTATCTTCAGTTTGGCCGTAGGCATAGTGTGTAACTTCGTCAATAATAATGCGCTTAGGAGGGTTGTCCGGGTTGAGCACTGGTGGGCAAGTGGGTTGTCAGCAAGCTACTCGATAAACGCGCATTGATAACCGATACGCACCCAAGTGTTCCTGATCCTCGCGAAGCGGCTCTAAGCAGCCGATCACCTGAACTGGGTTCTGTTCAGTAGCGTCCAGCAGATTTGCATAGAGCATCTTCCCAGGCTTGAGGACCTTCACATCGGTCAGGCCGAACTCCCACCAATCGTTCTCATCAGTAATAGAGGAATCGGTGGGAGCTAGGACGGTTTCTTCGCGGGATGTCATGGTGGAATTGGCATGGTGGGTGTCGAGAATAATGTATGTAGAAGGGGTAAGATGTAGGTAAAGTTAAGTAACTGAGAATATGAGAGCGAGAAGAAAGTGACCTGGAATGAAAGCTTGTAGTTGTCAACAGTCGAAGTCATCGACCAGTAAATTACAGATACAATGAGGTACCTATGTTACCCGCAATTAATTACATGGGGGCTCTGCCTGATTTATCGGGAATTTAGCCATTGTAACTCACCTATCACGTGCATGATTGGTAATTACTAATGTGGAATTTAAGGTTACAATTATCCACGGGCTGATTGAAATAAAACCTTGGAAGCTACCTAGGCATTCATTATTTTGACAATGTATTATAAGTCAAAATAAAAGCCAAACTCTCATTCAACAGGTGCCATGGTCTAGTGGTATGACGAGACATTGTGGTGTCCGATTCTGTCTTAGCCCCGGTTCGATTCCGGGTGGCGCCATTTCTTTTTTTTCCTTCCAGCTTTTTCTTTTGGTAGACACTTTGGTTGATCATGTCTCCCGAGTAGCAGCATAAGCATTTATTTATTGTAGAAAATCAAACTGTTCCATGGCTGCAAGAGTATTCAAAAGGGGGTGGATCTTTGATCACTACAGTCAGTGTAGTTTAGAATAGCATTTACAAGGACATCAAAGAGATCAAAGGTGCCTTAACAAGCCTTCAAAGTGCACCTGGAAAGGACACGAAAACAATTCTAAGGCCTTTACTCTGTATAGGACTATGATATGTATAGATATTCCTATTAATGATCTAGAAATTTGTATACTAATTAAATGATAATCATAAGACAATCCCCTTTGTCGTCCACAGGTAGTCCTAAAGAACTGCCGTAAAGGCGGGAGCCAGATCTTTACCAAAATAACATTTTTTCCTTGGTTCGACTCCCATCTCTCCAGATGCCATTCCCTCCAGGCTTCCGACTTTTTCGCAAAACCATGTCTGGCGAGAAGATCCTCGAAGGCGTCTTCGGTGAGCTTGACTCTTGCTAAAGCAAGACCTCGATCTAACTTCTCCGATAGCCGTCCACAAGCCGCAAGGCGTTACCTCCGCCGACGTGATCCGCACTTTACAGAAACACTTCAACCCCTCCAAGACCTTCAGACCATGGTTAGAAGAAGAGCGCGCACGCCGCGATCGTGAGAGCCAGTTCCAGCGCAAACGCCGTCGCCACCAACGCCTCGACGTGAAGATCGGCCATGGCGGAACCCTAGACCCGCTCGCGACAGGCGTGCTCATCACCGGAATTGGCAAGGGCACAAAGTCCCTCCAGGATTTTCTGGCCTGCACCAAGAGCTACGAAACCATTGTGACCTTCGGCGCGGAGACAGATACCTACGACCGTCTTGGCAAAATCGTGCGTCGCGCGCCCTACGAACACATCACGCGCGAAGCAGTCGAGAAGGCGCTGGAACAGTTCCGCGGGAAAATCATGCAGAAGCCGCCTATTTTCTCTGCTTTGCGCGTGAATGGAAAGAAATTGTACGAGTATGCGCGCGAGGGCAAGATGCCGCCGATTGAGATTAAGCACCGGCCCGTTGAGGTCTTGAACATGGAGATTGTGGAGTGGTACGAGCCCGGCACGCATGAGTACAAATGGCCCGAGGAGGAGATGACTGGTGATGAGAAGGCTGTCGCGGAGAAGCTTCTTGATCAGGAAGCCTCGGTGTCTGCGCCACTGGCCGAGGGTGAGGTTACGACCCAAATCCCCGAAGCTTCTTCTACCAAGCGGAAGTCGCCACCCCCGGCGGATGAGGTGAAGTATGATAGCGCGGAGGCTGCTAAGAAGCAAAAGGTGTCTGAGACGGACGCGGCGTCTGCACCTGAGCCTACTGCTCCCGAACCTGCAACCACAGAGGTCCCTGTTGTGCCTACAGAGGAGCCCAAGCCCCAGCCTCCCGCGGTGAAGATCAAGATGACTGTCACGTCGGGCTTCTATGTCCGCTCGTTGGCACATGATCTGGGCAAGGCTGTTGGCAGCTGTGCTCTGATGAGCGAGCTAGTGCGCAGTCGTCAAGGTGACTATGAACTCTCCCCTGACAAGGTTCTGGAATACAAGGACCTTGATGCCGGCGAAGAGGTCTGGGGACCGAAGGTGGAGAAGTTCTTGACAGAGTGGGAGGAGAAGAGAGCTACTAAGGCTGAAGCTGAAGCAGCTCAATAGACTGTGGAGTCTTAAAATGATATAGCATTTGTATATGGACTTGCTATCTATCTGTAATATCAACCATTCAATCCATATACTATGTACCATCCGTACCGGATAATTTCTGGCACTCGAAACCTTTCCCTTTCCCTTTCCGTTTTGATGCGCACCTCTTGCCGCTGTTTGATCTCAGAGTAAAATTGGGCACGTCTCTGAGTACCCTGACTTGAATTATACCTGTTACATTGTATAACCACCTGAACGAGGTCTGCTCAGTAAGCTTTACCTGATCATCCCAACGGATTCCGAAGTGCCTACTGAAGTAGGCTTGGGGGTCTATGACCTTGAAATTAGCGGGCAAATGTCGATTGCTAAATTGCCATAGCCCATGGACATCAATCACATGAATGAGGGAATTCCAGAAATAAATCATCAAAGTATGCTCACATTGAATTAGACGACTTCAACGCTGCTATCTAGACACAGACATGGGGATACAGTGAATCAAAATACCTATGAAGGTCATTCTTGCGGCCAGGCACCTGGCATCACTTCCACTGGCCGCGCAACCATCCTCCAGAAGTCCCCCACATAAGAGTCACTTGGCTCAGATAGCCATAGACGCCAATCTTCAGGGGAGGGGCCATAGGCAAATCCAATCACTCTTAGTGATTGGATCTCTTTTAGATGACCATTCCACGACCCGAACTCGCGCTGGATTGTCCCACTTTTCCAAATAGACTCCTCTGTCCTGCCATATTCGTTTAGATCAACAGACACAGTTTCCAATTGTTCCAACCACATTTGAACGCTATATGGATTAGGTGGGTTCCAAGTCCAATATCTGAGGTATCCCACGACAAACGATATAAATGGGGTTCTTTTTTGGACTAGGGTATGAATGTCATTTGTGACCCTCAGAAATTCACGACAGAGTTCAATCCAAGTGTCGATCCTTGATTGATGTTTGTTGGAACCACCCAATCTTTGAATGAGCCATCGAATAGCCCCGATATGCTTCGCTGCAGAATGAATCAGCGTTGGAGTCTTGTCTGAGCAACATGCGATATCATCGGAATCTAAGACATCTATTTTTAAGACCATTCGGACAATATCTGGTGTGAAATCGATACCGTTCCAGTGCACCGGTAAGCTCCCCGCTACGGAACGAGCCACACGGAGACGAGTCTGTTTTGGCAGATCGTAGAAAGAAGGGCAAATTTGCCGTTGTAAGAAGGCAAACTCTTCTAATGTTCCTTGAAAATTGCCCAGAACATTAACCACCCATCCGTGGGTGCACTCATAGCTCACATCTTTATGACGAAGGATGAGACGCATAGATGGAATCAACGACTCCAAATCTGGTGTACCTTCTGAGTAGTATGTACCGCTGAGAAGTGGTGGCTCGTCTAACGAGTTCAAATCTACTCCTTGGTCCAAGAGGAATGATACCATCTCAGTCCTATTTCTGCGGCCGACCAACTGTTTTATATGTCAGCGCGTCTGGTATAAATGGACTGCCTGCATGAAATGCTTACATGAATAAGGGATCTCCCATCTGGGCTTTCGAGTCGGTCAAAAGGTGATGCTTGCCGGGAGGCAAATAGATCCTGGAGCCCTTTGATATTTCCATCCGTCACAAATTTGTACGCTGGTGAATTGTAGGTAATTACACCATAGGCTCTCAGGTACCAATTCCACCCTCCTGGAGCTTTGATACTAACCACTTCTAGGACCTTTGGAGTGATCCAGAGAGGCAAGCTAAGCCGCCACATACAGCTATTGTTTTGATCGCATTTTAATCTTTGGTTTTGTGATATCACAGCAGATTTGATATGGCTGGGAGGGGACTCTGCCTCTGGTAAAGGTATTAATGAGAATGTGTCACCATCAGCTAGTGGAAACTATACCTTCGAGAGTTGTTGTAATCCTAGAGCTACTTGACGACGAACTGGCTGTATTGAGTTTCACCATGGTCTCAATGATCAACTGAGAGCGTGCTTCAATATGGGCTTGAGTAAGGGCCCTATACTTATCAGCTCACCAACATCCTTTGAATCTAGATGCCAGTAAATAACATACCGGTGGTAGCATTGCTCAGACCACATAAGCAGCTGTAGGACATTTCTCAAATGATCCATATGCTTCTCGATTCTCCCTTTTTGTAAAACAACCCTGGCGGACTTGAAAGACCGTCGCAAACGGCTCGGAAATTTCACATCCCGAACGATGTTGTTGCAGACCTTATCTAACTCATTCGCAGCTTCTTTGCAGTAGGCTAAGCTTTGCAGCGCAGCTTCACTGCTCTCCAAGGCGAGATTCGGATTTCGTGACAAGTCACTCTCCACATTCACCAGTATTTTACCAAATATTTCGATTTGTTGCACTAGCTTTCGTAGATCATCAGGCGCGTCACGTAAATCGTCGTAGCATTCTTTCAGTGTAATGACTGTCTTGCCGATTTGAACAATCACTGTCGCAAATTTTATCGCGCCTGAAACTACCCCGATGACTTCGGCCATCTTTTCTGGGCTCGGAGGCTGTCAAAGGGTCTGATTTGGGCTTCTATCGAACAGGAGGCTCTGGTGCTGGAGTGTGCAAGAGAAACACGAATTTTGAGAAAAGATGAGTCTCGACTTGAATGAAGAAGGTAAGATTGTGGCGATGCTAATTGAAGAGGCTCAGCCACGCTTCGTTGGCAAAATGATGTTTCGCCCAACGCCCAGCTTGTCAGAGCTACCTCTGAACGAATCATGGGTTCTATTTTGCCGCCCTTAAGTCCGGCCCTCGTTCGAAGATATCGATCGCAAGAGAACTTACTGGCATCTACACCTGGGCAGCTGCAACTGATCTGCATTCATCTTCCTAGTCATGTACAGATGGACTGATAGCCACCACATCATACCGCCGCTGCCGTCAAGGGATTCGTATCACATGCATAGTGATCTAGATGTATTTGCACTGTTTTTGACTTAGCTATTTATCAGGATTATCGTTATCAAGAATCCAGGCGACTTAATCCAAACAGGCAATTAGATGAAAAAAAGGCATGAAAGATCAAACTTGTAAGTTTGTTTATATTTTGTAGGTCAATACAGTCTATGAGCGTCGGCGTGACAAATGAGCGCCATACATACCTTGCCTTTCATGTGTGTACGTAGCGTTCAATATCTGCAACTCGAAACCTTCGTTTCCTAGAGCCCAGCTATAGCTACACAGGCTCACATTTGCAAGTGATAGAGATAATAAATCAAAACTGCCATTTTTGGTTATCCAGACCCAAGCGAGAAAAAATAATTACATGATGCACGATACAAATGCAATGTCACAACATAACCCATCACGTTAAAACGATTAGTTGCGTCCCTTGGCTTGGACTCTCTTGCTCTTGCCGGGTCGCTTTGCGCCACCCTTCATCTTCTTAGCGGAGAAGTTGCTCAGATCACCGCTAGACATGGCATCACCACTCTTAGCATGACGCTTCTTGCCTCCGAATCCGAACTTGGCGTCCTTCTTCTGGCGCTTGGAGCCACCGGGGCCATCACCACGGCTGCGCTTCTTGTCGGGCTGGGTAGCCTCGTCAATAGCAATGTCGAACATATCATTGGCATCATCGGTAGGGGCAGAGCCGTCAGCCTTGCGCTCTGTGTGGAAAAATCAGGTTAGCGACTGCAAAACTTATAGAAAGATATCAAGAGTAAAACAAAGTGAGAACATACTCTTCTTCAAGGTGTTGATCTTCTCCAACATCTCACGCTTCTCCTTGTGTCTCTGCTGCAACTTGGAGTTCTGGACTTGCTTGCCGAACTTCTTAAGATCACGCTGGCGGCGGGCCTCAGCAGAAGCCTTCTTGCTAGCAGCCTCTTCGTAAAGCTTCTTCTTGATCAAGCTCATGTGCTCATCGTTCTTCACCATCTCCGCGAAGTAATCGCCCGGCCGCGTGAAGGGAATGCCATCCTTCTTCAGCAGACCACGGGCCTGGGTAGCAGCAGTCTGGCAGACCTTGTAGAAGGCCAATTCACGGTTCAGATCGTCATTGGCGTCTTCGACCTCGATCGGCTCTTTCGAGACTAGGGAGTTGTGCTCTGAGAATGGGGTGTTGGGGCCGATGAAGGAAATGCGCTTGAGGGCGGAGAGGATAGCGGCAGAGTTGTTGATTGTCAAACGTTGGTGGGGAACGACATCTTCACGCTCGTCTTCTTCGAGGTCGGAGAGTGGGATGTCTTCTTCCTCTTCCTCCTCATCTTCCATTTCCTCGTCCTGGTCGACCTCCTCCTCCTCCTCCTCCTCCTCTTCTTCCTCTTCTTCCTCTTCTTCCTCTTCGGCGTCAGAGCTGGCAGCCTTTTCTTCCTCCTTCTCCTCCTCCACGATCTTGTCCTCGGGGGCGGCAGTGGCCTTCTTAGCCTTCTTTTTTTCCGCAGCCTTGATCAATTTCTTCTGCTTCTCGGCGTCGAAATCGCGACCCTTGTGGGCATCGAGAGCCTGGAGTAACTTGCTGCGTTTGCCCATTGTTGTTTTGTGTTAAAATACAAAGAGAAAATTGTATTTTATCTAATGTGAAAGGAATTGAGAAGAGGAAAGCAACTCGCTATCAAACCCGCATCAGAGAATCCACGGGATTTTTTTGAAATCGCGCCAGTCCTAATTTGGCTAGCGCCACCGATAAGACCACGCTAGTCCGTACATGGAAATATCTCGGAAATACACATGACCCGATTCCTTATCGAGTCCCACCGCCCTGTCAACTGTCTCTCGTCTCTACATACCCCAAACAGCCTGTACAGCGATTGCATAGTCTCACAATGGTCGACGATTCCAAGTCTCCTTCTCCAGACAAGCTAGAGAGCTCTCTACCAGAGGGTGTGTCTCTTCTATCACAACCGGTACATACCTTCTACAATCTCCAACCCCCACTTGTCGCCCTTCCTAACTAAATGCCCTCAGAACTCCGATGCCCAAGGCCAGCTCACGGCAGCTGTCGACGATCTGCTCAATGAACTCCAAACCAAATTCGATAATGTCTCTACGGAAATGTTCGGGAAACGTGAGTCCCTACCTCAAATCACCCACCATCGCTACCAATACATCGTCATACCTACAATTGTGTACTAACCTATTTTTATGCGTAGTGGATGAAATGACCAAGCGCTTAGATGAGCTAGAAGCATCTTTAGCTGCATCTGCGGGGGCCGGTGCCCCGAGTCCGACAAAATAAACACGCACGCCTTTTACCCATACTCCGACTTTGTGCATTCTTTCCTCGCGTGGCGTTTTTGGCAGGAGAACAATAAGCGCTGCATTTTTGGGGTGTCCAGCTCTGCTGAACCCCTGTACCAATATCCCAGCACATAATTTATCTATGGCATGCATAATGCTTTCTGGGGATGTGCATTGGACGGCCATGTAACTGGCCTGTGTCTGGTTCTGATACTTATGCTTTTACGATTTCATAGATACCCTACAATCAAACGAGGATACTCGTACAGAAGAACCATGTTTACTTATTTAATTACGCGGATCTAATTCATATATCACGTAGACTTTTTTGAATAGGCAGGAAACCTTGGGGTTCGTACTCAATTCGTACAATATACAGCATCAAGTCAATAGTTTCGTATACAATTCAATACATTTCCTTCAGATCCATGCTTTTAGCAGTCCCGGTCCTCAGTCTAGAATCACAGTGACTAGAGCCTTAAGCCAAAAATCCGAGAAAAATAAAAACATCCAGAAATAACAATGACAAAGCACTTAAAGCTCATCGCGCTTCTCCTGGCCAACAAAGCGTTGGAGGATGTTGCTGCGAGAGAAAATGTCATCCAGCTTCTCGGGAGCAGAGCCACCCTTAGCCAGGATCTTACGGAGACGAGTGAGCTCCTTGACGGCGTAACCCTCGTTCTTGCTCAGCTTCTCAGCAGCCTTGACATAGTACTCAGCGTACTTGTCGGACAGACCCTTGGCGGCCTTCTTAATCTCAGTCACAAGCTTGTCAAAGGTCTGCGCAGCGACGTTCTCAGTAACGATCTCGTCCAGGGCGGCGATGGTGCCGGCCAAGCTGTCAAGACCGCCACCAACAGCACGGTGGGTACCGGCCTTCTCGTTGATGAACTTGACGAAGGCCTCCTCGGAGCGTGCACCAGAGTATGGCTCGGCCTCGGTCGAGCCCTTGGGGAAGAACTTGATGGTAGGGAATCCGGTGATACCCTGTTCCTTGCTCAAGGCACGGGAGTTCTCAGCCTCGGCGTCGACCTTAGCGATAACAACGTTGGACTCGAGGGCGAAGTCGTTGGCGAGGGTTTCCCAGGTAGGAGCGAGGGTCTTGCAGTCTGAGCAAAGGACGAGAAATTAGCAAAACAGATCATGAGACTAGTTCAAACTAGACAAGAGCCAATTAAATTGGGGTTAATCGACTCACGTCCACACCACGGCGCAGTGAAAGCGACCAGCACATCCTTATCGCCACCGACAACGGTCTTGAAAGAAGCATCGTTCAGCATCTCAACGTTGCTAACCACCTTCTGGGCGCCAGCGCTACGAGGCTTGATGCCGGTCTTCTCGGTGATGAAGGCGGACAGGCTCTCGAGGTCACGACCGCCATTGTATTCCTCGGGCTTGTCGCTCTTTCCATCGAACCACTTGACGGTAGGGAAGCCCTGGATACCGAAGCGCTTGCCGAGCGAGCGGTTCTCGTCGGCGTCGACCTTGGCGATGGTGACCTTGTCTTCGGCGAAGGCGAAGGTCTGCGCAAGCTCTTCGTAAATCGGGGCGAGGGTCTTGCAGTGGCCACACCAGGGAGCGAAGAATTCGACCAGCGCGGGCTTGCCGGCAAGGACGACTTCGTCGAAGTTGGTGGGGATTAGGTCTTTCACTGCGGAGTTGCTTGCAGTAGCGAAGCCGCTGAGGGCTGAGACCGCTCCGAGGAGCAGGAAGCTTAAGCGTGCCATTATGTATAGATATTTGGATGTGAGTATACTCTTGGGAAAAAAGTATGAGTTCACAAAGGAATCGGGTGACGGAGTTAAAGCTCGGGGAGGCGATGACAAACAAAGCCGAAGAGGCCACTTGGTGACTCCACAGCTCCGCAGATCACATCTATCTACTTCTAGGGCTGACATCTACAACTTACGATATGACATGATATAGCTACTTCCCCTATGTTTCTGAATTATGCTGCTCTTGGGTATTATCGAGTTTCTTGTTCGTTTTCTTGATTTGTTTTGTCTGTTTTGCTACCTGGGTAGTTAGTAATACACTGGAGAATTGCCAGTATCGCATTTCCTGGGCAAAATCGGAGCTATTGGCATAAACTTCAATTGCAAGCTGCGCTTGTTAACCCGGAATCCCCACAATGGTTGCTTGGTGTCATTGGTAAAGCTTGCCCATATCATCGTCTCTCTGCCAGCCACTTGTTTGCGTCTTCCCAGAACTTTGCTTCCTTGAACTCCTTGCCCGTACTCTGTGTGCCTGCGTAAACCTATCTTGAAAATCAGCCTTTGGTCAACAATTAATACCAGGCAATACGAACCGCATCCCACAGCTTAAATGCCAAATCCAAGTTTCCAACAAAGCTCTCGCTGTGTTGGAACCATTCCTTCCCCTTCGCTTTCACATCCGCTCGAGCCTCAGGCGATGTTGGATTTGCCTGTAGGGGTAGGTCGTCGAGGTAAGTCCGAACCGCAATTCCAAGTCCACAGTCGTTATCATCAATAAACGGAAGCCTAAGAGAATAGGTTAGAATAACAATCCAGATCCAGCATAGTTAGTCTAGAAGGTACATACTTGATAGCCATCTCAGTCCAGTCATTGCGGTCCCGATCAGCGTCACCACTGAGCAGCAGACCAGCCAGTACTACCTCGATCAAATTTCTCAGTGCAGAGCGCACCTCAGAAATCAAAGAGCGGTAGCAAAGAAGTTGACGGCTCAGAGGTCCAGAATATCCAATACTCTTGTGCTGAAGCTTGGCAACACATGCAGCCCGCGAAACCAGCATGTTGAAAGTCTTGTCGTCTTCTGACCCCCTCATAGGACCGCCAGATACATGTGAAAACCAGTTCTTGGTGTTGAGAAGACCCAAGCGGATCATCTCAATAGCAATGAATATAGATTCCTCGAGGTTGTCCGCAGGATCGATAGCTGATAGTGCATGCGCTAGACATTGGCCCCACGGAGTGAGCGTGTGCTTGTCGTCAACGTATCCACGCAGCTGCAGGAAGCGCCACATAACATTAGATAAGATATCATCCTGCGATGAAAGAGCCTTCGGAAGCTGTCAGTTATCAAACAACGTCAACCCCATGGGTAAACTTAAACTTACAGGTGTTTCTTTATTAGCAAATGACTTAGATGCAAAGTCAGTGTCACTTAAGCTCTGGACAGCAAACTTAAAGGATCCGCGAGGCGCCTGAAGCTTCTTGATACTTTCGGGGAATTGTTCTCCATGGATCTTCCAGGAATGGATGGTTTCCTTGACTGATGGGATGCCCTTGAGGTTGATCGTCCGCTCTGAGTTCTCATCGAACCATGGACGGATCCGAATGACTTTAGTTTGGTAGAATCGATGAAGCGAGTTTGCTAGAAGGCAAATAGACTGAGTGCGCACAGGTGTCAGAATTTCACCCACGAGCTGGCGATAAATCTCGGTGTCTTCGGTACCCAGCGGTAGCGAGATGCGAACTTCACCAGTTGTGAGGAAGTTGGGTACATCCGCACCAATAATACCTTTAGAGAGATAGAAGTACAGCTCTTCTGGGAGGCGTTGCCCGATAAGCTCATGCATATCCGACGAGGTATTCTCTGAATCCATGGGACCAACTCGACCTTCCACGTCAATGTAGACATGGTGCTTCACAATCATATAAGCTCGCTTATACAGGTCTGCGTATTGAAGCTCCTGCATACGGCGGTCCTCTTCAAATTGGGCGCACAGTGTCAATGCACTCCGTCCAGCTGCGTTGAACATCGGCAACGCATCGCGAATGGTGGGGCTTTTGCCGGGGTAAGCAGGGTTCTCGAAAAGTGGGAGGGAGCGAAGGAAGGGGGAGCCCAGCAGTAAACAGAACTCCAGGAATTGTTCATTGGAAAGTCGACCCAGCTCCTCCTGGCAGGTTTGCTTCGTGATCCAGAAGAATTGCGCGGGTTCGGTGTCGATACGGGTGACCAGCTTGTCAAGGTCAAACAAGAGGGCTTCGGAGGGGGCAAAGACAGCATCGACCACAGGATTGCTACCACGGGCGAGGTAAGAGAGCTGTTCGGAGAAATCTGTTAGCACTTAACAATCCAACCATGGTGCATAGGGTAGCCACTCACCTGGGCCGCGGCGCTATATGGCGCTACGATAAAGTCCACTCCGTTTTGGGTCAAAATGCGTTGCAGGAACTTGAAAAGGGTCTCCGGGGGCGGGGTGCCTGAGGGTCCGGTAGTGTCAGCGCTTGTAGGGAAGCTTCCTTGTGCCCAGTAGTAACGATAAAAGCCCCACGGGTCCGTAACTGGGGAGAGATTGAGATAGGGATAGTGGGTGATCATACCAGCACTGCTGAAGGCATCGACCACCTGGTCTGCCTGTTGCTGGTCGTAAAGATCCCAAGCTTGTTCGAATGAGCGCGACGCTGCGGGCTGAGCGCGGTGCTCTTTCTTGCCGAATTCCAACCCATTGAAGACGAAGATAGTAGCGACACCAAGGTTCTTGAAAGTCTGCAATTCCTTCTCGATGTTAGTCCTCAAGGCGAACGGGAATCCGCCTAGTGCGCCTAACAGCGCTTCCCGGGTTGACTGGTTCACGAGGTGTTGGTTGATGTAGTGCGACGCATCGATGCCGATAGCGGCGCCCTTCAATGCTGAGAGGGGCAGGGACTGGGTGCGGCCAACGACCCATTCATCGAGGGGACGGACTAGTCATGGAGATAAAAGGTTAGCTGGTGCGATTGCGGATTGTGGAGCTGTGCTATTGCGTACTCGGCATGGTTCTGGAGCTATCTGTCACCTAAAAGCACGGCAACGCCGGGCATCAAAGCCCGAAGGTGGAGAACAAGAGGTTAAATTAAAGGTAAGAGCAGATCAAAAGCTCCGTGATCAGGAATATGATGAATCGGAGCTGGGATTGTTTGGGTTTTCGGAATGAGGGAGAGGGAGATCACGAGGGGGGGGGAAGGCGGAGTTGGAGTTGGCCCTTTGTTTTTTTGCCTTTGAGATGTAGCACATCGGATTTAGTCGCTTGTCTCAACCACTTCAATTTAGTTTTTTGATATTTAGTCTGGTTTATATTTGATTTAGTTATCCATGCTCAGCTTCTACTTGAACTTAGGTTCCTGTTTTACCTGTTGGCTATAGAAGAATGTACGGCTTATAATGAAGTCATCTCCAATATATATTTAAATAGAAACAAAATAGTCCCACAAATCCACAAAATCCACAATATATTATGGAGTATATAACAAAATGTTCCAAATATCTAGACAATCCATGTTTATCTTCCTACTTAGTAAGTACCATTAGGCACTCATTATGTTGTATATGTTCGTAAAGTCCAAATCAAGCATTCCTAGGTGTATGTATAAGCGGGGGTAATGACACGCGGGGTTCACCGGCCATTCAGGTCGGATATCGCCTGAGCTCGGAATTGTCCCAGAAACCTGACTGGAGCCGGCTATTAAACAAGCAATTGGATTGGTTGGATCCAATTTGATATCATGATATTGAGATACGCGTATGGGTATCAAAACGCGTATTACCAAAGTGAGATACGCGATAGGCCTAACCACATATGCACTAAATAGTAGTCGTTCCAAACCTCATCCTCAACTATATATTCTCTTCAATCTTTGAACCCTAACCTCTGAAGAACACATATTTATCCACTCTTCAAAATGGCAGACACTATCGCCCCAATTGAGCTTCCCGTCATTGACATCTCCAATCCCCATGACCCCGCCGTGGGGAAAGCCATGTTGGATGCCGCTACAAAGTATGGCTTTTTATATGTCAACAGCAAGGGAACCGATTTCACTGTGGAGGATGTGGATCGTGGGTTCGGATTGGTAAGACTTACACTTCAATGATTCAATTAACTGACGTCTATATGTACAAGTACTGACCAATCAATCCTATAGTCGAAGAAATTCTTTTCGTCTCCCGCAGAGGAGAGAGAGATATGTCGGATCCAGCCGAATGTTTGTAATAAGGCTTAACACAACCGAACAAACATATTTGATCTAACGACAATATCCATAGAACCATGGCTGGTCCGGAATGCACACAGAAACCCTCGACCCCGAGCATCAGCGGGTAAGTAATGGCTCTGACTCACTAGTGCCCTAGCATAGAGTACGAAGACTGACATTGGATATGACAAATTGACAGACCGGTGACTTCAAAGAGTATGAACTCACCACATCTCTGATCTTTGAAATACTCTAAACCATGAACTAACCACCCAACCAGAGCCATGAACTTCGGCGATTTCAAAGACGGCAAAGCCCAGCAGCCTCTGCCAGCGTCGCTAACTCCCCACGAAGCAGAGATTAACGACTTCGCCCAACTTTGCAACAAGACCTGCACCCGAATCCTGACTCTGCTGGCCCTAGGCCTAGAGGTATGTGACCCATTCCCATCCCCAACCAACCAGATTTATACATCTACCATCATCACTGCCCACTATACACACAAACATGTAATATGTAATATATACCAACCAACAAACCCCAGATCAAAGAAGACTTCTTCACAACCCGCCACGACCCAAGCAAAGGCCCGACAGGCAGCATCCTACGATACCTGTACTACCCGTCGATCTTCTCGCCAACAACAGCATCCTACAAGCACGACAAGGACGTGCGAGCCGGCGCGCACTCCGACTACGGCAGTGTCACACTTCTCTTTCAGCGGCCTGGCCAGCCAGGCCTAGAGATCCTGACTCAGGACGGGAGCTGGGCGCCCGTTCCCATCGTGCCCGGCACCGCAGCCGAGGCCGAGGGATATCCGTTCCCACCGATCTTGGTGAACATCGGCGATTTGCTGAGTTACTGGACGGATGGGCTGTTGAAGTCGACCGTGCACCGTGTTGTGTTCCCGCTTGCTGAGCAGCAGAGCCCGAACCCGCAGGATCGGTATACGCTGGTTTATTTCTGTCATCCCATTGACGAGACGGAGTTGGTGCCTGTTCCTAGTGAGATTGTTGCTGCGCATCGGGAGCGGACTGGGGGTGTTGCTGCTGATGGGAAGGTTGGGTTTGGGGGTGGTGCAGGGCATGCGGTCCCTGGGAAGAGGCCTTTGACGGCGCATGAACACCTTATGTCCAGACTGGAGGCTACTTATGGGTTTACTAAGGAGAAGTAAGGGCTGGGTGGGGATCAGAGAGCTTCAATGTTTGGTGGTCTGCTAATCCTGGGTTACTGACCTCGGGACTACATGTAGCTTACGTGCCATTGAGTAAATGTGGACAGAGTCGTTCGTGAGACTGGGAATAGATTGTAAAACGCCGGTGCCGTTGTGGCATAGTGCAAACACAGAAAAAAAACGGGTCCTCCGGACATAAATCAGAATCATAGATGGGATGTGCACCAAAATGAAATGCTCCAGATGACCATAACACGGCCCAAGTTGTCGGCAATGATACCCATCTACTGACATAGGAAACTCGTGACAGCGCAATTAGTTATGAGAGAAATCATAATGGCCCAAAAAAAGACAAAAGGCAAAGGGAATATTGCCTCTGATGAGGAGGTTGGAGTGAGATATACAATCATGAGAAATGGTCAAATGTGGATATGAGCAATGGAAAAAGGACTCGCAAATGACGGCCCCATGTCAATGAACCAAGATGAAGGCAAGCTGTGCGAGAAAGGGAATATGAAAAGGCTAGACATGTAAAAGGTATCGTCGGGTCGAAATGGAAACACCGCAAGATTCTGAAATGCCATGCGAGAGAAGAACCTTGTAACAGAATGGAAGGGAGACGCAAGACGGATATAACGCTATGCGGGGCGGTATGCATGGAAATCAAAATGAAACTCCTCTGGGGTCATCGAGTCGTATCAAGGGGTCGTATGGCACCAGTGCCGGTGGTATACCCACGCGGATTTCTGGCAATCTTTGCTGCAGTACTTGGTGCGACGGCAACGCCGACACTTGGCGAACTGACGCTGGAACTCTTCCCACTTGCCACACTTGTAATAGGCGCATTGGCGGATGCCACCTCTCGCCTCATCCTTACGGCAGAGGTTTCTCATGACCACGCACGCCCAGTATTGCATGTCCTTAGTGTGATGCCGAACAGTAAACTTCTCCACAAGGGGGAAGATGTTGACATCATCGGGAATCAAGTACTCGTCTTCCTCCTCACACGCCTCAATTGGCGAAGAGAGATCGGGGTCCTCATCTAAAAGGTGGAGTTCGCGATCAATCTTCAACTTGGGGACAAGGTGGGATGACTGGAAGTATGATCGGAGGTTGCAGTATTTAGAGACATATGCTAGTAGCTGAAGGGACATCAGGACATCCTCATCACGAGGCATGGCTGTCAAGACTCCTTGGGCTGCGGGACGGTCACGAAGGTAAATAGCGTAGGGGCTGGGGGGGAGAGTAGGAGAATTAGGATTGTTGGCGGCTTGGGCCGGAGAGAGACCGAGTCCACCGTTGGCCTGTGTGTTGCCGGTATTGATGATGCTGCCGTCGACAGTCGAACGATGAGTGATGTTGAAAGTCTCCACCTCCGGACCGCCTTCCTCAGAGGGATCAGTGACGGTCAGATCATGGGTGTTAGAGACATCGTCTAGCATCGTTGTTTCCCGCTCGTTAACACTGTCAAGTTCCATCCGGGTCGGGAGTCCAACGATGGTTTCGGCGGGCTGTCCCATAGCGCTATCATCTCCCATGGTCGAGTCTTCGCCGTTGGCATCATCCGATTCACCGGACGCCGACTGCTGCTGGCGGATCAAAGGGCGTTGTCGAGCGGCAATTGTTTGAGGAAGGCTGCGAGGTTGTGAGTGGAGGGGGCCACTCGGGGTGGTCGGAGAGTCGGGTTGTGAGACGATGCCAGTTTGCAGACTGGGAAGCATGCTAGGAAGACGCTCGGCGTCCCGGACAGGACGTAGGCCGAATCCATCCGTGGTGTCCATGGAAGGAACCGCTGTGGCAAGAGGTTGCATTGACCGTAGGCGATTGCTGGCACGTAGGAACCGCCTATCGTTCAACCGGTGGTTATGGACTTCTGGGCCAAATGTACTGCGCTCTGGGGGGGATGTCATAGGGACACGAGGAGGGGATGTGATATCCATGGCATCGGAGTCGGTAGGTTGGCTGTCTTGGTAGAAAGGTCGGGGGATTTCGATACTCGGCGGAGGGGCTTGTCGACGCGGTTGATGCGACTCGACCTGTGGGTGCGACTCGGTCTGGGTATCTGCATCCATAGGGGTGAAACGAGCGGAGACGTCTTGGTTGCTGGGCTTTGACTGCTTAGAAGACGCCTGCTTCTCGGAATCAAGATCGCTGCGCGATCGCACTTTGTCCACCACCTTGATGTAGTTGTTCAGAATGGTGGCAATGACGGGGACCATGTCCGCTTCTACCACTCTTGTCCTCACACCCTCAGAGCCCCGCACGCCGATGTTGACAACGCATTGGAAGGCGAGGCTCCATTTCCACATTTCCAATAAATCCTTGCTCCGACCCTCTTTGAGGATGCATACCAGTCGCTCGATGCCGCCATCGACGGTGAGGATATCTCGAATCCGGGCGGAAGAGGTTGTGAGGTATGCAAGATGGTTGAGAGAGTTGATGAGCGGTAAAGTCGATGTGCAATCAAGGGCACGACGGTCATAGAGCGTGGTGGTGATGTTGACCGAGGCCTTATTCACATTGGGAATACTAAAATTGACTTCCCGCATGATGAATGAATGGCAACTGGAATGTGACGAATGTGCGAGATATTAAATGTAATATCGATCGATGCAAGATGACATCCAGAAATGGATCGAATACAAAAATATGAGGACCTTGACGGTGTTGTAGAATCCAGGCCAGATAGGATGATGCCTACTGCAGATCGAGAACTCGCACTGAGAGAAATCAATCCAAAGACATCAGGTGAATGAAAAGATGATGGGTTTGGGGGATATCGCAGAGATGAAATACCCAATGACCAGAAGGGGGCGAAAGGGTAACCAAGACTCAGAGTCAGACTCAGAGGGTGAGACTTTTTAAGGAACGGGAATAAATGAAAGAGAGACCAAATGCAATATGCAATGAGACGATATATGCGTCTGCGCAGTATTCGATAGATGATGATTGTTCGATGGAGGGGAAGAGGAGAGGAGAAGGCTTTTGCGAAGGCAAAGGCAAAAGCGGAGAGCGTCAGGTGCCTCCTTAATATTACTAAATATGGGTTGTACCCGACAAGTATTTGGCGCCACCTTGGGGGTTTTACCCTTTTCCTCCCTTTTTCCAACTGCCTTATTTCCTGGCTGATTCGCATATAAAGCATTATATTCTTTATTTGTTTATCTCTTACTATTCTCATTTTCTACACTTGCAATCTCTTCATCTTCATCGGTCCTCGACCCCCTCTGTCACATTGGGTACCGAACCTCGGAGTTGCCACTTGATAAAGATCAAAATCTTTACATACCATTACATCCTTATCACAGGATCGGTTGATTTTTGTCAGATCGAAATATGTACAACATATATTGAGAGACGATCGTTGCCAAACTCCCTAGATTATGCCGCCTGATATGACAGACGGCACCACGAGCGGAGGCTGTAGATCTCTTGAGCAGTGACCGACGCAACCCACCAATGGCCCCGATGAACTATTTAAATAGCTTCGGTCTTTTGTCCTGACTCGAAGAAGTTCAGACCGAGTTCCCCACAGGCGGAGCAACCGTTTATAGTTGCTATCCCTAGATATCCTCGTAAGTGTGATTCGACTACGGAGTAGAAATGAGTTGTGTTACATTTAAATTTCGTCGACGTGAACCCCTTAAAATAACTAAATGACCGAGTCTCAAGTTAGGAGAAAGAATATAATTGCATATTGTATGTTGAGGTTGTTCATTGCACATCTCCCTAAAGTATGATATACCTTCGGTCACTAGTGATTCGACAACATACAATAGTCCAAATGGGATTCGTGGAAACGGCCCGTGAAACAGAACCTTGAAAATATCCCGTCTGGCCTGGACTTTCTGACCCCCGAAGGCTACACCTATAATCTTGTAATATTGGTGGAGTTAACTGTCCCATCCTGTCCCATCACCTTTCTGATACTCCCTGACGCCGTTTCGCCCTGAACAGGGCGGTTTATTTTGGGAATGTGTTTAAACTTAGCAACAAACAATCATCAGCAACTTGCCGAGGACCAATCGAATATCCCCGCACAAGTGATGACATTGGCCCCCAAGTGCCTCTATCACATCTTGACAGGGTTTACACGCGCCTGTAACTGTGTGGCGCACAGACGAACTAAGATTAGAACACCTGCGAACTGCCGGGAATCGATATCCGCCTGTTTGCACCTCGAAGATTTTCCTGGGGTTTCAGGTTTATTCTTTTCGTCCTAGGACCAGGGCTTTGAGAAAACCAACAAACAATAGCGGCTACATTAATTGGGGGGAGAGATGACACGTTATAGACCCAGCGCCCAAGATCGTCAAGCCCAGCCCCCACCAAGCAGTTCGACTAACGGTTCTCGAGATTTTGGTGCTGAGCCCCATTGGCAAATTTCAGAATCAGAATTGTATTCAATGTTCAGTTCTCAGTCCACCGTTGACAGGGGTCTTCAAGAGGATGGTCCGACTTGACAGAGGTGCTTGTGTACACCATGGGAGTCATTGTAGGTACTAGCGAGGTCCACTTGTGCCTTATGCATACTCCTTACATTCGTCTTCATTCTGGCTGTTTTGTTTATAGAAAATGGACAGCTCAGTCTATTTATATAGCCCTTTTCCTATAAACAAGCCGAACTTGATTGCCGAAGTACGACGAGATCTGAAAGACGTTCTCCCCTACGGCATAGCAAGAGATGCTCATGCAAAAGAATCCCAGGAAGCTTCCAATCTCGACGAGTGGAATATATTGGCTTTCAATTTTCCCCTGGGACAATGCACTGTTCGTAGTCTTTTGTAACATGTCTTTCAACATCCGTCGATATGTAAATTTCTTATTTCATATTTCATAGCCGACGAGTACAACTTTGAGACATTGTTTTATTAGACAGGCACAATTCTATGTGAGGAGTTAAAACTACGAGTTGAACCTGCACCTACGGTCTCGTACTGACACCGACAACGTGCCCTTTGAAACTTATACACACTTGTCATACATCGACTTCCGATCCCTTGCCATTTGAGTAACCAGAGAGACGTCATTTACTTAGGAGTAGATCTAACCAAGGCGATGTACAACGCACGTGATATTTACATACATCAGCCCCTGCTCGAGAAAGAAAAAAAGGTGAACTTGGTAGCCATCTATGTGTTACGGGCCAGAAGCTGGTCGTTGTCAGCAGAGCCCCATGGTTGGCTCGAAATCATTTCTGAGATAAGCTCCATCACTTTGTTCTTGAATCGGAAGATTCAGTGCAGGGGTTTGAGTGTATTGTGTGATATGACGCAAACTATAACTGGTTCTGCTTGAGTTGGGCTGAAGCTCATCCCTGAAGCTGAGTGCGTGGGAATGGTGCCACAGATATTGGTGGTCTCTCGTATTCGGATTTATTTGCTTTCTTTGTCCATGGGTGCTTGCTTACAATGTGTGATTTTGTATACCTAGGTAGTTTTCTCGCTGAGAGTATGAGTCAGTATATGGCTTGACTGCTGGGATATCAACGGCATACAGTGATCCGGTACAGACTCCAACCCTAGTAAGTGTCATGACTCATGGCTCATAACTCAAATAATTTATTAGACTTCGACCATCTCGATCATCTCGGTGTTGGCAGGTGCCTTGCAGCCCCGAGCTGAGACGAGCTCGCTCCCTCTGGTCAAGTGTTTGGATCATGACTGTAGGTACAGACTAACCCATGCCAGGCCGACAGGTAATCATAGCTTTAAGACCAATGAATTATTTTACCAAGAGAGGAGGTTCGGGATCCCATTATACTGGCTCAATTGCCCATTTGTGCTTTCATATAAATATTTATGTTGTAATTACGGAAAAATCTCATTGCAAATCTCCGATGATGAGCATTGCATGACAGAACCAATTTGAAGATCCTCAGTGGAGACCTTGGTAGGACCTGTTCCAGTATGTCTGGAGAGTATAGAAGACATGGGCATTCATTAAAATGGACAATTTGCTCCTATACATGTATGCAAGGTAGGCGAGCGAACGTATATCTAACGGGTGCATGAAAAAAAAAGATGCAATCGAGCCGGATTTCCCGAAATCGAATCTGCATTGCAAATGATGATCGTCGAGACCAAGAACAAAAGTAAGCCGAAGATTTCCCCGGGCCGTAAGAATAAAGGGGCCCAGTCAGCACAATTGTCCCATGGTGGAGACAGAAAAAAATGACCATCTTTCATTTAAATGAAATGTGCTTACCAATGTATTGGAAACGGTTGGACCCGCCAGAATGGGCACTGAAGCCGAACGATTCTAGGGTAGGGCTAGTACTACTGTGTTTACTTCGCTAGTTGACGCCGGTTGACGCCATTATGTATATCTATAGAAATATGTCCAATAGAGAGTGATTTGAATCACTTTAATGGCCAATAGCCCCGGAGGTACGGAGTATTGCAGACCAAGACAATGGGTCAGCCACAGGACCGTGCGCCTGAACGAACGCACCAGGTGTGAAGCTTGGACCTGGACTCCGTACGGAGTAGTTATTTTGTTGCAGTATGCATAGATTAGGAGTTTGGGATCGGAAGGAGATCAGTCGGGGTAATACATAGATATATTAGCTCCAATGTAAGCATTTAGACTGATGTATGGAATAGAGTATTTTTTTCTTCACATAGAGGGTCTAACAGGGAAGTAAGCTAACATTATACCTAGAATGGACATACAGGATAGTCTAATCTCCGTTAGCTCCCTAAAAAAACCCATCTCGATATGTAAACGGAAAAGGGGGACGCAAGGGAGTCGATTTAGCTCGTGAAGAATGTCTGGCGTACTGCACTTGATATGTCAGAGTCACCATACAGAATTTGTTCCCAAGAGCCGCCGGCGGTTAAATCTTGAAACTTAATCAAGATTATTTGCCGCTGTTACTGTGATGTAGATTTACAACCGTGTCTTCAGTCTTGGGGTTAGTGGTCCTAGCACCTAGCCGATCATTCCGCCACAATTTCCCATCTTCTCCTGAGATCCAAGAGGGTTGAGGAGGGGGGGGGGTTTTTTCACTTGTAGATATAGCTATGTCAATAAGTATTAGTACCTAGTTAGGCATGCAAATGTACGTCAGCTTTGGCTCAAATATCAACAAAAGAAAAGACACCGGCATAGGTACCCGGAAGAAAGCAAGATGCGTGTATTGAGGTTGTATTGTAGCCGACTAGAAGATACATGCCAACTCCACTTATGGAGATTTGGGGAAACAAAGAACTGCAGCAGGAAATCATTTGAAGATTGAACTCTACAGAGTATACGGAGTATACAGAGTACAGGGGACATGCAGATATACAGAGTACATACTGTATGGAGTACTATGTATTCTCTCATATGTGATATTTTTCTTTACAATACCATAAAAAACAAAGAAAGTACTTCGAGTCTCGTATAAATTCATAGTAAGTTGAGGTACCCTTCTTATTTCAAGGTTATTACCACTAGTAATACCACCTTCCTCTCCTCGCTCGGTCTTCACCCCCTGTTCCTCTCCTCCTCTCTTTCTCTCTTCTGGTTCCTTTTGTTCCTTTTGTTCCTGTTGGCTCCCTTTCCCCTCCATTTTTCTCTTATTCTTTACTTTTAGTCCATTAGTCCTTATTCATATTATGATCCAAGCCTAAGGCGCTTTAACTCGGTTCCGCCTTTCGATTCTCTCCCCTGCTTCGCTCCACTCCCATTCAGCCCCCTCTCTACCCTTCTCCCCCTCTACCAATCTTTCCGACCAAAATTGTTTTTCTCCGGGGTACCGTTTCGATAAAATGGCCGACATGAGCGGCGAACAGATGCAGGCCAAGATCACTGCGGCCAGGCGCGAAGCCGAGGGTTTGAAGGACAAGATCAAGCGCAGAAAGGATGAGCTGGCCGATACCTCCCGTGCGACTCCCATCACCCATTGTTATGTCTTGAGGGTTTCCTCTTTTCCCCTTCTCCCAGCCTGTTATCAGCTGCATTGTCCTGGGAGACTTGAATCACCGTGCTGACTTTTCTATCCCGTCTAGTCCGTGAAGTCGCGCAGAACCAGACCGATGCCTTACCACGAATTGGAATGAAGCCCCGACGTACACTCAAAGGCCACCTCGCCAAGATTTATGCTATGCACTGGTCCACCGACCGGCGCCATCTTGTTTCGGCTTCGCAGGACGGAAAGCTCATCATCTGGGATGCCTACACCACAAACAAGGTCCATGCGATTCCCTTGCGCTCATCTTGGGTCATGACTTGTGCCTACGCCCCGAGCGGAAACTACGTTGCTTGCGGTGGTCTTGACAACATTTGTTCGATTTATAACCTGTCATCGCGCGAAGGCCCGACTCGCGTCGCGCGCGAGCTCTCCGGACACTCGGGATATCTCTCCTGCTGTCGCTTCATCAACGACCGCCGCATCATTACCTCATCCGGCGACATGACCTGTATGCTGTGGGATATCGAGTCTGGAACCAAGGTTACCGAGTTCGCCGACCACCTCGGTGACGTGATGTCAATCAGCATCAACCCGACCAACCAGAACATCTTCGTTTCCGGTGCATGCGACGCTTTCGCCAAGTTGTGGGATATCCGTACTGGCAAGTCCGTCCAGACATTCGCCGGCCACGAGTCCGACATCAATGCCGTTCAGTTCTTCCCCGACGGCAACGCCTTCGGTACCGGTTCCGATGACACTTCCTGCCGCCTGTTCGATATCCGTGCCGACCGCGAGCTTAACACCTACCAGGTAATTATCTTTTACCCGAGACACCGATTCGATTGACGAAAACTGACATTTGAATTTCTTCCTGCAGAGCGACCAAGTTCTGTGTGGTATCACTTCCGTTGCGTTCTCAGTATCCGGCCGGTTATTGTTCGCAGGTTACGATGATTTCGAGTGCAAGGTACGCCGTTTTTTTTACCCCCAAACAATGTGAGTAAATGCTAATCCCTCATTTAGGTATGGGATGTTCTGCGTGGCGACAAGGTTGGTTCTCTGAGCGGCCACGAGAATCGCGTGAGCTGCCTCGGTGTCAGCAATGATGGCATCAGTCTGTGCACTGGATCTTGGGATTCCCTTGTAAGTTTTTCTGAAATCCATTCAATTGCATCTGCTAACCTCTGCTCTTCTCTCGTAAAGCTCAAGGTCTGGGCCTGGTAAACCAACAAAAACAAAACGCAAGATACCCCGTGTCGATCATTCTGCAATGCTCTTCTTCGAAATTTTTTAGGCTCGATGGTTCGAATCTCCACCATTGTACGATAATAATCAATTACCGGGGAATCCCTTGGGTTCTCACGATAATACACTACCCGCGGCGCACATATTGTCGTCGCATGTGATACGGAAGGTGATGGAGGTGGAGGTGAGCGTGGGATGCTGTCCCGGCGAACAAACGATAGCGATGACACAATACTTGTTTGGACATGACGAGAGCACGACTAGTTCCTGGGATGTCGATGGATGTACAGTGACTCCGGCCAGCAGAAGGAAATGCCGGAACGAGTCGATCCATCTGACAGTTCCACTGTCGCCCTCTTCTTTGGTCCCTTGATTTTTTCCCTTTGACTTCTCGATGACGCCCTTTGCCCTTCTTCTTTTTTTTCTTCTTGAATTTCTTTATCCCCCCTTCAGTTTACCAATTCGTTCTTGGTTACCTTCGCATTGGTCTCAACATGTATCTTGTTGGCGAGGTCACAAAGAAGGACCTGGTTGGCGGATTGCGGCCAGGATTTCTTTCGCCGATTTATACCTCTGCGTTGCCTTTATTATTCTCTCTCCCCAATTCTTCATTCTTCTCTCCTATCTCACCCTTATTTGTGTCTCCTCTAAAGAAAGAGTCTGTTGTACTTAACTGTCTTTGCGTTGGAATCTCTTGCTCTGGGATTCTTTGGTGTCGGATTTTGATAATGGTTCGAGCAGCTTCAATTTCCATTTGTGAACTTTTTTTTCAAACTTGATTCTCCATTTCCGATTCGCTGCACCGACTGGAGGGAATAGCATCGGGCATTGTATTGCTTCTTGTCTGGCTTGAGTCTTTGCAATGCGAGCGTGGCGAGCATTTGACACAGGGCATGCAAGCACGGGTTTCAACCCTGGCCCAGCCGTAGGGTAGAACGTGCTATCCCTCCCGTATCATCTTCGAAGGGATAGTCTCTGGGTTATCAGCTGGGACGACAGAGCAGGTTGTAGTAGTCCATATTTCGACCTTCGGCTCCACATATATCGGGCCACGAACAAAACAGTCAGTAGTGGCTAGGAGTATGCCACGCATGTCCGCATATCAGGCTGGACTAAACTAGTCTCTTCTCATTTTCACTTATTGATGCCTAACACGTAGCTCCCCGATCCTGGGATAGCCTTGCCCAACCTGAAAATGTCTGACATGAAACAAGGGAAGGCAGACCGATGGGTAGGAGAATCGACCACTGATCCTGGAGAGGTGGGACTAACTCGATAATTGAAGTAGAGACTTGGTGTTAGAAGGTACTCCGTACTTGAAATAAGAGTACACAAACAGGATCAGCCCTGTGGCTACCCGTATAATAAGCATCCACGCCATTTAAGGCAAATCCACCCCTGAAGGTTGTACATATCCAACCAAACCGGGAATACGAAGACACCGCGTATTTCTAGAAAAAGAAAAGAAAATAGAAACATCTAGACCTGGAATATTCTTTGGTGGAGAAAGAAAGATCTACATGGTAGAATGGGGCTACCTTAAAGCAGACACTTCGCCGTAGAACACGTCACATGGTTTCGGGAGATGTTCGGAATGCCATTAGTAGAGGTTCGTTTCAGATTGACCTAGGGCTATGGCTATTTAAGGCAAAGTGCCAAGTATACTAAAAACTAAGTATAGCCTCGAACTTGATATATGTGAAGTATGATATGCATATAATATGCTATTCGGAGTATATTGTATGCTGATTTTAGAAATAGTCTTATATTAATATCCGAATACGCAGATTTTGACAAATTGAACAATTAAACAGATCGACAAAGAGACAATGTCAAAACAATTTGCATTGACCTCAACGTCCTCCATGGGGCGCAGATGTTCAATGTGGAGCCTGAAACACGAAAAAAAGGGGGCTGTTCACCGTTTCATCACTTCCACGACCTTTCAAACGACGATCTCTTCCGACCTCAGCCTCATCTCCGTTTCAACTTCAGGGGCAATCTTCGAATAACTGCATATTCTCGATCCTTGATCCCAGCCAAACCTAAAACATACCAGTGTCCGATCCCAGATCTCCCAACTTAAATCGCCCCCTCTCACCTAAAAGCGCGCCCTTTGCCCTTTCTTTCAATATGTCCGCCCAAGAAGAATTCAACCAGCTGGTGAACAGTAACCATTCACGCTTTACTTCCCACCCAGAAGACCACGGCCACGACTCAGACATCCACTTCTCCGACGACGAACCTTCCTCCCGCATCCGCTCCCGCCAAACACTCGACTCCTCCGACGAAGAAGACGACGACGCAGACATGGTCTCCTCCCGCACTGCAAACGCAAACTACCACATCCCCAACACCGTCTACGAAGCAAACACAGGCCCCAAGGGCGTTATCGCCGACGCCCAGGCCTTCGAGCGCGCTCGAAAGAAGTCCTTCCGTCGCACCCTCCTCAGTGTCGCGGGGCTAGACTCAAACAGCCCCCCCTTCGGCTCAAAGTCTACTCGCGATGACGCGCCCCTCGCACCAGCCGACCAGTCCTCCGCTAGCGAGGACGACGACGAAGCCCGTTTCCTGCGTAAGTGGCGTCAGTCGCGCATGCATGAGCTGCAGGGCCGGAATGACCGTCGTCCCAGTCCGCGGGGTAGACGGTTTGGTTCGGTTGAGACGGTTGATGCGGTGGGGTACCTCGATGCTATTGAGAAAGTGACGTCTGACACGGTTGTTGTTGTGTGTATCTATGATCACGAGGTATGTGTGGAATTGGTTCTCCGGAATATATAATTGCGGGGTACGAGTTGCTAATATGTTGCTCTACTTTGATAGTTTGATGACAGTGCCATCGTCGAGGAATGTCTGGTTACTATCGCTCGCAGACAACCAACTACCCGTTTCGTTAAGATGCACCAGGATATCGCGGAGATGGACCACATCCAGGCTCCCGCTCTGTTGGCGTACCGTGGCGGCGAGGTCTTTGCTACTATTGTCGATGTCTTGCGGAACATTCCTCGTGGCCGCAGCTGCAGTGCTGACAGTCTCGAGGACTTGTTGAAGCTGTGCGTATCCCTTGGCTCTTGGTTATGTTCTGCTGAAACTTATACTAATATTTGACTATTATAGACACCGTGTGCTATGATCTTTTCTTTGCTATTATGTTTTCAACCGTCCACATTTACTGGCATAGCAGCAAGGCGTCTTGGTTGTTCCCTCGTGATCTCTGCATGATTTGACTTGACTTTCTTTTTTCTTCTACTCTCTTGAACACTCTTCCCCACATCTCTCTTTGTCTCCGATCTTTTGATGTTGGATGCATTATCTGCACTGAAAAAAAAACCCCCCAAAAAAACCAAGAACATATCTTGAAGCAGCGTTGATCACTAGAACGAGGTGCATGATTTTGGACTTGGTCAATTGATGGTCTGGTACTATCTTGCCGTGTCCCATTAGACACGTTGCGTTGCATTTCTCTTCTCTCCTTGTCTGATTATGTCCCTACTGTTTCCAGCCCGGCGGGAACCGGGCTTGATGTTGATTTACCCGAGATATCCCATGCTATTATTACTGTTACTGCTACTTCTTCTCTCTCAGTAACACCCTTAAAGCTAGCCCTGAATTTGCAAGAAATATGTAAACTAGGGTTCTGTATGGTCACCTGCTCTAACCAGTCAATCGGAGAAGTAACAAAAAGGCAAGAGCAAACGACCATCCATCTAAGGAAGGTACGTGGGACGTGACCATATAAAAGGCCTCCCCCCATCCTTCCTTCTCTTTTCTTCTTCTTCTCTTCTTCCCCTCCCCATCCCTCTCGACCACCATCTCACCGTAGCCCCCATGAGACAGCGCAGGCGGAGGGTCCCGTAGCACCTGGGTACCTCACCTATGCATGAAGACATCAACATGACCAAGTTGTTGAGGCCCATGCAGGTCCACCCATATCAAACCGGGCTTTCTCGTGTGAGCTCTTTGAAAAAGTCGTGGCTGAGCCTTTGGGCTCTCCATAGCCACTTGACGAGTCCCACGGAATACATTGGGGGTGTTTGATTACATCCTGTTTTCATCGTAGAGTTAGTCACCTATGTGCATTTATTCATGTGCAGCTAGTAAGCTAGGTAGTGGTCGAATACAGCTTTACTTGGAACTAAGTTTCAAGTCATTCGATGTCTAGGCTAGAGTCATAGGGTTGACCTGTATTTGAATTGGAAGATACTAGTCGAGAAGCTGGAATGTAGACACCCAGTCCCCTAGTCCCCCAGTCCCCCAGTCCTAGAGTCCTACATGCAAGATATCAAAAGTGTTAATCTGTTCGGAACATATCATGTTCGTAGACCTAGCGCAAAGAGCGATGAGAGACAACCCTAAGTGCAATGAGTTTCGAAATTGGTATAAGATCCATAGTATCCAGTGCAAAGCATTAGTCAAAAGGAACCCATTCATGGGGTTCTCAAGTTCCACCAGTCTTCCTCAAGCAAGAAATGAGTGAACATTACCAAGTCCATCCCATCATCTCTCCCAAGACCAAGGGAAAGAATACACACATTTTAGAACCAGAGAAGCGCGAAAGAAATGAAAAAAGAGCCATCCAATTTCCTTCGGTAGTCCGCTAACTCCCCGTGTCAAAAGACAGAAAAAAAATGAGAAAGTAACTAGACGTATGGTCGTGCAGACGGAGGATACATAGCAGTAGAGGAAAAAGCGAAGAAGACTCGAAAAATGAGAAGAAAATGAGAAGAAAACAGAATAAACACTCCCACGCCCTGGTTTCTCTTCCCTTTTCCGTTCGCTCGCTTGTCCTTTACAGGGCACCGCGCTCCGCCGTGAAATCCCAGAGCATTTTGATCAACGCGTCCGGGAGAGTGTACAAATCCACATGGAATTCTCCGACTGTAGAATTGAAAGGGGAATGGTTAGCGTTTTGTTCAGAGTAAACGTCAAGGAAGCGGAGATCTATATTTTCCCTCTGATATAACCCGAGGATAGAGAGAAACTTACGCTCAACATCGTTCTTTGTGTATGAGTCCGCCGCCTTGTGGTCATGAACCATCTGCACAACCTGCAGAAGATCGTCTTCGTTCAGCTTCTGAAGCCCATCGGCAAGCTTGTCCATGTCGACCTTGAGAGCGTGTCAGTCCTGCATCGCCAATCCCACACCCATATCACAGGAACAACTCACATTCTTATCTGTGCGCTTCTTCTTCTTGGCGCTCTCCTCACCACCAGCAGGACGCTTGTGCTTGATACCATTCTCGTCACCGGGAACGGGACCGGACTCGCGCAGCGCGGCCATCAAGGCAGGCTTGGGGTTCTTGAAGGTCTGCACGGGCAAAAAAAAAAACGCGCCATTGATCAGCACACCATAACTTTCTCTCGACTCTCGAACGGGGGGTTCAAAATCAAACTCACGAGAACATGCTTAGATTCATAACGGGTCTGGGCGAAGTTCAGATCATGTTGAATGGTGTACGACTTGTCGGCAGTAAGCTCGATGGACATATCGAATTCACCCCATCCTTCCTCCTGAATGCGGAACGGTGGCTGCTTGAAGACTATTCGAAGTGGAAAATTATCCGTTAGCCTCCAATCCTAAAACCATGCAGACACACAGAGCAACTGCGCGACCAAATCTTGCCGGCCGTGGGATTCTGAATAAGAGAAGCCCCAGGCGTCGCCAAGACCAAATCAAAAAACACCAATGGGGACCAAAACATACCCTGCGTGGCACGTTCACCGAAACTGGGGTGCAAGTGGTAGGTGACCTTGTCGAAGATGTTCGCGGGGACCAAGGCGCCCTTCTCGTTCACGAGCCAGACCTCAATATGCCAAGATCGTTGCGGGAAGCCCTCGACCTCCGATGGCTTATCTCTGCAGTGTGGGAAGAAAGAGCCCAAGTCAGCCAATGTGTTTAATCCGTGTTTTGTGTGTATGTGTAGGGATGGGTGTGGGGGTTTGAAGAGAAGAGTGGTGGTGTGCAACGCGCGTTCCCCTTCATCCTTGTGCGCATTATCGACCTCGTGTCCTGCAAGCCACAGGACTGAAGTGGGCGATAGCGTTGAAAGGGGATTGTGGGAGGAAACAGTAGCTCCAGGCGCTCTTCTCAGACCGGGGTTTGCGAAGGGAGGGAAGGTGGAGGTAGACAGAGGAGGGGCGCATACATAATGTTCTGCTCGGTGATGAGACGGACAGTGCGCTTGACCTATTGAGGAGGAGTGTTAGTGTATGCAAGCTTAATTGTGCTGGAAACAGAGAAAAGAGCAGGGTTTGGGTGTGTTGGTCACAGTGACAAACCCACAGTGCTAGACCATAGGTGCAACTTCGCGACAGTTGATGAGGGGGTAGTATACTCACGTCAGGCATGATTATTTTATTGACGACTTCGGGTCGTCACTTGAGAGAATCGTGAGGTTTTAAGGGTATGAGGCCGAAAGGGGACGTTGACGTGCGGAGAGGTGGGCGTCTCGGAGACAAGTTTGCGCGGTTGTCTATCGGAGTGAGCAATGAGTATGGGAAATCATAACTACCATGTGTAGGCAATACCTCAAAGTAACCAGGCAGCAAGAACTCGTATATAGTGAAGTTGCGTCTCTGATATATTCTCAAGGCAATTTGATGAAGCGGTGAATTAAGCTCAAAGGAGGTCAGAGGGTCCTCAGGACTATCTTCAGGGCTGCCCACTATGTTCAATTTGACCTCGACTCTCTCTCACTTTTTAAGTGATTTACCTCTTTTTTATATATTATACATCGACTTGAGACTATTGAGATCAAAAGATATACATTGATAAACAATTTTTTTCTACAGTTCTAGCATTGTTCCTGTGCAACCTGTAACCCATTGTCTTCGAGAGGTGAAAGCAAAATACAAGGTAAAGGATTTTCTTCTTTTTGGATTTTGAAAATGTACTATTGTGGTATTATTTTTTGGCATACACTTGCTTCTTAGGCATACTCATCATTACTTTTATTTGTCTTTGTTTTTTTTTTTTCCTTCGGATATCTTCAGGGTATGGGGTGATGTGCAGGTATATTCGATGGGGAAATGTCTATCTACTTCCGAAGAACCACCGACCTAGGGAACTGCCCTCCATTTCGTAGACTGCATGGCTCGCAATAGCTATGTGAGGAGCATCTTCATAACTGCTGCCTCGCTCGTCGCGTCGTAGGGGATGGGGTGGGAATGGGATGGATTGGGGGTGATGATTGGGTGGAACGGTGTGAAAGGGGCGAAAATTGTAGTTTTTCAAGAGCAAGTTCCGGGACGATGCACCCAAATGCCTTGGAATGCCAAGTGCACGATAAATGGGGATCCTCAATCCTCGGAAGAATCAGCAAGATGACGAGAGAAGAAGAGTTCTTTACTCCTCAGCGTTGAAGAGCTTCTCGTTCTCCACCTGGGCGGTCTCGAAAGCATCCTTGAAGGCGTTGGCGTCTACAATCATTGGTTAGTGAAAGTTTGACATCAAGTTGGGATAAAAACCACTCACTCTCGCTGTTGGCGAAACGGATGGCCAGGGTCTGGGCCTCGGGCTCACCCTCGGAGACATCGGCGGCGGCGTTCCAGACCCAGCTGCGGTCACTGCCGACGTTGGCGCTCAGCTTCATGTCGGGGACGACTGGAAATACAGATTAGTACTAGATCCTCTTCGGAAAATATGACCGAGCAATCTCACTGTAGTGGTTGGCGCAGACCTTGAGGGTCTTATCGCGGCGCATGACGAGGCGGGTCTTCTGGTTCTCCTTGTGCTTCAACAGGCGGACGTCACCGGTACCACGCTCCTTCCACTCCTTAGACTCGCGGTCGAACTTGAAGAGCTTGGCGCGCATCTTGAAGGACTGCTCCTCAAGCTCCTCGTTGGTCTTGGTCTCAACCTTCTCGGTCAGGTGAATGACGGGCTCGAAGTGGACATCGGCGGACTCCTCGACTTCGTCCTGGGTTGAAATATCATGGTCAGTATATGCGCGGAGCTAAAATAATCACGGGCACTAGCATAGTATGGCTTGGTTGCGACTACCCCACTATCGGGAGAAAGGGGGACAAGACCCCGCTCCCATCGTAGACGCGTCCAACAACAACCGCCTATGCCAGCAGCATCAGATGTATCAAACTCACCTCATCGTTGGCCTTCTGGGCCTTGGAAGAACCGGAGGGCTCATCAGTAGGCTCCTCGGCCTCCTCCTTCTTCTCCTTCTTGGGACCGCCACCAAACATGGAGAACATGCTGTCAGAGGTCTTCACGGCGGCATCCTTGGCGGTGTCAACAGCCTTCTCAGCGGTCTCAGTAACACTATCGGCAACGGCCTCAGTGGTAGACTGCTCACCCTCGCCGGTGGCGGTGGTGATCTCCTCAGGCTGGGTCTCGGAGGCAGAGATGGCGGGGTCGGGCTTAGTCTCGGTGATGTCAGACATGATGGCGAGGGGTTCAAGAGGATCGGTTTAAAAAGATAAAAAGAGAGATGGCAGAGATCCACGGGGGATAGAGTGGAATTTCAGTAAGAGATAGTGTTTGTTGATCAGAGAAAGCGGCGATGAGGGGGGAAAAATTAATAGTTTGGGTCCCATGCCTGGCAGAACCCGCCACCGCTCTCGTCTGCCAATAGTGGACTTCAGATACTGTGAACTACATGCAACATAGAAAAACACACATCAAAGGAAAAAAAGAAGTGAATATTCTATCTCGGTGGATACTATCGGATGAGGCCAAAGTTGGATTATGGTTTAAATAAAAGATACCATTGCGCCGACTGAATAGTTCGCGTGAAACCCCCATTTCCAGTACAGTTGCCCCCCACTACCAAACCTGATCGCCACCATAAACAAAAACCAGTCCTTAGCCAACTCATTAATAGAAAGAAAGAAAAAGCAAATACAAGTCGTAAAGTGTAAGTTCGTTCATCATTTCGAGCGAAGGTTTGAGCAATCCCCAGATTTGCTGGACCGGAATCCCATAACATGCCGCGCACGCGACTGAGCCCGATCCAGCGCATTGCATTTCCTAACATTGCGCACTCGATCCATCAGACTGCGGAGGTCAAGCTTTGCCGCTGACTTCCCAATTCGGCTCCAAGCATCATGAACAAGGCCCTTGGCTTCCTTGTCCACGCGACTAGACCGCATTTGCAGCACAGAAGAAACACTTCGGAATCGCTGGATAGTATTGCGAGTTAAGACTTCTGAAATTTGCTTCGAACGCGATAAAACGGCATCGCGTGTATTCAAACTCTCCCGGTGTAGGGCCTCGGCATCGCGGCGTAAGAAATGGGTTCTCTTCACCACATCTCCCACGATCACCTGCAAGTCGGTGGACAGGCGGCCATATACCTCAGTCAGGCCAGTCTGAGCCGTGTGGATTTCCTTGGCGAATTGTGAAGAAATTTCCTGTGCTGCACGCTTCCAGTTTGCGATCTTAAGCCACGGGGTTCCGAAGTCAACAGCCATAGTCTGGTTGATTGGCTGTTTTGACTTCGTTGTGATTGTCAAGTTGACTAACCCGTACGCATCCTCGCGGTTCAATTTCAGTGTGTAGACCCCATCAAACAGCTGTGAAAGCTCGTATGAAAGGGCCTTGTTCTCTCTGTGGACGCTAACATTGAACTGTGGTTGCTTCTTGGATGATGCAAACTTATGTGGGGGTTTGATGATAACATGGCAGTCGCCAACAACCTGAATCCCAAATTCGTTTGTCGTGCCCAATGATTTTGCAGTAGAGATAGTTGATACAGTGATATCCTCGGGAATTGAATTTCCCCAAGAGCGCATATGTGATACTCGCATAGCAACCGAGGGCCGCGTTGAGATTGAGGTTTGTACCACTCGATCCAGAGTGAGAACAGAGGTGGGAGGGACAGGGGAGGCCACTGGGAAGGATACATTGGATAGAGCTGACCCAGCGAAGCACTGCACTAGAAAGACAACCAGAACTCTAACAGCCGCATACCCAATAGATATGGCAATGGCCGAAATGAGAGTCAAAGTAACTAAACGCAGTGTGGGGGCCAGCTCTCGGGCCCGCGTGGCATAGGAAGGCGGGAGCCAATTACCAGGATACTTCTCGAGATCCGCAAATATGTTCCTCTGGAGAGGCTTGGGAGTACCGGCATTGACTTTATGTGTCTTCCTTGGATACAGGCCGACAAGCGAAGCCAGGTTTCGATTCAACTGACCAGGTGTGATGCTCTCAAAAGTCTTCAAATCGATTGGATACCGTCGAAGGACTGCGGTCTCCCCGGAAACTGGATGACGGGACTCCAAACATGTGTGTAGACTGTTGTGGTTCAGAGGAATTACCTCTCCGGCCATCTTCCAGAGTGGCTCCTCCGAAATCACCATCGCCGGGACCCCGTGACGTTCCAGGAACATGTGGGCAAGACGCTGAGTCTTGACGGCCACTGCATCATCGAGGTCAGAGACAAAGATAATTGCCACGTCTGGTAGAGTCCAATCTGTTGCAGATGTTACATGGTAGTCGGACCCAGTCCAGGCCGAAGTACACACAGGACGATTCTTGAACTTCAGGTTGAGTGTATTAGGTCGATCCACGTGGGGATTGGTTGTGGCTTCCAGACACTCGTCAACCACCAGCTGGACATGAATCGGGAGAAGTTCCGCGAAGTTGGGAACAGCTCCGGCGCCAAATGAGGTCGGCACGACATGATATCGGGAAGATTCGGCCGAGCTGGTCTCTGAACCAGCACATGAGCTTGATACTAGAACGTCGCCGATCTTGTCGAGAATGATGTTTCGGAACCCTGGTTGTCCGACATAGAGCACGCGGAAAGGTTTGTCCAGGTCTAGGCTCTGCTTTGTCATGGTCTGCTGAACCGTGGCCATGAGAATGGAGTCGGTTGAATTGTAGGGCAGCCGGCTCTTCAATTCTGAGGCTGCAGCACCTTCGAAGATGCGAATAGTGTGCTTGAGCTCCACTCTCTCGATCTCGGGCCACTTCTCGGGCTCCACAAACTCGATCGAATCACTGGTGTGGGGGAAGGAGGGCTTCGTGGTTGTGGTGCTGTCATCGATCGTGGTTCGTCTGGCGGCAAAAAGGGCAGGCAGTTCCTGGGAGACTGATTCAGTGCACTGCACTTCATCCCTGTCTATCCCATCATCTTCTTGGTTGTCTTCGTCCTGTGCCTCGGCCTCGCTACCACTGTAACGTTCGTCGAGGCTTGCAACATCGTCAGGGCTGGCCTGGTCAATCAACGAGCCTGTATCGGTTTGTTCGGAGTGGCTGCCATCCTCTGAGCGTATGTCAGACACACTCAAAGTCGCCCAGCTATCACTCAGGTTCTTGGGTGAATGATCAGAAAGTTGATATGACGTCATATTGGCAGGCCGTGAACGGGACAACCACTCCTCGACAGAAGCTGTCAGGGGTGGAAGAGTCGGATATTGCAGACTCGATGCAGTCTGGGCACGGAGGAAACGCCTATGAGGCGAGTCTGGATCGTCAGTCATCTCGTCGATGTAAAGTTCATAGAGCACACGGGTGCGGGCGGAAACAGGAGCTTAGGGATAGCCCAAGCCGTAGGGAGAAGGTCAAAAAAAGCAGAGTTAGAAACAGAGAGATATAGAGCAGGGAAATATAAAAGAAAAGGGAGGGTCGGAAGATACTGGGAGACTTAGGCAGAGAGTCCTAGGCAGAGACTCAGAAGCCCAAATAGAAGTGATAAGGTGGGTCTGCGGGGAGCCGGATGGTCAGGATGGTCAGGTGCGTTTCTGACTTGGGGGGAAGTAAGGGCGTACTTAGGTGTGAAAACGTCAATGAATAAAGAAACAAATGAAGATGAAGGTGAGGGGCATACAAGAGGCATAAAAGAGAAATTGTAACGTGGAAGTTGATGAAGGGTGATGGTGCGATAAGAGAACTTAATGAATGACCCAAAGTGACAGTAATGGCGGGGTAGTACTAGGTACCTGGGTGTTGTATGGTGATGCCAGCAGTGATGGAAGTACCAGGTACCAGCCTCGGAGAACACCTTGATACCTAACTGCAAGTCCCTTTGTCTGCCCCTCTTCGATGTACTCCAACTATGCACTCCAAATCAAAGAACGGACTGACCTCTTGAACCTATCATATTTCATTATTTCTAGCTAGAGAGTTATTCTTATACTTGTTCTATACTTGATAAGGTACAGCTCCACTATGCCCCACCATGATCGCCGAATGTTTACATCGTCCATGTCAACAGTTTACACAGTACACAGTCTACACAGTACGATTGGAAAAAAAGCTATCTAAGATTCACCTCACTTTGCCTAATCAGTCTGAGATACTCAGCCCTCTAAAACTATTGCCATGTCATCCCGAAACCTACCTCGCTCAGCATGATCCATCGGCATATGACACGGAGAATCCCCGAACGCAGGACCCACCCGCTTCTGGGTAGGTGGGAAGGGTAAACACCAGCTACAGCCCGTAACATCCAAAAAGACATTTAAAAAAACAGCTAAAAAGATATCACAAGGCCGCATGAGCCGCCGACTATTATTGTTGGTGAGTATCAATATGTGAAGTACTAAGGCCCGATTTCACCACCATCGACCAACATCCTTATGCATCAACGTATGTTTTCTGCGAGTATCATTCTAATGTTGTGTTCAATGTCAACTGGGTCTGAGTGGACATGCGTTTCAACCCCGCGTCGCAGGATTGCAGTCATCTCCAGCTAGAGCGCTTTTTATGTCGATTGAGAAGCATCAGGCTCGTATAGTAATCCAACATAGTAGAACTGCTGACAGCGCATGTAGATACCAACAAGCCTCGACCCACTCGGGGGCTTGTATACTCTGCCATGCTCTAACAGCCTCCGGCAACCTTCTGCAGAGGCATCATCCTTACACCACACCTCTCGCCAGTTATAATCAACGGTAGCGGCCAGGTCATGAGGAAGATTGGCAAAAAGCTTAAGCTTTTGGCACCGAGGCTGCTCGTTCCGTTCAACCTCGAACTCGATTTCCATAAGCTTGTGATCTGTGGCCACAGCTGACAAGCCAACAACCCGAGCATCCAGTGCAAAATGAACAGTTTGACGAGTATCGGTATTGAGCTCACCTGTGCTCGCTATTTTGCCTGACGTATAGGCAAAGACTAGTCCGACTATTTCCCGGTCTTTGAAGTAGGCTTCAGCTGTGGTTATGGTATCTTTACCGCCATCATCACTCTGCCTCTCAAAATAGAGTTTCCGAACCTGGTCAAAAGGAGGTCCTGTTCAGGGACAAATATTTGGGGTTTCCGGTGGCTTCCATCTGTAGAAATGACAGCCCGGACGCGTTCAGAGGATAGGTTTAATATCCAAGAGATAGCTGTGAGTTTCTCGTCGGAATCAGCCTGATACTGGTGGTGTTGCAGCGGTTGGGATGAGATGGACTGGAAGTCCGGAGCGCGAAACGTCACACTGCGAGAACGCGTCGTCTCAATGTGTATGGCTGCAACTTGACCTATTTCCATCCCCGGAGACTCACGAGAGAATCCCGTTGGAATGAGCCAGATAGTCAAGGATTGGATGTCCTCGCCTTGGGACAGCTCAAATCCATCATCTAGCTTATGCATCCATTGCCCTACGATGCCAGGACTGGGATGGTTATAATACTCCAGTTTCAAACCGGATATGCGACTTCGAGATCTGGAACGACCCTCTATACCTGTGCATACCTGGATTTTTCGGACGTTCTTGAGTGACGCGTAGGTCTGGTAGTTGCCGGGGTTTATACTGTTTATAAAATGAGAGAATTTTTCGTCATATTGCAGTTGATCGTGGGGTATTTGATGGCTTTCGCAATCCGGAATATTTGGTATCTTAGGTTGTTTGCCACACTGCTGGGATTGAATGCCGACGCGCTCAAAGCGGGGTGGGGTTGCCTAGATCTGTTCAGCTGCTGTCCGGATCTGCTTCGGGAATTGCTTCGCACCATTTCAACAGCAACCAACCCAGTGATGGTGTTGCTGGGCGGCGAAATCGGTATGAACTCAGCAACTGCATTGAGCCGATAGCGAATAGGAGCGAAAGTAGCAGTTCATCCGTAATTTGTTGACAACTGACCCAAAGTAAGCATCCTACATGCACATATACCTAGGAAACTGGTAGGAAATACCTGCAAGCCACCAAGGCTCGGTTCTGGGTGGGATCTGCGAATATTTGGCAGCATCCCGATTCGATTGATACGCTCGCCATTCGATCCATCGATGAAAAAGGAAATCCCGCAGCCGCCGCTAGAGCCGAAAAGTATGGACCTTCCATCAGAATATGATATCTCTATTCCGATGAATAGGTGGGGGTCAGATGCCATATGAAACGTAAGTCTTGAGGACGCGAGAAGCAGGCCTCTTGGACCACCAAAGTCAATGTTCGTCAAGGGCTCAAAAGCCCCGGAAGACTGGGACGGTAAGAGAATGCTAATTCTCAAATCCTCGTGCCTCGGAGGATGTGGCGTCCATAAATGAGACTGCACCCGAGATGAATCCATGAGATCTTGAGAGGGAGACTTCGGATCTTCAAGGTGGTTGGTCACTTCGCCGAGACCGAGAGAAACAATCTTGTATCGATCCAAACCCACAAGCAAGCAATACCGATTTGATTTCTCTGGAATGCTTAGTGTGCCACGAGCAATTCCTGGACCGTTGGAATCACCAACCCAGCCCGACGAATGTAAACCTGTTTATATAAAATTGAGTCCTATCAGCCCTTCAGAGCAAAACGCTACGCTGAGAGCTTCCACGCGGAAGGTGTTCGGTATCTCTATCCACGTCTCGAAAGCTGGATTGTGATATCCGACTCTACGGTCGATGATACTGCATTCCCTGGACGAGGATAGGTTTATTCCAGATATAAAGCTGCGTGCAGCGAATTGGATAGTTGAGATACCTATTCGCTGTCGATACTGCTGAGATGGGGGTACCAACGATTGCGTTCTATGGTAAATCACACGGCATCCCTTGCCCAAAGGACTATCAGTGCCAACAGAGGCCAGCTGGCCGGAAAAGAAGCCGGCTACCTCTATGAGCCGAGACGACTTTTCAGCACTTTCATCATCGATCACTTGATAATGTCCGCTCTGTCTTTGCGCTGGGTGGGCGACAGATCCGTATGGACCATTTTTATGAACAGCCTCTAAGCCCACAAGGGCAGCAATGGGTTCCAGCAGCTGCCAGATTCTCTTCCGATTGATCAATGGCAGGGTCCCTGCCGCAAGCGATGCTCTGGTCCCGAAGAAAATCAGATATCAGTCCAGCGTGTCCGTAATATCCAAAAAAAGAAAATCAGCTTCCTGACCCAGGAGAAACCTACTTCGCCAGTACGACCGTGGAAGAATATCCACGGTTGCAAGTAGAGCTAAATCTCGACATACCAGTCGAAAATTGAGGAGTTCGTCAAAGGATAAATATGAGAATATCTCGAATTTTAGCTCAAGTAAGAGTCTACCGAAGATATAGTGTTTAGGTCTTTTTGGATTTTCGCGCATTTGTTTTGCCATGGAGTCGGGGGATGGGACTAAGTCACAGTTGCCATTATGCTCAGCGAATATGAAATCTAGGAGCAGATCTTTAACGGAGTTCTTATTGCTGATGCATGCCTCGATCCATGGCGAGAATCCGTCGACGTCCTTGATATCGGGGTTGGCGCCTCTTGAGAGTAGTAGGCTTGCGAATTCTCTGTTGCCTCGGTAGACAGCAAGCCAGAGCACTGTTTGGCCCTGACAATTTGGAAGATCAATCTTAACACGAGGGTGTTGAAGGAGCCGGTTCACGACCGCAAATGACCCATTCTCCACGCCGTACCACAAAGCACACAGGCCATTCGCATTTCTCGTATTCACGCGTCGCTCTCTCTTACGCAGCAAGAGACTGATAACCAGGTCTGAACCATATTTTGCAGCTGTCATGAGAGGAGAGAAATTATCGACCATCGCATCTACGTCGGCTTGGTAAGGAAGCAAGGTCTTTGCAATGGCACGATTGTTGGTTTTAGCGGCCCAGTTAAGCGCAGAACTATTTTGGTGCCTGATATTATATTTGATCAGGGCTAGGCGTAGCTTGGGATAGAGTGTTGAATGTGTGCGAGCAAGAGCAGAAATATCGCTTCCCTGCAAGGTGCTGGCTATGATCCAAAGGATCTTATACACGAGCGAGATGACTCTCCAATCGAGACCTGCCCTCCTTTTTATTCCCGCTTGCATGACTGATAAGAGCAAAATTCCGCGCGGTCGTAGTTTCCTATCTAGGAGACTAGCTTTGACCTTGCTTGTTCTCTGATTCCTATATCAACCTTCATCACCTCTATTGGAATCCTCGAGAGCAAAAGGTCGCCGAGTGCATACAAGATCTCAAACGAGCTGTAGACCCTCAGATGCTCGACTTATCTGCACTGAGCGCCCTGGTCATTCGCTTTCCTCAACCTCAAGTGTTCATCCGATAAAGACTGGCATTTTACTATTCCAATACTCAGATGGTAGCGTTGGCTCGTCTACCATGGTATGGCAATACTGCCAGCAAAATGCTCTTATCATCATATGCGCCCACATCTCCAAGAATGAAATATCATCGCACCTGTAGCCAGACTCGCACATCTCTCTCTCCATGTAATCAAACCTGTAAGTATATTGACCCAAAGCTTCAGCCATACGTTCGTTCCATGGAATTCTCTCCCTCAAATTCGAATCGTAGGGGTACTTGTTATTTCCTTGGTTAATGTTGTGCTCAGCATACTTGTCGGCGAGAACAGCATTCTTGAGGTGCACCTGTACAAGTGTACTGTACAAGTCGTCTTTTTGTCTCTCCATCTCTTGCGCTTTATCGTCGAAGTATTTTTCCATCTCATCCCAGAGATCATGTACCAGATCAAGATCGTGCACGTCTTGTCCGTTCTTCGTCGCCTTGTCCCGATCGCTCCGAGTTGCAATGCGGTTAATTGCACAGTGGTTAGCGAAAGTCTCATGTTTGGTTTGAAGGCTGCCCAGGCTCTCGGCATGCCTAGGACAGTTTCCATATATCTGAGTCTTCTCTTCAACTTTGCCTCGAAGAAGATCCCTGAAAGCCGCTCTGCCGGTATTTGAAACAAAGATCCAGCTCGGCCTTTCCATAGGCGCAGGGACTCGGACTACTTGGGAGCCCCTTCTGCGCATGAAAGGAGCGGTGAGTGGGATAATATCTGTAAAAGCGTAGAGGAATTTATCTCTTCTCCCAGTAAGTTCCTCCAAGCGTTGGATTACGTCGTCCGAAGGCTCAAATTCCTTCATAGTGTTTATCACACCGGAAGTGGTGCTGACATTGAAAGCGGTCGATTTCCCGGGAAGTGCTGGTAAGATCCCAAAACCCATAGCATCCGCTTGGATGTTGGGAATCATGAAGTATTCTTCAGGAAATCTATTCCGCCAGGACAACCGAGCAAAAGTTACAACACATCCAATGCCTCTCAGATAAGATGAGGTCAAAAGGAGATTGTTGCCCTCAGCTCGCAGAACTGATTCAGAAGGTCGAAACTGTAGCCAACGCAATCCTAGCCGCCGGATGAAAATTGCAAGGTCGGAAACACCAATTCCTGCATAAACTAAGCGTCAGTGCGAGTTAGAGGATGTGTTAAGATGGGAAGCCTACGTGCAAGAGGTTTGAGAACATCAGAAGGCATGAAGTCCCAAGAATGTGGTTCCACAGAGAACGATGGGAAGCGTAAGAACTGAATTTGATCATCGTGATTTGGATCATTGTGAGGTAATGAGGTGGCCATAAAGCTCTCTTCTTCTCGAGGAAAGGCACGAAGTAAGGCGCGGTGAAAGGTATGTAGTTCTTCAAGAAGCTGCAGCCAGCAGACCCATTCGTTGTTACCACCATGCTGAAGCTCATTCGCCTTAACTACAAGGTCACTTTCACGTCTGATAAGTGACTCATGACCCGAGGGTAGGGAGCAGTGATTTCTGTCAAGACCGGTGCCTAGTTCGATAAACGGGGTCCCAAATCGGGTCTCGCATCGTAACTCTTTTAATTGAAGGGGCCGTTTGGTGTAGCACTTCCATGGGCCCACTACTTTCTCCTGGCATCTTCGGTATCCCTCTGCCGTAGCAAGGTATTGTTGAAGCACCTGTGCCACAGATATTATGAATGCGGCAACTGCGAGTATGATTGCTGCCAAAGATAACTTTTCCTCGTTCGTGAAGGACATTTCGAGAAAATAATGGCCCTCATCAAAATCCAGTAACTTAGAGAATAGGAACCAGCCATGAAGGGAGAAAATGATTGTCCAGAACCGCTATATATGAGGGTCTATGATATCACGCGCTGTACCGCATATTTACAATATGTTTGATGGCCTGCAAGAGTGGAGAAGGGTTATTAGGTTACACGGGAATTTGTGGATAGCCACATAAACCTAATTTATGGTTAGACTACAACGAACTTGATCTAGACTTTGGTCATCTAAGTTTCACTTGACTGTCCCAATTCTGCCTCTCACGGTTTAATTCTAGGTTTGCTATAATACTTTCGGCTTACGGCTACCTATCGAGCCTAGAACAAGTGGGTGGCACACTCGGATCATCTGTCACCCGCTGACGGCACTAAATGTGACCAAAAAGAGAATTAGATGTTGATTGAATTTCGGTCTGCCAATTATTAAGCAAAATGATGAAGCTAAGCGCCTCTTACGGCCGTGGTTGAGAATTGAAATTAAACTCCCTCACAATTTTACCCTCCAACGTCATAGAGATCAGTGATTGCTGCGGTTCTACCCTCGAGCTAAAGCTAAGGCGCATACACCCAGCTGCAGCGTAAAGAGCTTGATTTTAATAATGCGGCCACGGTACCCTTCGATGTGGTACATAAGGGCGGGAATAGTCGTATGTAAAATGGAGGAAAACGCCAGCCTCATAGGGCCATTTGTTTTAACCCCTCATCCAGCAGCTCTGAAGATGAATTAGAATATTCATACCAAGATCCACCTCGAGGAAGCACTAGGCGCCTTTGATGAGCATAAAGCAGGATATTATACCTCTACACCTACATGTTAATCATAGTCTGCGAGTCAGCCCTCTAAATATCAGATACTTCGTGAAAATTCGAATGTATAAGGGAGTGAAAAAGAGTCGGGAATTTACAATTTAATGCGCATTATGTTCAAGAAATCTAATCGATCGGTACTGTATAATCCAAAGCACGGGGCACTAGTTCTTTTGTGCTCTAGTACCACAGCCCGTCATTCGGCTTAATTCCCTGGCTTTTACAATACTCTCAGTATAATGATGGAGTGATGTGCTACTCAGGATTTCGATTCAACCTATTCAGCAGCCTGTGTATACCCACGGCAAAAATATAACCGATTCAGCCATGATCACAGTGTGCCGGTAGTCTTTCTCTATCCGATACAAGAATAGTCGGCGGATTTTGCGGCCTTGTGATGTCTTTTTAGGTGTATGTGAAGACTGTAAAAAACGCATACTTTATGCAAACGACTTTTCCAAGTATAACCTGTGATATATGTAAGAAGAAAATGGGTCCTATGATAAATTATAAACTAATAGCCCTATTGTTCAAAGCCTAACAAAAGAAGAATTAAACTGGGATCATGGCAATCTAGTCACTATATGGTAGGAAAACTCCTCCGCCACGAACAGACAATTTGGGATATGGCAGCAGATGAATCTCTCACTTAAGCTTTGAAATATAAATTCTAAGCACCACCGGCTGCTGCTTCCATGAACAACTTCTCACGCTAGATAGAAAATTGTTAGTGGTACTTGTGATAGTAGACCACGGAAAAACTCACCTTCAAGAAGAGCGAGAGGAGGACACCGAGCGCACCGGCAACGATTAAAAGAACATATCTGGTATGAAAACATTAGCAATTGAGTGAGTCATTAAGCACCGCCGGCGAATAAATTATTCAGCAAAGAAGAGGAACCTACACATCATCGATGGCGGAAACAATAATATCCAGAGCTGCGGTCTGCTGCGACTTCGTTAGGGTCTTGAAGAATCCACTAGAAGTTCCCGCAATGGAATTCTTGACATCAGCAGGATTGGAATCCGGGAGCAACTGTAGAAGTTCCTTTGTTGTCTTGTTGACGAAGATAGCACCTGCCATGCCCAAGGCTAAGACAATGCCTCCCAGTTGGGCTAGTTCATTGAATATTAGTTCTGAGGCAAAGAAGAACCAGAAAAATTGGGGTTCACTTACAAACCATCATGAAGCCCAAGGCCCATGGGATCTCAGCTTTCGGAACCTTTGCCTGCACCACACTGTAGCCTGCCTGATTGTAGGCACCAACGCCCAAGGCCATCAGAGCTGTGTATCCGTATATTGCACTGGCAGAGGTATCGGCCTTGACGCGATCTAAATTTGAGTCTTAATTAGTATACAGTCTATGCGCACCGCGAATTTGCAATGGGGAGAAGGACTGATTTCCAGGAAACATACACATCAACACGGCGGCGATCAGCTCAAAGGCGGCACCGAAGAAGTACCATGGAATATAGTACCCGAACTTAGACATCATGTGGCCGTTTGCAATGATCGTGAAGATAAGGACCAGCACGAAAGGTAGAAGACGCAACGACGTGTGGATGGCCGTATCTCCCTGCAATAGTATTAGCTTCCATAACTTCTGCATGAATATAAAAGTGGCTATCCTGACCTGTGTGAACTGGAAGAATAATGGGATGTAATAAACCGCAATAAACAGCCCGCTGCTGGCACTCGCTGGATAGAGGATATGAATTAGTGGAACACACCAAAGAACCTTTGGACGGGGGGCTAACTCACTGTTGAGAATAAATAAAAGCAACAGGGAGCGTCTTTTGAGGAAGTGAATCGGGAACAGTCGGGTTTGCTCATTGCAAAAGATGAAGAAGGTCTGCTGTACCCCAAATACGACGAAGAGCACGCCTGACACCACAAAGAGAGCAATTGACTGACCGCTGCCCCATTGCCATTCCACACCTCCAAAGTCAATGCCCATAATTAAGGTAGTTAAAGCACCTATAAAAAGGACGCTGCCAACCCAGTCGATATTCATTGCCTTTTCCTTAGAGGTGGCATTTGGGAGGGGCTCGAATGAAGGTAGGAGAAGGAGATATACCGGGGCGAAGGCTGCTCCAATAACAAGATTGATGTAGAAGGCCTGGGTATAGTTAGTACAATATGATTTAATATCCCCGAGATTGCTAAAGACATACCCAACGCCAGGTAGCGGAACTTTCAGCGAATGCGCCTCCAATGGCCGGACCGGTGACTGTTCCGATACCCCATGAGACAGCACTATACAAGGGGTAAAATAATCAGCACGTATATAGAGCCAAGCCGCGAGTTACGTACGTCAATCCAATATAGAAGGGACGTTCAGACACTGTCGTATTAACGGACAATTGTGTCAAGACACCGAAGTACATGCCACTTCCCTGAGAATTTTTATCAGTATTTAGGGTTGCAATATCTAATTAGTGCGACATTGACTTACTCCAGCGCCAGCCATTGCTCTGCCAACGATCATAGAATTCATGTTCGGAGCACCCCCACACAGACCGGAACCTGCCATAAACAGAATGACGCACTAAATCATGATCAGAGATGGCCTACCTCGCATGAGATAATCAAACCTCATTGACTTACCCCGATATAAAGCCATTTGGCATTGTAAGTCGCGTACACCTTGGACCAAGGAAGCACGGTTGCAGAAGAGCAAAGAGTAAATCTGCAAGGAAAATCGATCAGTGAGAAATATTCAATTTTTAACCCGAATGTGATAGGAGTCCTACCCGACAGAGAGCCATGAAATCTGATCAGCTTCATTGAATTGCGCTACAATAGCCTAGTGATTCAGGATACGTTAGCATTGATTGGTCATTAACCTAATTCAAAGGTACTGACCGGTTGAATATTAGCCACAATGGTATTATCGAGAGCGAAGAGCATATGGCTGGACAAGATAGCAGTCACAACCAAAATCCACTGATGTTTTCAATATTAGTTACGAAAAGACCAATTATATCAATTTAACCAACCTTGACCCCAGTGATGGCTCTCACTTCCTCCTTCTCCTCTTCCATATCGCAAGACCCAGCGTGGTTCGTACTGAGCTGGGATATGATAGAGCTGGAGGTGTGAGCCTCCAGCGCGGGCAGCGTTCCCGATTCACCACCGTCTCCTTTAAGATGTTCAGTCATTGCGATTGGTTGTGCAAAATCATGCAAATTAATCGATGCTGCTCTGCAGAGAAAGATTGCGAGAGAGATATGTAGTTCTTTAGATTAATGGATACAGTACTGTTTATAAGGAAATTATATTGACCTGAAAAGGTTCTATCTTTTCAAAGTCATGACTAAAGCTATGGGTAAATAATCTGGATGGGATGAAAGTAAAGCTGGAATTTACAATCTGGGATCACGATGGGATACCGCCCTCCCATCAACCAGACGCGAATTCACTGGGATGCCGATGGGATAGCGATGGGATAGCGATGAGCGTACCCGAACAATGCCCAAGGGATGATTACACCCCGATATTTCTTTTGGATGTCTTCTTGGATTTCTTTTTTTTTTTACAGATATCTCTTCTCGGCGTTATAGCCTTAGGAGATTCTAAAAGGAGAATGAATAATAGTACTAAGCAAACTCTAATATGTACGATATACAAAAGCGCTAACATAATGCAAAGTGTACTTTTCTAGATATACTTAGGGAAGTATGTATACACACGGCAACACCTTTGCGATTGAAATATCGTTATATCCACCGAAATTGTTCACGAGGCTGCAGAACTTGCGCAGTCTGAGAAATCCAATATTCTTCAGTATTCTCATGGGTATACGCGGCTTCGTTTCTTGCGATTTTCACAGCCAAGTCTGAAGTAGCATGCCAGAGGTCATCACTGTCCGGCACCGCAAATTGTAGGTCTGTCAGAGAAAGAAGGCTTTTACTTGGTGACTGTGGTCCACGCCGAGGACCGTAATTGAGCGCGTCTCCCAAGAGTTCGGCATCGCGTACCCGGGAATGCCTGCACACTCTATACAAGGACAAGTCAAAACGCTTGACTTCCTCAATGCCAAGCCAGATGAAAACATCAGGATCAACCCCTGGCCTAAATTGCGCCAGTATTGAGGGATAGAAGAACATGCGCCGCTTCAAACAGGTGCGCACGAGAGAAACGAGAAGCTGAGAGGGAATCTCAGGGAGTTGAGTCAATTGCAGATCTAACTGGTCGCGATTGAGGAGGAGGGAGAATATGAGGTGTAACAGGATTCCTTGGTATGTTGCCATCGGCCATGGTGTGGGACCGGATGCATAATCTTGCAGGCTTGATTCGTCACGGTGATTATATATGTCCCATTTCCCCTAGCTGGCTCTTTAGTAACAATATCAATAATGTGGAGAGATAGCGGAAAGAAATGAACTGACTCTTTGCTCGTATATCGACGATGTCAGTCTTTTATGTAGGTCTTTTGCGGTATTTTGCGTATTGGTTTCCATCATCGCCCACGAGCCCATCATCACCACTGACTGAGCAAGAAAAGGCAGCTCATTGTCGAGATTGAATGTCGCCGGGTGTAGGAATGGCCATTTTGGGTGAAATTTGTTGAAATAAGCCTGAACATATGGCGCAACTCTACATGGGCTATTTTCAATAGTTTCGGAACGCTGGATAGGGCCCACTGATTCTGTCGGAGGAGAATAAAATTCATCGTCCGATTCTAGGGAAGGTATGGGGCTTGGGCGGCGATTTGGAGGCCTATTCTGTTCCAATGCCCGGCCCCGTGAGTTTTGGGTATATGAACATTGAATTTCTCGCTGGAAGCACGCGCCGCAGGGAAACTGTCCGTCGCATTTTGACCGTCGTGAGCGACAATAGGTGCAAGCTCGAATTGCCCTGGAGTATTGTAGCTCTCTGTTTTTATGATGAGTGCGGACATGCTGTCGTAGCGTGTCATTCCTGGCAAAAACACGCTCACAGAAGGAGCATTCGAAACGATCTGTTTGAGTGTGGGTTTTAGCATGTCGGGTCAGATGTTCCTTCCGTCGATAGCTTAGGCCACACCCGGGAAAGTGACAATGGAAAGGGGATTGCTGTGTTGTCATCGTAATCACGACAGATGGAGCTAAACAAAATATTCCAGGGGCTGTTTAAGCCCAAATACCCGAAGATCGACGATAGAGTCCAGACGTGACCACAAGTAGCTACTCTGTAGGTACGACGACATGCACTAGGTGGGATAGCGATGGGATAACGAATGGGATAGCGATGGGATAGCGGATGGGATAGCGGCCCTGGGGATGATGGAGCATCTTAGTCAGGAGTGGATCGTGGAATGGTCCACAAAAGGCTTGGCAACATATCTATATAATCCTGGTGAGATCTAGCCCAATGGAACTCTCCTGGCATACGTCAGAGTGATCATATAATGTGAAAAATATATGCAAATCGGCCAGGATGCTCTTTCCCTCTCCTCACATTCATCATTCCCGCAACGACAGAGCTGGAGGCAAGAGAGATTACGTGGTCCCATGAGGTATCAGCGGAGTATAAAACAATATCAAAGACACTGGAGGCTAAGCGAAAAGGGCTGCTGGCCCTTTCACCAGATACAAGTAAGGCATTTGATCAATGCCTACTTGTCCCAGGAAACAAGGCCACGATTCGAGCGATCATCGTCCCCGCTCTCATCAATATGCATGGCCTCCTACCAGTTTCAAAAATACATGTCGTGTTCAAGGCGCAGTTTGTGGGCCAATGAAGCAATATCACACCTCCCTGACCTGACTTGACGATTGGACTCCAATCAGCCGATTTCAGAGACTACACAGCAGTCCTCTACGAATTAGGCACCATTGCTGCGCCTCTTGACTAGATGCATTCCACTATATTTCCTTTCTTCACGTTGGAAGTTAGAGGTGACTCGGGTGGTGCAGACGCCCAAATCCAAAACAGTAACAGCGCCACAAACATGCTCAACAACCTTCGGCACCTTACTGCCCGGGCAAGGGGAAAGGAATATGCCCAACAGTCATTCGACAGTGTTGTTAGGGTCCTTCTGGCTACTGTGACTCAAGAGTCAATTACGATCTCCGGTCACTGGATTGTTTCTTGCGAAGAAACGAACGACCTCTTCTTCTACTCCTATTTGCTCAAGTCAGTTGGCATTCAAGGCCTCACGAATTCAAAGTAGAACGATGCAATCGATTTTGTCATGAAAAAGACGCAAGATCAGGTGGGGTCTGACCTGAAGTGTGTAAATGATGACATCCTCCAACGACCCAAGAACGAGACTGAGAACCCTATTCCTTTACCCACGGCTTCCACTAGCCGCAAACGTCGCTGTCCAGATACTTAATAAGTGTCTCTTTCGTGTGATTTCTCTTCATCCCCCTTTTCAGTTTTATAGCCAGAGGCGGCAGAAAAAGCATACTTTGTGCAAGAGACTTTTCTATGTATAACCTTTTACTAGCCTTGCTATGTGGTTTTCTCCTATCCGTAGCATGATACATACGACCATAGGGTGTGGAAAACAGGGCTTCCCGTCCGCTCAGCCGTACTTAAGCCACACGCCGGTGAGTTAGTAGTTGGGTGGGTGACCACCAGCGAATCCTCACTGTTGTATGTTTTTGTTTTTTATTTACTATTATTGTAAATGTGTTGCGTACGGTCTTGTGACATCTTTTTAGATGTTGTGAAGGAAGGCGGTAAAAAAGCATACTTTGTGCAAGCGACTTTTCTATTAACCTGTGATATCAGGAGATAAATAAAGCTGCCATAGGTATGGTATAGGCAGAGGGTATCTACATTTATAGACCGCAGGAAGACACTCCCCGAACCGTGCATGACAGTGAAGATCTGCTTTCCGCAGAAGATCCTGAAGAATATGTACTGAACGAAGAGATCATCGCCTTGTATGATGGGGAAGGCAAGCCATCGATCAGGCCACGAAACAAAGGGAAAGCCCAGCTCAACAGACCAGCTCAAAAGACCAACTCAAAAGACCTCACCAGGCTGCAAACGCGGCCGACTATTCTTGTTAACCACCAACCTAGAAAATGAGCTTGTCGTATTGAGCACTAAGATAGAAGGGGAAAATTATCTAGTGCCACGTATTATCCGGTGGATATGTATCTCTCTATGCTCTTAAAACAAATTTCCAGAAAAATTAAAGCAAAGAACTAGCATAGCGCATTTCATCGTCTATCATCCCGGCTATTTCGTAAATTTCGTGAACTACCCGAGCCAACTCTGCAGCCTGAAAATGTGTTTCAGTAGCCCCCATTCGATGGACTGTGATCAGCAAGGCACCCATATAGTTCGGCTGAGAGATAGAACGTGTTGGACCGCTTGCCGTTCAGCTTCTCCTTCATACTCACCCAGCTATGGATGCCGCGACCAGTCTCCAATGGCCGGCGCTGCACGGCGCTGATGGCATTTCTATACCTCTCTCGGTAGAGCTGAGGGGCAGAAATGGCATCCATGTATGTTTCGATGCGCTCTTGTGCTTCGGCGTCATTTGCTACGTAGCTGTCCATTGGGTAGAGAACCGTACGGGCCGCGGGCCGAGATGGGTCTTCGTTCTTGAAATGGAAACAGGACAGCCCAGGTTTTCCACGGTACGGCCCAAGCGAGCCACCCGCCATAATTGAGTAGAACAACTCGATAGCGTGGACGCTGGAATTGGGGTCCATTTTGACATGCTTTTCCGCGATTTGTGTTGCAGACGCACCACGGTGTGCAACGTATACCTTGACTTCGGCGTCTTCGGGGTTCGGCGACAAGCCGAGAGAGAAATAGATGGGATAGTCGTCGCTGGTCATGATGCTCTCCAATAACTTCCACGATCTGGCTAACCCCAAGCGCCCCAGAGCCTCTCGGGTCACGTTGAAGGCGTTTTCCCTCCCGGAGGCTAGTGGATTTAGGTAAATCTTCCACTTTTCCAGTGTATTCGAGGTAGCGAAGCTGTGCCATGAGGCTAGATTACCTTCAGCATCTGAGGGGAGAAACAGATCCTGGACGAGGTTCAGGCGGTCCAGGGCGACCTTTGTGGGGCCGTACTCTGTCGCTATGTTGTCGGTCAAGCGCGAAGTACTTTCTTGGAGGGCGGCTATGCTATTTTCTTCGGGCTGAGCCTCGATCAAGAATCGCAGCTCAGATGCTCCAGTCTCTTGAGACAGAGCCAATGAATACTCAAAAGGCGAGTGATCATTGCTCACGTCGGAAACCCAGGCCGATGTGTTCAGCTTCTGTTGTATGGCATTTTGACACCATTCTCCTCCGGAAAGGTTTAAGGCGTGCAACAGCTTCTCTCGCGTAACTTCATCTTGTCCAATGGCTTCAGAAAGACGTGTAACCTGCCGAGTAGCCTCGCTAATATAATTACGGTTGACCACCTGGTTCATGAGAGCTAGAGCAGGCGTAGGCGGTGCCGGAATGGTAGGCTTGATTGTGTGTTGGTGTTGGTGGGCGAATTGGTGACTTTGCGGGTACAACCAGGTGTCTGGTCTCTTCTGGTCTAAGGGAGCCATATCTGATGTAAAGTTGCGACTGCCAACATTATCGCTAACTCTGGGATAGACGTTATATATGCGACATGTATATTCGGCCGAAGGTGGGCTCATATAGAATTGGGCTGCTACTTGGAACTCATTCCGAGATGCGGTGTAGACAAATGATATGTCATCTCGAGCTACCTGTAAATATGAGCTCCTTTTTAGGCTCTTGACAAAAATTTCCTAACTAGTACATAAAGTTTGAAGGAGAGACATGAGCGCTTACTATATGCATGTAAGAAAGCCGCTGTTGGCATATGGATACAGGCAAACATAGAACGCGATACACACAATTTCTGTTACATGCCAATTGCTCTTTACTAGTTCTAATAACTAAGCGACATCATTACCTGTGGGACCAGGTGGAGGACCAAAATGGGTACTCCGCTTCGGGGAATAATATCAACACCACTCACACGGCACAAAACTTTGTATAAATTGTATGTATGTAGATCCACTAATTTCTTTGTGTATGACCTTGCATTTCTTTACTTGCTAGGGTGTCTTTAGTGCCTGGTTTTTCGCCCCTAAGCTAGTATCTAGCGCATGCTGATCAGGAATATGCTGCAGGACAAATCTGTATATTGTTTCGCTCTTCCTAATCATGCAATCTTCAGATATATGTGATTTCTCCAGTGCAATTTATAAAATGTATTTTGGTACTAATCATATCCTCGGTCTCGCTTGAGGTGATGAATCAATGTATGCCTTAAGACGAGACATTTAGGATAAGAGATAAAGTACGAAATACGAGTACGTAGTTACGTGTTATCTGCAGGTATACGGAGTATATGCACGTTATATATTAAACTATAACGTAGTAATCCATACGGAGTAGCGCTTATATAGTTATGTATTCACATGTGCATGATATAAAACCGCCTACTGTATCAAGATAACGCACCCTTGCTGAAACTTGCCTAGCTCTGAGCCGGGGTAGAAATTACGAAAAGAGAAAACCCCCGCTGATACTAGTAGGTACCTAAGTACTCCGTACCAACCTTGGATAACTCACCACCCGTTATGTCGATATTGCGAATTACGCTTTGCACCCAGGACTAATTAATCCAATTCTTCTTCAATTTGGCTCTTCCTCGAATATACGATCTACTGAAATCTCCAACGACCAACAATTATATGTATACGTTTGACCTCTTGGCTCAAGCAATACAATGGAAAGCACGAACCCTATTGCAGCCATTGTACAACCATCCGCCTTGAAGCCTTCAGTCTTCGTGGGATTAGCTAGCGCTCTGTGTGCACTATCTGGCAGCATTATTGCACTACGGCTTTGGACTAATTTCAATCACAATCAAAAGCTTCATGTTGATGATTGTACGTATGGCTTTTGTGGTTTTGGTGGGAATTTCGATGGCTAGCTAAGCTTACCTTGGCAGACTTATGCGTACTCTCGCTCCTGTTTCTGATATGGAATTCTGTCACCTTCTCCCTGCTGTTTGATGGTAAGAATTCTACTAATCTGAGATATGAGCTCACACATGAAAGACTGACCACGTTCAAAATAGTGTTGAATTCGAACCCTAACGATGTAACAATCGAACATCTTACAAGGGTATGGCTGCGATAACTACTATATGAGATATTCCCTTGCCTCAGGCTATTTACTAATGTTTCCTCGTAGCTTGTTGCGGTTGGAATAGCCTCAGGCAACAGTGCAATTTACAGCGCGAAGTTGCCTTTGCTTTTCATGCTCATTCGAATCTTTGGAATCAAGGATTGGTTGCGCTGGACCTGTATATTCCTCATCGTCGTCGGAACTTTGGGCGGTTTGGTTACGCTGTTGTATGCAGGCATCTCGTGCAGCCCGGATCTTCACAAGCCAACGCCACCATTCTTGTTTTCATGCGTCAGCGCCCTCACCAACGCGACTATTGCCCGTGGCTCTATATCACTCGCTATCGATGTCATCGCATTCGTTCTTCCGATTCCAATCATCGTGAATCTTAAGATGCCGCTTCGTAGGAAGATTGGAGTGGCGTTTGCCTTTGCTACGGGTCTTCTGTAAGCTCGGCTATTTCTCCCCTATTGAGTTGAGCGAATTTCCTGACCGTGATAATCAATAGTGCCATCGCAGCTAGCGCATTGGGTTTGTATTTTCAGAAAGCGCAGTCCGTGGAATCTTCTACCAACTTTGCCAATGCTTTGCTTGTCACGTAAGTTTGTCAACATCAATATCGCCGGCCCCTGACCCCCACCCAATCCCCTGTGAGCCTCTTACTGACAAGCCCACAACTAGTGTTATCGAAAGTGCCGTCGTCCTTATGGTCAGCTGTACGCCTGCCATTCATGTATTCTGGACCAAACATGCAGGCTTCTTGCGCAGCCACTTTGGACTGCTAACCTCATCACACACCAAGTCTAAGCTTTCGGTATCCAAAACCAACTTGGGAGGAACCACTACCTCAAACTCAGATTGCACCCAGGTCCACACGCACGACTACGTTGAGCTACAGGAGCTCGGGGATATACGTAAGCCACCGTACGATCCTAGAGTGTTGACTGTTAAGCAATACGTGTAAGATATTGTTTTGAATTGAACATTTTTACCCCTCTTCAATACAGAAATAACACGATATATAGCGCACATGTCAAGTATCATAGAAATCTAGAAATTTGGGATCCGACAATCGAGGCTTACCTACGATCCTCCACATGTAATGATTGTCGATGCACGAACCGCTTTTTTTAACCCACTGTTTCAACGCCCTCGGATCCTTTGGGACCTTGAAGGGCTAACGAATAATTTCCACTTCACTCGATAGTGAGTCTTCTACACTGGCTAACCAATGAAAAACAACGTGCACGTTTACATTGATCTTTTGGGTGGAGTTAGCTGTGGGCCGCCTTCAAAGTCCTCGGCTTCAACAACCAGTGGGCAACGTTACATGTTGGCAAAGACATTGCTGTAGCTAGTTCCTTTTAATTACAATCAAACTTTAATCAACACATTATTTTATCATATCCGCGGTAAAGCTTAGTAGGCTATTTATTTAAGACAAGGATGATACTAGTTACTCCGTACTAGTAGATGGGTATCGGAATTAGTGCGTAGAAAGCCCGGGCAACATTCATGTGATCAGCAATTCGACAGAAAACAGCCAAAAAGAATATTTTTTTCAAGTAATTGGTCAATGTATTTAATTAAAGCGCACATATCAGATCCTTGTAGTTCAGCGGAGTTCCCAAATCTGGAAGGTGGTCCCGGGAAGACGGGTAGTACCCGTGGTTATCTGCGAAGTCTATTAACATTAGCCTTAGGACACCTCACTTGGCCGATATTTCTTTTACACGGACAATCATCCTCATCCAATGAATATCCTGATGACACGAGGATAATTTGTTTGGAAGTATAACTGGTCGAATCTGGCCCTTAGTTGTACGGAGATGAAAGGAGTACGTGGCGTCTCGTACTGAACCCCTGCACCCCTGCACCCCGAAGTTTCAGCACCCAATTAATTGCGCCAATTCCCTACAATGGGCTCATACAATATCGACTAGTTACTTACCAGGCTTCTAGCATACTCCTCGAACAGAGACTGGAGTCAATTATTGCATGATTGCGTTTAGTTGCTCTTTCCTCCCAACCCATCTAGAGTAGTTAAACCTACTTCCACCGCCGACACTCTAGATCTGGTTGTGTATTCTTTCAATTTCGACCATGCATTTAGCAACATTCATAGCCGTTGCCGGGCTGTTAATAGGCGTTTATATCGTCACGCGACGTAGATCAACGTCGTCTTTGCCCCTCCCGCCGGGCCCCAAGCCATTGCCGATAATTGGCAATGTCCACCAAGCTCCTAAGTCCCACGGCTGGCAGACATATCGCGAATGGAGCAAGCAGTATGGACCAATTGTTCATGTCAACATGCTTGGACAGCCCGTCATCATTTTGTCTACGTCTGAAGTAGCCCACGAACTGCTAGCGAAGCGTGGAGCCATATTTTCTGACCGACCTCGTCTTTTTGCAAGGCTCTACTCCCCCAACATGCATGTGCAATAATTGGCTAATAGTAACTTGTAGTTGGCAACTGAGCTGGCCTTAAAAGGACTCAACATCCTCATGATGAATTATACCGATCAATTTCGACAACATCAGAGGTTACAGGTCTCGGTGTTAAACGCGACGCCAGCAGCCACCTATCTCCCCTTCCAGACTCTAGAATCACAGCAATTGATGCATGATCTGCTAGAGAATGCGGGTGGCGCTGGTGCTGAGGTCCAAGGACATTTCCAACGCGCCGTCGCTAGTATCATCCACACGTTGCTATATGGCTTTCGTGTCAAAGACTACAACGACCCGGTACTTCGCACCGTTTTTAAACTCAACGAAGAGTTTTCCGAGTTTATCCAGGTTGGCGCACACATTGTTGACCAGTTCCCTGTGCTTAATAATCTGCCGGGCTTCTTAGCCCCATGGCAGGCAAAGGCTGAGAATCACTACAAGACCAAGTATGATCTGCGTGACGAGAACTTTCGGCGGGGCCAGGAGTCGGACGCCTGGAATATATCAAAGCATCTCAAGAAGACTGTCGAAAAGGATAACCTTGATATGCCCTTAAACGAGCTAGCATTTGAGCTTGGTACTATGATCGACGCCGCGCTGGATGGCACCACAGACAGCTTGATCTGGTTTGTGGTAGCTTGCATCACACAAGATCAAGGCTTTGTTGCCAAGGCACGCGAGGAGCTAGATGCCGTTGTCGGGCACGGCCGCCTCCCAGTTCCAGATGACAAACCCAATCTACCGTACATCACCGCGATTGTCGAGGAGATATTCCGCTGGCGACCCGCTGGTCCCGAGGGCGTCCCCCACTTGAACAGGGAGGAGACTACCTATAATGGATATACCATTCCCAAGGGATCTGTCATCATACCCAATGTTTGGACAATCTCCCGAGAAAAGGCCGTGTTCGGCCCGGATCCCGATGATTTCATACCGGATCGCTGGCTCGAGGAGGACCACAAAACACTCAAAGACCTTCCCGCTGCTGCCTTCGGCTATGGAAGACGTACCTGTCCTGGGCGGTATTTTGCCCGCAATGTTATCTGGATCGTCGTCGCACAGATGCTATGGTCATTTGACATCAAGGCTGGCCTGTCTGCGGAGACGGGCGAGCCCATTGTCCTTGACCCACTTGCATGCACCTACGGCCTGGTTATGCGGGCACTGCCTTTTAAGGCTTCCTTTCACCCTCGGGGGCCTTGGGTGCGTGACGTGATCGCCAAAAATGGTGACACTTATGGCAAGGATCATGTGGCCATGCTCAACCAAATTGGGGCGGAGCTCACTAAGCTGTAGCGGACCTTATTCCATTTCACTTTCTCTCACATTATACACACATGTACAGTCAGCTACAAAGGGGCGAACTACAATATGTATAAAACATCTAGGTTAACGGCGCCATTATGCTACTTTGGACTTTATGTTACATAATAACCTGGGAAGAAAATAGCTAAAAATGATATCTTCTGCCGAGGTCAGTACTTTTCTAATGGAAGATCTTCCTTGTGCAAGCGGAACAACATCGGCGTAATACGTGGTTGTCTCAGGTTACATACAACATAGTTATGCAGTACTCCGTGTATGTAGATCGTACCAGCTTTTTGTTTTTCTTCACATTTACCCGAGCTTAGCGCAAGAACCCTAGCTCAACGCTAGGAAAGCTTTAACATAGTACCCCGTATACGGAGTACGGAGTACGCGGTTTTTTTACATCATGCACACGTGAAGAACCGGTAAGCACTACTGCATGGTCCATATTCCTGATTAGTACATTCATAGTGCTGGCCCACACCGTTTCTTCATCAAATCTGCAGCCAAACCATTGGCTGTTGACCACTAGCAGCACAAGGAGGCCACATTCCCAGACGGGAAAGAAATCTTGATGCCCAAGAAGGTGCTTGGTTACTCCTTGACTTAGGTAGTATAACCCCGTGTCGAACTGATTGCAAACTTATGATGTTTCCCGTCAGCGCAGTACCCACGATACTAGACGGCAACTCTAGTACAATATTCAAAGTCACCCAGGATGATTCCTTTTCGTTTTACAGGGTTAACTTGGCTCTTGGGATTATTTTCCTCTTCGTTTCTCTCAGATTAGTGAGAACGAAGGTATTTATGCACCTTGTTACAATAATTCATGAAGATTGGTGCGCTCATATTCTATAGACACAGCCTACCTCACCACCCTGCGAGAGAATAATCGAAGAGGCAGAGCGGACAAACCGTCGCAATGGACACGAGAATGCCGGCTTTCTGTCTAGAGAGGCGGGATTTTCACCTCTCCAGACAGTAAAGACACTTCCGTCTTCCCATGCAGTATGGGACCAACTTACTGCCGACCTACCTCGCCTCATCCAGACGCAGACCGTCCGAGAGTCTGTCGCCAAAATGCCACTTCTTGACGCATCTGCCGAAGCTTTGCCCGACATGTACCTCCAACGAGCCGCTACCATCCTCGGAATGACAGCCCATGTGTTTGTTCGCATGGAAGGAAACGAGCCTCTTACATTGAAATACGACAGTCATAATGATATACTACCGCCATCGCTTGAGATCCCGTGGACAATAGTTTGCAGACGTCTTGGGCGACCAACCCCGGCTCTCACCTACGTGGACGGGGTGGTAGCCAATTTTACATCAACCAGCTTGTCACACAGTGCCGTGACGCTCGAAAACTTGAATTTGCTTATTCCAACTATCGGCACCAAGGAAGAGCACGCATTCGTTGGTATTATGATTGAAATAAACGCCAGGACTATACCGATTCTCCATCAAATAATAGAGGCACAAAGATCCGTCTTAGCGAAAGATTCCTCTTCGCTCAAAGACGCAATACGAAGTCTCCATTCACTCTTAAAGCAAATCACCTTGGCTCTCAGTAAGCTCAATGCGAACCGAGCACACGAGACTCATATTGATCCCGTCTTATGGACTCTCACCGTAGGGAATTTAGGAATCCCTTGGGTGAAAGATATGGTTGGAGCGGCAGGCACAGCACATCCATTTTTTCACATGATGGATGAATTTACCGGACGATTCGAATATCTCACTGGCATCGGCCAAGAAACGCAAATTGTCCGAGCCACATATCCTATCCATTGGCGGCAGTTTCTCGCGGCCATAAAGGAAGTGTCAGTTACGGAATACGTTGCTGCGTCCAAGGATAGGGAATTAACGGACCTCTGGAAAACCTTTACATCCTCATATCACGGAAATGATGGCTTACTTGGATTCCACCGGCGAAAGGTGTTCGGCTTCCTTGCTGTCTCATTCAGGATTGGTCGAAGTACAACCATCAATGGTCTTGGTCGCAAGCGCAGGACCGAGCCCTGGTACGAGGTCGATCAAGAGTTGGAAAAAGCACGCCTGGAACGCAGATGTGTTGACCCAGACGAACACACTCCGGATACCAAACCAAGCTCAAATAAGCTCTTCGTGTCTGAGCTCATAAAACACAACTCGGAAGAGACCGGTTATTGGTTCTCGGCCAAGGGGAGTGTATACGACGCAAGCACATTTATGCAAAAGCATCCAGGAGGGGATACTGTGATTGCGTTGTGCAGTGGCCAGGAAATCACCGACAGTTTGAAGGCAGTCGGTCATTTGACGAACTCTTCAATCCGCAATAAACTGGAAACCTATCGGATAGGAGCTCTTGAAAAGCCGAAATTCGCTTCTTCTCTGACAGAAGAGGTTTACATGGCCGCCGTTGAGCTTGGTCAAAAGGCAGCCGAGATGGAAAATGTGCACCGGAGAAATTTCCAGTTGTTGAATGGGAAACTCACCATGCTGGACGAACCAGAGACTCTCACGCCTAAGAAGGCACGACACCTGCTTGATGCAAAGAATAGGCTTCGGGACGAGCATGTTCCGGTATTGGCGATGCTTCTGGATGTCCTACTCAATAATATCGCTAAGTTGGACAAGAAGCTTGACTTGAGTGTCAGTCGTGCGCAAATTGTCGGTCTTCTTGCGCCAGAAACAGACTCAGGCACTGCAACCCGCTTCTTGAGTTATGGAATGGCACTAGATACGCTCCAGACAGACTTAGGTCGGTTGACTGAAGTCAAAGACCTTGTTGCGATGGTGCTTGGAACCTTTGAAGAGCCTGGCTTCACATATTCCGGGCAAAGTCAGCTGGAATCCACAGTGGGTACATTAAATAGAGTAGCAACACAATTGGTAGTTCTTGCTGGGAAATGAGCTGTTGTGTATATTTTTCAGGATCTTGATAGAAATTAAAGATGAACTTGATGGGTTACACACTTGCTTACTCCCATCTACTTTTCCTTTCAGCAAGACATGTGAAGCGCATAAAGTACTATCACTGATCAAACAAACATACCCTCTACCTGCAAATTCCACAGGTTCTCGATCCCTACGTGTTGACAGAAGTGATAGATCAAAGGCAGTAAATGGCGGTCTACGATGTATATACCGAGGCAGGCGCCAAAGCAATGGGGTTACCCCCAACCAACACAGCAAATATCCACCGCTCCATCTTGCATCCCCTCAATAGTCCTAATTTGAAGACTACTGGCTTTGCCGTTCGTTTGTGAGAAAATCACGGATTTCTTCTGAATGATTTGAACTAGCCTCCCTGCTCAACATCACCATCATAGCCATGGCCGCCTCTACCCCGTCCCTGCAGAAAAACCTCGTCTTCCTCTATACAATGATGTTGATGAAGCCAAACAGCCTAGAAGCAGCAGTCCAAGATGTCTGGCAGACAATCATAGGCTCATGGTTTTATCCCTCTGATGGCTACAAATGGAGCATCAAAGCTCCCATACTCGCCAACAATAATCTACCCGATGGGACTGTCATCCAAGTTATTCAAGTGTTTCAGATACCTGCAGCGACATTTGAGTGGATTGAACACCCGATATTCATAGTATTATGCAAGCGTCCATCTAGTGACACTCCATCACTAGATTGGGATGATACTATGCAAAGCGAGTTCCTTCATCGCCTCTCAGAAAATTCGAATTCTGGGGGAACGGAAAGACTGTTTGGGGCTCTTGCTATCGGCAAGAAAGTGAAGTTCTATCGATTTGACGGGAAAACGCAACCTAATCAAAGACTGGCTCAGCTTCACCAGGATACAATCGATTTGGAGAAGGCGAATGGACCTGCACAAGTCGAGGGTATGATGAACTATATCAAGATAAATGCATGGCTGTGGGTTACCGGCTAAGCAAATTTCGGTATTATCCTGCTGTGTTATAGGGCGAGGTTTATAGATAGCCTAAGTCGTTATGCTACTACTGCCCTGTTCCATGAAGACGAAGAGCTACGTAGATTCCTAGTTTAGGTATGATGCCCATGCTGATAAGAAGGCTGGAGACACTGCGAGATTGAAACAGAGGAGGACTCTGAGGGGCTCCTGTGTACGGTCAATCGAAATCTTGAGCCCAAAACCCTGGTATGCCTCTTGGGGTAATGATACATTTACTTGCGTTACTTCGAGCTGACTTCAAGCTATAAGTAGCACAGCTAGAAATCACGACTCCTCTATTTTAAATAGAAACATCCAAACCAAAGTAAAATCCGAAGAAATAAAGTGCATTATACTGATATCATTCTTCACGTAATTGACCTAGTGATTATTCCATACTCTATAGACAACCATGCTCGATCTGGTATTTGCGAGGGTCAAAGGTGGGCAATGCGAGAAAACAACCCGTGAATGTATGCCACGGGTTCAAGGATGGGTGGGGGGAAAGGTATGTACATTTCATGAATGCATGCTGGAAGACAACCACAAAAACTGCGCACACGGGGATGGGAAGGGGAAAAAGCAGCTGGGGAAGAAGTGGCTGATGGTAAGGCGAAAAAAAGAGGCCAAGAGACGTCAAAGTAGACGGCGGGAATTATTTTGGGTGTTGCTCCCGGCCCCCGAATCAATGGTCTCCTACCACTGAGATGAAGCTGTGCTCCTGGCAGAACAGAGGATATAGCAATGAAATCTGAAGAAAACATTGGATATAAGGGTTTTCCGAGACCCTTCGAGAAGGCCTTGGAATCCCACAAGGTACGGAACCAATGTTCCACTGCCGACGACGCACACGTTTTCTTCCAAATGTAACCAAGAGATAAATCACAACAACCAGTCCCAGTGGCACAGCATGCTTGATGAATGTGTCAACAGTGATGATGGAAAAGGTGACACCATCTTCCGATAAAAAAAAGCTCAGATCCGTTGAACGCCGCCCAGAAAGGAAACCCCATGACCGACATAACATGCAGGCTCCAGCTGGAGACTCTCGAGGGCAAACCCACGAGATACACACAGCCGAAGAAATAGACAGGGGAAAAGGAGACGCAGGAAGATGTGGCGAGCACTGAGCACTACGGCATCAGCGTCAAGACCTATGGCGAGGCCCAGCCACCAGCCACATCCACCCATTCATTGAGACAGCTGCCTTGCTTGCCCTCAACATCGACAATGTCAGTGTCGCAGCGGCATCGGCAACCGACACCGTTCTCCTTGACTTGGTCAAAGTTCGCCCAGTACTCGTCTTCCTCGATCCGTTTCTTCTCATCATCGGTAGTCTTCTCGAGGTAAGGGATACGGGTAAGTTGGCGGGCCGGAGCGTTGGCTGGGCAGTGCTGAATGGTAGTGTGCCGGTAGCCAAAGTCACGGAAGTAATGAATATCACTAGGCGCGAGGAGAGCACCAGCGGCGAGAGAGTGAATAGGAGCATCACCCCACTAGTACAGTCAGTAAAGATCCCCTGGCAGAGTTCAAAGACATAATATAGCATACCCGTTCATTCCAAAATCCTCCACTTCTGTCCATCATGGTGAAGAAATCCTCATACTCCTTGCTGCGGAACCAATCCAGACGGGCAATCTCGAAGTTGCTCCAGAAATGGCACATGTTGTAGCTTTCACCCTCCATGGCCTCTGGGTCCACATCCTTCAAATTGTTGTCACCGGCGTCGGTCTGCAGGATTTCATCGGGCAGTTTGTCCTGCTTGTTCTCCTCGGGAGTCTCTGGTTGCTCTGGCTGCTCTAGGAACATCTCCCACAGACCTTTGGACTTGAGGTTGTTCTTGCGCTTGTAAGCAGCGGCATACCGGAAGATGTTGGGGACAGTCTCGCGAAGTTCCTTCACTGCGATTGTGAAGCCATAGGTCTTGTTTGCCTCGGCCATCTTCAGGAATGGATCACTAGAGTAACGAGTCAGCAGATTGACCAGAAAGACATGCCACAGTAGGTATCTTACTAGGTGATGTCGCAGAAGTACTTGATCTCGGGCTCCAAACGCCAGTACCACTCGTACTTCATCAGGAGAGGGTGCTTGTAGAAGTGTCTATCGCAGAGTTAGCTTTGTAATCCAATTCCCTAAATCTGCCATTGAAGACTGACCCTGAGTAGAATCGGCACATATGGTGATAGCTTTCCATTCCACCGTACATGATGGCGGCATCACCCTGTTTCTTGATGCCCTCTTTGGCAACCTCATGGTCAACCCAATCAGGGAATCCCCACATGCTGTTGTCAATCTTGCCAAATTCAACCTCCGCACTGGTATAGTTCTTGACCGTTGCCTTGAATTCCTCATCGAAGTCACCATCGTTGAGGAAAACATAGGGGTAGTGCCACCACCGGTTGAAGTGTCTCTCGATCGACTTGAGCGACTGGATCACGCCTTCCAACTCCTTATTTCTAGCAAGGACGACGAAGGCGGCATTGGCGCGGGGAGCCTTTGCAATTTGATCAGGCTCAATGGGCATACAGCCGGTAGCAAAGACTTTATCATGCTTTTCGCTGATTTTTCTGTAAAGCGCAGGAGGTTAGTGATCGCGCACACAATTACCAATTGAGAGGGCGATACGAACCGGATAGAAGGCGGAGTGCCCGCTGGAATTAGGATCCCCCCAGGAGAGGCAGGGTGTCGGACAAAGAGGAGCAGAATAAGCACAATTACAAGGCATGGAAATAGTAAAACAAGACCTAGGGGTATAGAAATAGATGAGTTGCCCTTTAGGCGAATCCTCCGTCGGAAAAAGGCAAATCTAGAATGGCGGTGGCCTTTCTCGCTGGGAGCATCTTCCAACGGCAGACTCGGCGCACTGGGCAGCCGTTTCGTGATGCGATGGATGAAGCTCATGAGTGCGATTGTGGTGAGATCACAGGAATAATTGTAGAGGTCAGCTGCCAGGCCCAAGCGACAGCACAGGGCCGTTAGGGAGGAAGCGGAGAAATCGTGTCGGAGGTGTGATCAGAAGAGAAATGCGTCTTGGACAGGGGGAAATACAAGGGTGAGCACACGATCAAATCAGATTCGGACCGTATAGCTCACAGGAAGATCGGAAAGTCAAGAGATCTCGTGAAGTGAAAATGGAGAAAATGACAGCAAAACGAGTGGCCGGAGGAATGCCTCCTTTCGTCCCCCAACTTTCTCAGTCCCAAAGTAGATGAATGGGGAGAGCGTCGGGAGTAACGCGTGCAACTGTGAACAGCAAGGTACACAGAGGTGAGATCGGGGACATCAAAACAGGAGAAGGGTGATGGGAGAAAGAAGATGGGGAATTGGAAGATGGGATGGGTTCCAAAAGGTTGCTTGCGCCTCCCTGGTCTTGGCGAAGTCCGGTGGCCTCTCAGTTGTCACCCTAAGACGGTTATTTTACCCCTAGTTACTGTCCAGTGGCGCTAGAACCAGTATTGTATGGTATTTAATTGTAATCTTTTACTTTTTGTGCGATTGTTCTGGGCCGGTGCTTCTTTGCTTCTTCTAACATTTCAAAGTTTACATCTTTTACCTATTGTTTTTTTTTCTAGTACGGAGTATATCCTCTACATATGCAGTTGAAGTGGACTTGATGCTCTCTTGCGTCTCCTTTGTTCTTTTGTCGGAACCGTGATTGGCTTCTTATGGCGTGGTCTAGGGGGCCAGGTGATTTTCAACGGTAGTACCACTTGTATTAGCCCCTAAGCTAACCAAGAAAGCTTCTGTGTGATCATTTTGATCCCATCTGCTGGGAGTATGCTTGTGCTCGTGTACATTGTACCGTTGTACAAAGTCTTGTACCTGGATCTCAAAAGAATATCTGATGGTCCAGTTTATTGTACCTAGCCCACTTGATCCACCCTTGCTCGGCCCTACGGGGTAATCACACATGCAATATACGCTATAGGCAATGACTACGGGCATCGATGCTTGGCTTTTCTGGAATGTATCGGCTGGTTAGAATGGTTTTGCCCACCTCACTGTAAAAACTTCAAAAGTCTCAGAGCCCTCCTGAGCCGACTTGTTTCACCAATACAATTTCCAGAGTCAGCGCATGACGATCGATGTCCCAACTTTCTCAGGCCGTTGGACCCGAAAGTACGGAGGAGTGCCCGTAACGACTCTTGGGGACATCTGACCCTGTCATCTGTTCACATTCAGCCTCTTCTAAGTGTTTATTATGGAGTCGCTCAAGTACCCAGTACATAAAATATATATCTAGTAGAGCGTCTATATAGGTACCTAGTACATACATACACCCAGGGTCCAGGGTCCTGCCAATCTCAGATATAAGATCTACATCCATCACGCACGTGATGTAAATACGGTATTGTAATTGTAACTGTAATTTCTTTGTATCCAAATAAATCAAATTGCAAATTTAATTCTCGTGGGTCTCAACTAAGGTCTGGACCTTGGGACGGCTCAAGTTTTCAGAACACATTGCTTCGTTGATTGTGCTATCTTTATGTTATCTTTTTCTTTTTTTCTTTTTTTTTTCTCGCTTTTCTCCCCTATATCGCTTCTCCTATATCTCACCTATTACCTGCGGAGTACAGTCCGTACATATGTACTCCGTACGGTGTACATAGTACCTACAGAGGACTACGTATACAAGGTTTATTTTGCTCGTGTGCATGGTTACTCGAAAAAAAAAACTAGAGAAAAAGGGAAAAAGAAAAAAAAAACCAGAGACTTCCAACAGCAGAATATATTTAGTTACTTCTAATATATCGCCCGCTTGCATATCAAAGTCATATAATTTCCCATGCACATTGTAGATCCTAACTCGTCGAGAAGCCGAAGGGTCAAAAGGCTTGGTTCCGGCCAAGACCATCCCCGTCATCCCCCCATCATCACACACTCCGCATGACAATAAACTATATGGAGTCACCACCGTGGGGTTCCCCCTTTTTTCCATTTCTTCTCTTCTACACAACCTCAACATGAATACAGTGCTGACGAGGCCCTCATTCTCTGAGGGGAGAACTCCGATCAAAGTCCCGGAACCTGGCCCCTCATCTCATTTCCGAGGGCCTCGCAACAGTGGAAATTTGGATCCCTTTTCGCCAGTCAACGAAAATGGAAGCTTCGAATTCGATCGAGTCTTGAAGACAGGGAGAGTCTGTCGCCGAGTCAAGCACAAACATGTCTTTCGCGCCTCATGGAAACCAGCCTACCTCGTCCTCCGACCGAACCTCCTTTCCGTATACAAAGACGAGGAAACCACCCGTCTCCGAGTCTCCATTTCCCTATCTGAAGTGACCGCCGTCACGCCCGTCAAGTCTCCGCGATCGACCCGGCGGCATGTTTTCGGTGTCTTTACCCCATCTACGAATTACCGCTTCGAGGCCCCAACCGAACGCGATGCCGAGGACTGGATCAATCGCATTCGTGCCGTGACCCCGGGCGATGAGGAGGAGCAAGCTTTCCTAGCTTTGACCAAAAATCGCGAACTCCCCGCCATCCACAAACAGCTCGTTGACGAGACAACCGATCACTCCGATTTTGATCACACTGGCCGCGCCAGCTCTCCCGAGCCACGCCATGCATTATCCCCACGCAGCAAAAATGCTCAGAGACTCCCTTACATGCAGGATTACTCGGGCAACGAAATGACTTCATACTCAGAGTTCTCCGATGGACCTGCGCCAGCACGCAACAGCCACCTACGATCTATGCCCTCCATCCATTCACTGTCCGTTTCAGCACCAGAGGATAAATCAGTACCCCGGCCGTCAGCATCTCTACCCCGAGACACCAGCAAACAAACAGACTTGGGTATCCTGCGCGACCCAGAGCGGGTCATCTGTCAGGGGTACCTGCAGGGGCTACGCATTCAAGGGACCGTGCGCCAGTGGAAACGACTCTGGGTTGTGCTTCGGCCCAAGAGTCTGGCCTTCTACAAGGATGAAGCGGAGTACGCTGCCATCAAGATCATCCCCATGTCTCAAGTATTTGATGCCGCAGATGTGGACCCTTTGTCGAGATCCAAGATGTTCTGCATGCAGATCATCGCCGAAGAAAAGACCTATCGACTTTGCGCCCCGGAGGAAGAGTCCCTCGCGCGCTGGCTGGGCTCGTTGAAAAGCATTCTCGCTGCGCGCAGGAGATTGGACCCCACCCGGGGCACTTCTGTATAATGCCACTCGCTCTACATAGTAGAGCCTGTTTAATCACTCTGCCTATTCTATTCCCTTCACTTCATATTCCCTACGTCTCAGCGACCCTTTTTCTTCATGCCTTACCTTTCACCTTTTTTCCTTCAATATACCCAGGTTGATGATTTCATTTTGATTACTCGTCTCGTGGTGAGCTCCGGGGTCTTCAAAGAACGGATTGGCGTTAGTACCTTCGTACACATTCAGTGGGCGAAGGGGATTTCTTTTTTTCATCACGCAGCTACCCTGCTCTTTCCTACCTTCCATTTCTCTCAACACCCTTGTCTCTCTATTTCACTCATCGAGGCGATGCATTATCATTGCATCTATGCCTCCTTCTCACTGCCGAGTCTGGTATTCTCCCTTGTCTGTCCTCTGTCTTCTTCTACTTTAGTGTCTATAATGAGCACCTATTATGTACCATATTGCTTCAGGCTGTAGTACTCTATTGCATAATATATAATGCAGATAAGAAACATCATGTTCAACCCTTTCTATCTATGCAGTGCTCTGTTGGAGACATACAATCTTCTACAGTTTCTTTGCTCTAGACTATGGTCTACACCCGGGCCTTTTGAGGGCGAATTTCGGCTATTTCAAATACCTCGATGTAAAGATATTCGACCCGCGTGGTGTGTATCATATGTCTGTCCGCGGGGGAAATAGGACGGCACGACCCTTCAGTGGTGTCATCCTAAACTATAGGAGTGTAGGGTGATGGCTAACTCGGGAGTTTCAAAATCAAAACCTCAAATGCGAGAAGTGTGATGTGTACAGACACAGAAAACGAATCCATGTGGATATATATACCCCCAAGTCCATATCAAAATTGTGCCACCCATCATAGGTTATACCGACTATTCTTGTTTATAGTTATTCTAGATATTTATTGAAATGTTACACATATATATATGGCTTTAAGGTGCGACTTTCATCACAAAGTTTGTCTTAGTCAGACTAAGCTTTTGCCCGTCGGTCTTGGCTGAAACCTCCCAATCTCAAATGTGAGAGATCACATTTGTGACTCTGAAGTTAACCAGGACTCTGCAAATCATCCATCTACAGTTGGATGACACATTTCGTGGAGAGGTCGACCGAAGTGCATGCGTGGAAGTATAGTAATGAGAATGTTGTTGAATAATTCTATGATCTATATTGGGAATACCAAACATTTTGCTAGGTATGGTAGCCAAGGGTAACTGGAGAGGATACCGAAATTGTTATGTGAACAGGCTACGATAAACGTGTAGCGATAAATACTAAAACCGCCTAAAGCTCAAACTAACGCATTTCCTCTTCTTCAACGGGAATGCTGTTATACTCACCCGAGAAGGACCCGCCTGCTCCATCAGTAGTGGTGAGATCATCTTGAGGCTTGCTCTCGTGTTGCACAACCAAGAACGACAAGAACACGATAGCTGCTCCGACCCAGTACATAGGGCTAGAGTATTGTGACTGTAGGACCATCTGTCCAATCAGGGAGAGTGGGATGGTCATACTGAGCCCGACGGTCACAATGAGCGGTGTGGTAAGAAGCATAGCGTAAGCCCAAGCAATATCAGAGATGAATGATGCAAATGCGTTAATCTGATAGGCATGAGGTTAGCTAAATAATGAAAGGCGAGCAAGGGGGCTCGGAGTCATACCAAAATGATTGACCACACTCGCGACGTTTCGGGCAAAGAGAAGGGCTCCAAACCCGTCCAGTGCATGACGAAGAAACCAGGCCACAGGAAGATAATGTTGAAAAATCCAACCAGTCCGAAGAAAAGTGGCATGTTTACCCGGGACTCGTCGCCAACTTGTTTCTTCATCACGACGGTGTAAAGACCATATAGAATGGCGCTGAACGCCGCCATGGCATCGCCAAGGGCAATCTCACCGGAGGATTTGTGTGGGAATGAACCTTCACTGCCATCTGTAGCGTCGCCTGTGTCTGACTTGGAGAGATCGACGCGCGAAATTAGGATAATACCAATTAGAGAAGCCATGACACCCATGAATTTGCGCATGGTGAATTTCTCAACACGGAGCAGTGCGCCAAAAACCATGGTCCATACACCTAGAATAGTGAGGATGAGAACCGTATTTTGAACACATCTAAACAAGGGAATCCTTACCACTGGTAGAAGTCAGAATGGTTGTGCTTCCAACTGACGTAAATTGGAGGCACCCCATGGCGAAGTAATTTGCCTATCCAAAGAAGCTTTGGTTAGTTCACTTCCAACACATAAGCTACCACATTGTGAGGTATACGACATACAGTAAACTATGATAGGTTAGCCAGCTGATCATGTATCCAAATCTCAAGGTTGTGTGCTTACCCAGAGAAGACAAAACTGAATACTGAGTTTAGCTGTTGCTTTGAGCCCTAGCTTTCCGTTTGGAGGATCCTGTCTCTCCGGCGCGAATCGCCCATCTTCTTCATCGGAGCCGCTGTGTAGTATGCTCTCCTCCTCGGCCTCGGGGTCATGTGAATCTAAATGATTCAAAAAGCTCTTTATAGAAGTGATCTGAGAGAGTTTCCCGAGGCGCCAAAGAGCCCATGTTCGACGAGCGACGATTAAAAGGAGGGGCATCATGAACATGGAGGTATTCGTATAAGTTACGAAGAAAGGTTTCGGGTATGTTTTGTCGGCAAAGATGGTCTGGATAGTATTCGCCGTGTATTAGCCAAATGTTTGCAACAATATATGCCTTTTGCGTTAGGACTTTTCAAAATGAGGGCGCGCATACACTTCCAAGGAAATTCGAGGTTGTCCATAGCACAACCACCACCAGGAGCAGGATGATTCCTAATGTTCGCCGCGCTATTCCCAGTGGCATCGTGCCGGGCCCCTCGTGTGTGGCCGAGGTCATAGTGATTATGGTTGTTTGTAAGAGAAGGCAGATTTGCGCGACTCCTCAGGGTGTAATCTGGCGAACCTCGTGTTGCCGATGTCGCAATCGCTACGTTTGTAGCCGAGGATGCCGGGTTGGAAGGGGTATTAGTCGGGCTGTTGTCATCTGAAGCACAACGAGCAATAGATCCCCGGTTCAGAGACAAATAGCCGTCACGAGACTTCCTGCCTAAAGGTATGCGAGCGAAGAGAACACGGGGCTAGATGCCAAGCATTGGCGAGATAAGGGTCCGGGTGGGGAGAAATGAAGTCGCCGATATCATTTGACGCTGTCATTGACTCCGCACAATTTATTGTAAAACATAAGTCATTACCATCAGCTACATGTAATATGCACTCATGTCCAATGGCTGTTATTAAGAGGAATTTGTCCTGATGATGATACATATATAGATCATCTGATAGTTATAAAATAGCCGCGACCAACTGCCTATTACGGAAGATTCACGATGGTATTGCATTAGCCCAACAAAGACATTATCTGCATAAAACCGAACCGAGAAAAGTTTGAGCACGATGTTTTTCTCTCAGGTGGATTCCACAATTGAAACTAAGACATCTACAGGACACCGGGGGAAGGGCAAAATAATCCAAATCAAAACCTCAAGGTCTTCTCTACAGACTCAGGACCGGAGACCAACCAAATAGTAGGAGGAAAAAGGAAAACAAAGGAAATAGGTCGCTGGAACATCATGGGAATTGCAAGGGTATATCAACAGGCACATCCATCACGGTCATTGTCTAGATGGATGTTGATTGGGTCGCTGAATTCACCGCTGAATTCCTCAGCCTCTTCCTGGGCAAGTGCACTCCGTGCGATGACTAGATAATAATTAGCAACCTTGGAAGAGAACAGGTAGGTGGAATTTGACTCACCTTCAAACGCCTGTTCGACATTGACAGCTTCCTTGGCACTGGTCTCGAAGTAGGGAATGTTACCCTTCGACTGACAGAAAGTCATGGCCCGTTTTGAGGAGATCATACGCTTGCTCTCCTCTACATCAATCTTGTTACCGATGACAACCTGCACATAACCATCAGCACGGACCAACATATCATTCTTGCCTGCTGCTGTGGCGCACGAGATGAGGAAAAGGAATGTGGGAACGCCACTTACGAATGGGAAACTCTCTGGATCTCTCGGGCTAGCCTGGATCAGGAACTCATCCCGCCAGCTGTCGAGAGCCTCGAAACTCTTGGAGTTGTTAACATCGTAGACCAGGACGCAGCAGTCGGCTCCACGGTAGAAGGCGACTCCCAACGACTGGAAGCGTTCTTGGCCTGCAGTATCCCAAATCTAACACCTTAGAGTCAACTATTGCCCCTCACCATGATTGTGCTAGAGTCTCCAACGCCTTACCTGCATTGTTACCAGTCGGTCGTCGACAAGAACTTCCTTTGTGAGGAAATCAGCTCCGATAGTGGCTTTGTAGCTTCCACTGAATTTCTTATTGACCTATTCATATCGGAAAATTGCGTGTTAGCGGTTATAGGTATTCGTTGACCGACCGCGGTACGGCTGTAGAGCACTGCTTGGGGGCGAGGTTGAACTGACATATTGGTTCATCAAACTTGTTTTCCCCACACCGCTGTCACCAAGGATAATAACCTAGATTTCCAGAAACGCGCTAATCAGCAAAAAGACCCCTTTTTGAAGCATTCGGTGCTCGTCACACGGAGCAGGTGCGGAGATTGTACCTTAAGGAGGACCTTCTTCCTTGACGCCATGATTGGGAACTGGCCAAGTGACCGAGTGTAAATGGATGTAGGATAAGTGGGAAATTCAATATCAAGTAAAGACTTGTGATCAGTCTTTACTAAGTCTTTATAGAACAGATAAGGACAAGTCAGGAGAGTTGGGGTCGGGTTGTAGCCGGGTTCGATGATGCATGAGGCCTGGGCGGTGGAGCGGGCGGTGGGCAATTGATAACGATTAGCACCGCATCTCGCTCCCGAGGCGGCAACCAACTCCACTCCATCACATTCAGGTACATCCCTTGCTTGGGAAGGCTTATGGCCCACTGGAGGGAGGAGTACTTGGCTGCCCTGACAGTCCGAGACCAACGAGAGAAAGCAAATGCTACTCTTTACGATGCTTGTCAGTCTATCATTGAAGCTCTTTGTTGAGCGATTGCGACTGACATCATTTACCAAATCTAGATGCCCAGCTTGCAGATCGTACCAGCAAACTAGCAACAACAGCAAAATGCGGCAGTCCTACAACATTACAGAGAGAATCTCAACACACTGTGCCATCTCCTATAGTTGCACCATCTAGAAAGCAACGATCGACTGAGCTGGTTTCCACCCCAACCGATCTTCTCAATACTACCCGTGCAGACCTGTCTGAAGCACAGCGATCCCGCTTAGAACTACAAGATCGCTTGAACCGAGTGAATACGGAAGTGGAGACACTTCGCAAAAAGAGTTCGCAAGAGGGTCGACGAATCAACGCCTTGGAAACCGAGAGAGCACATCTAAAGCTACGATTGAAAGACAGAGATGCGGAGCTGAAAGGGAAGGCCAAGCTGCTAGAGGTAGGATGCTTTGATATTTACATAGGCTTTCCAATCACGCAGTGGTGAGTGAGGGAAAGTGGCTAACATGAATTATGTGCATTTCTGCAGGACTTCCAAGATGAACTGGCGACACTAAACCTTCAACTTAATATGGCAGAAGAACGATCAACTCGACTTAAAACTGAGAATCAAGACCTGGTTGATCGTTGGATGGCCAGAATGGGTCAAGAGGCTGAGGCCATGAATGATGCATCGAAGTATTCCTGACTAGTCTCAATACACCGATCAGGTGACAGGGAAAGGTTGCTAGAAGAGACCGGAGAATAGCTTCTGTGACACTTAGATATTGAATCGTGATATTAGCAACTTAGATAAAATGTGAAAGTGCTATATACATGATCATGCAGCCTATTTCAGGGCTCGCTGATCCTTCCACTGAGTGCCTGAACAGCAAGTGCTGTACCAAGCCCGCGGTTCATGATCTTTTTCCCTATGATGGGATAGCTATACAAGTAGCTAGCCTCCCAACCGCCATCATCCTTTTGCAATTCCTTGAGTGCCTCAGAGTCCTGATAATTGTATACCCCCATCGAGTTGCATGCGATAAGCCGCATTGCCAGGGCAACACTGTCACCGGCGATTCCAATACGCTCCTGCACTCTCTCCTTCAGTAGTGGCCCAATCGATTCCATCAGACTCGGGGACTTTGAAACCACAAGCAACCGGTTCACATAGAACAAGAACCAATCCGGACAGCGGAAATAGTACGTGCCCTTTGTATATGCTCTGTGGTACAGGATGTTGCGGACCCAGTTGAGCATATCCTCAACTTGATGTCCTCGCTGATAAAGATAGAATGAAGTGCACATGTTCACACTGACGATGGGATCAAATCTTGGCCTGTTGCGGTCGTGCCACATCTAAAACATGATAATATAAGAAAACAGCATAGAAATGCTGGAGTAGAAAGGGTATACTTACGTCAATTATGCCGTCTTCGTTCATCCAACCGAGCATCTGATCAAGAATGGAGTGTGCAACCGCGTCGTCGTATTTGATAATTTGCATGCCCAATGAAGTGGTATCATTGTCATCGGGTACACTTTCTGGAGCAAAACGAGGGGTTTCTTCATCTTCTATTAGTACATGATCGTCGAGCCGAGTGATCCAAATGGCGTACCGATATAGAAATTCCAAAATTCTCCTTGGTGATAATCGGGCTTGTTCAAAATAACAAGTTCCCTTTTTAAATGGTTAGCTATGCGTTTCTTGAGGATAAGCATGGGGGTAGCCATACTCATCGCCCGTAGCCTCCAATATCAACATTTGAACATAGTTCTCCAACACTGGAATACCACACTCTGTGAATGAATGCAGCTGCTTTGCGTTTTCTTGCAAGAAGGCCTTTCCACGCACAATTGGGTCACATAGGAGATTTCTAACGGTCCAAGCTAACACAGATGCACCCTCGAATACAATACCATGTATTCCCAAAGACCCAGCAGAGATAACGTTCTGTAAATTGTCATCTACAAAGATAGTCTTCTGGGGATCTATCCCAGTGGACTTCAAGACATGCTGATAAAAGCCCAAATTGGGCTTCCGCATCCCGACAGCAGATGAAGTGAAAACTTCGTCAAACAATGACCAGAATGTAGGACCCCATCGAGCATGAAGGGCAACAAAGTCAGGCTCGGAGATGTTCGACATGGCGACGATTCTCAGCGAGGGTTGGTCTTCTCGCAGAGCTTGGATCCATGATACCATCTGCTCATCATATTCGACCGTGGTGCGTGCAAGAGCAATTGCTTCGCTGAGCTCCGATGGATTGAAGTTGAATTGCTTCCCAAGGAGCTCGTAGCATTTGGTTTCTTCGATCTTGCCACATTCATACTGCATCCACACTAAGGTTGAGGTGAAACGTTTGAAAGATGGGATGGATTTGTTGCTAGAAACCCGAGGAGGGGTCTTGATAAATACCCCTCCAAGGTCTAAAACGAGGGCATTGAATGCCGAGGCTGGCGGAGGATCTTCAGACATCGTGAATCTTCAAAATTTGGAGAATTGTATCGTTAAAAGTTCAAAAATCGACATGTATACTCTGACACGTACCTCATAGATCAGATATTTGCGAAGCCAGAAAAAAGAAAAGAAAAACGAAAACTGATTTCTGCAGGTGCAAGTGCAAGTGCAGGTACAAATGCTCATGATCCACAGCGTTGATCTTTAGGTCCACCCCGCCTGGATAGATTGCGTGGCAACTGCTGACACGCCCAATGGAATGCCTACCTCATACATTCATCTAGACTAGGTAGTTCTGAATATTGAGACACGGCGAGCCTAAACCAAGTTTCTACAATAAGCGCTTGAACTTGAAGAGACAATCCGTTTTGTACAAGTCAGATTGTCGGAAAATGGTATCATACAAAAAACTCAACAGGGGACGTATATCCAAGAACGGACAATGTAATATACAAAAGTACCAAAAAGGAAAGATGTATGTGCCATGCCAAGATATCAAACCAAGAAGCCATCGAAGACTATGGCGTATTGTCAATGAAGGCTTTTAGCCGAGAGCTGTCTTTAGTCGCAATGAAATATGTACCACCAACGTCGGTCCAGCTGACGTTGTTCGACCAGTAATTTTTCTGCTCGACCTTGAGGAGATTGATCGGAGAGTTCAGGTTGCGAGATTGGATTTTGTGACCAGCAGGAACAAAAGACTTGAGTGAGACAATTTTGCAGCCTTCTTTCATATCCAAAAAGTGGTTGATCAGCTCATTGTTCAGTTGTGGGGTGAAAGCTTGGTTGTTGATGAGCACCACATCATCCCGCTTCAAGACGCTGGTGATACTCTCCTGCTCAAGGAAATCACCTCGAACAAGATGAGTTTTGCCTGGTGCAATTCCCCATAGCCGGCATCGGGCCTTGAACTCGGATTGCTGCAAATCTGCCAAATCACATGCATTTGACATCATCTCACAACCCCAACTCTCACAGCCAACCTCAAGTGCCGCCTGAAGGACGACATTACCTACGCCCGAGCCAAGATCGACGAAGACCTGGCCCGATTTGAGCTTGGTCTCTTTGAAGATTGTGCTGATAAAGCGAGGGAGAAGCTCTCCGTAGACGTTGTCCGTGCCATTTTCGTACTGCCGGAGGGACTCCACTTGAGGGGATACCGTGCGCGAATAAATTTGAGTGAGGATTCTTTCCACCCAAGGTAAACCAAGGCCTTGTGTTGCATCTAAATGCTTCGCAAGACTGCCGTTGGTCCTTAGCCGCTGGATAGCCTTATTGTAATCATCGACAGCTTCCCGAAATTGGGTCTCAGATGTTACAGCCAAAGCCCGGCGTAATCGACGCTTGATCCCGGTCGTCTCGTCGTTGAACTGATCCACCTCATCGCTGGGGATATAATTATCGGCGACAGTTTCGATGACCTGAACAATGTCGTCGATAGGTCGGAATTCGTCATTTTCTCGGGGAACCACGGAGTCATATCTGACGAAGAAATAAATTAGCACATCAATACTCAGAAATGAATAGTATAACTAGGTAACATACCTCTCCTGCTGGGAAGCACTGGGGTATTGCAGGAGAATCTGTTTGGGCTTGCCCTCGGCGCCAAAGGCGGGCTTGAACTTGCCGGCCTTCTGGCCCGACGTTATATCCGCAGCATGTATCATTTTAAACGGGCGAGATCCTTCTTCCGAAAACGCTTTCATCGAGCGGAGACGCCGCTCCGGGTCGGGTTCGGCGCTGGCGCTGGTCCTCGCGCGTTTGTGCACTTCGAAGGAGGCCTCACTATCACTTGCGTCATCGTCGCTCGAGAGTCGTTGCTCGGGTGTCGGCCTTTTCCGAATGCGAGAGGAAGCACTCAGTCGTTTTGTTGGGCGTGCTTCTAGATCACTGGAGACTGATCGAGATTTCAACGCCTGCGCCTTCCGGTTCCGCTCCGTCGAGGACTGGACTCGGGGTGATCGAGTATCCGAGGGTTGTGTGACCGACCGCGTAGGAGCTGCAGGTCGAGTCTGCACAACCTTGCGAATTTGCGCTTTCTTTGGCTGTAGAGAGAAGGCCCCGGCCCCTCCTTTCTGAAGGTGGTCGAAAAAGCCCATATGGATAGGGAGAGATATAAACAAACTTATGCAGAAAGGAAATAATGTATGCAAGGTATGCAATAAAACGAGTCAAAGAATATAAGTATAATGCGAGCAAGATGAAGGAAGTGGGAGAAGAAAAGAAAAGAGAATGGCTTATCGATTAAGGCGCCACTCGGGGAAACCACGCGATCCCGCGTTCCTTGGCACTTCTCCTTGGCGCTTTTTCTATAGCCTCATGCATGTCTTCTATAGGTATCTACATGGATCCATCTACATTTGTATTGTGCTATTGAACACTATTGTCACCAAATTGTGAAATTGTGAAATTTTGACATGTATTTTGAGATTGTACTCGTGGAAGAATGAACCCTGGGGTATCATAATTATTTTTGCTATGTAAATTGTCTGATTCAAACATTTGAACTATGAACACTGTCTCTATTTGCCTGACTTCTTCTTTGCCAGTCTCTTCTCTGCACGAACATCCTTCTTCATACGAGCATCAACAATCTTGTACTTGCCCTTGACACCCTTAGGACGACCAGAGATACCACGATTGGGACCCTTGGCAACCACGAGCTTGACTTCCTGCTTGGGCTTCTTCTTGGTTGCCCTGCTCATCAGTCTTGCGATGGCACCAGCCTTATCCCGCTCGCTGAGAGCATCGTCCTCCGCCAGAAGTGCTGACTTCTTGCGCAGTTTCTCCAGTCTTTGGGCAGCCTTGTACTTCTTGCGTCCCTGGGCCTCCATGACCTTCTTGATCGGGCGTGCATTGATGGCACGCATCTTTTCTCTGATAGCAGCCGCGGCAGCCTTGGTGATGGGCCGGACAGGCTTGCTGTGTTTGCCCTCGTCGTCGAGGAACCATTCGGGAAGGCCATCCACGTCGCGGAAGGCAAAGCGGTTGAAGCCATCGTCAATAATGTCAGTCGACCTCTTTTCTCCAGTAGCCATTGACTGCGCAAGGGCCATGGCTTCTGCGGTAATGATATCGATGTCTGTATGGGAGGAACAAATGTTAGCCCGGGCTTTTTTCATGTTTGACATCACTTGCAACTTACCTAGCTGTCCATTCGCTTTTAGCGGATCTTTTTCTCCTGTCTCTTCTGCCTCGCTCTCATCGGACTCATCGACCCAGACAGAGTTCTTCTTTCCGCTCTTCTTTGCGTCCTTATTGTTCTTTTGCTTAGGGGCAGGAGTCTTCTCCTCTTCCTCCTCATCTTCATCCATCGCAAAGATGTTCTCTTCCTCTTCCTCCTCCGCCTCCTCTTCCTGTGCATCTTCTTCTTCTTCTTCCTCCTCCTCCTCGCCATCTTCTAGCCCCTCGAAGATATCTTGATCGAAGAACATAGAGGCATTGTTTGAAAGTTTCTTACCCTCAAGTGCTTGGTTTGTAGTGGCAGTTTCTTCATCAGAATCCTCCTCTTCCTCTTCCTCATCACTGCTACCTTTCTCTCTGTCAGAAAAGCCCTCCCACTCGTCAACCTCGTATTGCTTGCGTGTCTTCTTAGCCCGCAATTTCGAATCTTTGTCCTCCATGCGGCCGGTGTACTGTTCGTACATGTGGTCGAGCTCCCTTTCGAGGCGGTCCTCCTCGTCGTCGCTCTCTTCGGTTTCGGACTCATATTCGTTTTCACTTTCGCTCTCGGCGGGAAGATCACGAGCATTGACAACCGCATCTCTGGCATTCTCCCGGTCGACACGTCTCAAAGTGAACGTGGTGTCGTCACCTCCCATACCAAGCTGCTCCATACCAATTTCCATGGGAGTGGTCATGTTCATCTGCATTCGAATGATATCCTTGCGCTTCTTTTCATTCTCCTTGCGCCTTTCCTTCTTGCCCTTGGTCGTCTGCGCCTCTCGCATGCGGATCAAGTCTTCCTGGATCTGCAGTTCTTCGTCCATGGGGGCCACCTCGGCCACTTCTTCTTCCTCGCCTTCTTGGGTTGGCTTCTTTTTGATGACAAGTCCGAACTTCTCACGACACTTGATACGCCATCTAAGCAAGTTGCGGAACTCCTTTTTGCCCAGGATCTTCAAATCCTCACAGCAAGTTCGGATCTCATCTGTTGTTTCCTCCAATCGGTCCAGCGTAGACAACGCAAGATCTCCACCCGGTGGTTGCTGGAAGCTGAGTTTGTTGTAGCCACCCAAGATAGAGATAGGATCCGTAGTGTTGATGAATTCCGTCACTGGGAGCTCCTTGTGTTGGGTGTAATCTCCTTCTTCGTAACCTTCACGCTTGCGCTTCTTCTTTTCCGGGTTAAAAACCTTCGCTTCATAGTTGGGAGTGGGAGCGGTAAGTTCAGCAAAGACGTGCTTCGGGTCGAGGAACTTCGGGTCAATGCGCTTGGGGGCCTTGAATCCGCGGCAAACGACGAAAATTTCGGCAGAGACATTTCGGGACGAAGGAGGCTTGGTTGCCTCAACGGAATTGAACAGCTGCTTGAAAACCCACAGCAGGGGGTTGTAATCCTTGGACCGGAAGACCTTGGTAACGAAGGTTCCGCCCTCGCCCAAGAAATCAGTAGCAAGTCTCAGGGACTCCAGAACCAGTTCTGCCTGGGAGAAAGCATCCTGAACCCAGGCGGCACCAACGTTGGGGGCACCATCGTGAAGCACGACATCTGCTTTCCAGTGCTTGATGTGAGATCGGATCGTTGCGCGACACTTGTCCGTTGTGATATCGCTCTGGAAAGTAATGGCTCGTGGAATTGGTTTGATGGGGGAGAGATCGACACCAATGATAAGACTTTGCGCAGGCATGTACTCTGCAGCGACTTGACACCATGACTGCTCAGCTGTTAGTGAGAGACTTTGGGGATAGAAGGTGCCATTTGAAGATACTTACACCAGGTGCAGCGCAAAGATCGATACAAACTCTGCTCTTCTCCAAGAATCCATACTTCTGATTCAATTGGATCAACTTGAACG